TTAAGCAAAAAAAAACTGGTCACAAATCTGTTTCGAGTGGGCCCCGAATGGATAGTCAGAAAACGGCACACTTAAGTCCCGGTACTTAAGTGGATTTTTATTAAGTATTTATCAAGGAAATCAATATGTCGTCTCCTAGAAGCTTGTGCGTTTATTTGTTTGCCACACGGTCTACTTTCTACTTTCAGTGCTTCCGCTTTGAGCTTGAGCTTGAGCCTATTGTGAATAAATGCTCATTCTACTTGCTAGTTTTGTACTCCACAGACACACAAACACACACTTAAATACATACATGTAGATACACTCAGAAAAAAATCCCCCAAAGTTGTAGTAAATCACCCTAAAAATAACAAAAATCATCCCAGAAAAAAAAGGATTATCTAATTTATTGGAAATATTTTCTAAACATTAATAAAAATACTTCTAAAATTTCGAAAAGTTTGTGCTAAATCGGCAATCTCAAAAATATGGCGACTTTACTCTAAATATTAGACATTTTAATTTAATTTAAAAAAAAATCCTTTTTAAAATTCGGAAACGAGAAATGAAATTTACTTGGCTCTGTTTTTATATTAGAATTTTATTAATTGTTTATTTCATGAATAATATAAGTAAGAAAAATGTAATACAAAAGTTTTTCTATGGCAAACACATTGAAAACAGCATCCTGGAAATTAAACATATTTTTCTACATTTTAGAAAAATACTCTATTTAGAAATGATTTTTAAACAGGCACAACTTTACTTTCTAAATTATAGGACGTAATATATATAAAAAAAATTGTTATGAGTGTACATGTAAATGCCTTCTCCAGCCAGCCGAGAGGGCAATATTCGCAAGTACGATTGAAATTGAATAAAATGGCTTTTCAAATTATTTGCAATACAACAAAGAGCCATGTGCCAGAAGTGCTTATCTGCGGAAAATGTTAACTGTATGACAAAACATAACTTGTAGATATGCAAAACCCAAAGAACTCACACACACACACAATACTATTTCACTTAAATACGTGTGTATGGATAGGATATGACGGCAAGTTAGCTTCGTGTCCCATATGTACATAAACGCACATACAGTTGCTCAAAAAATAATATCACCACTCTGATATTATTTCTTACGAATAAAAAATGAAACCGTTAGATTTGCCATTTTTTCAAATGTATACTTTTAAAATATGGTTTAGTATTCGCTCTATAAATTATAAATCCTGGAATTATTTTAAATATCTTTCTTTTCTTATTTGATGGGAAAAGTGCCAAAAAAGGACCACTTACGCACTTTGTAGAAATCGCTTATTTATTTCTAATTTTCGTAACTAAAAGCTTACATTTGAAAATAAGATTTTATTTTTTATTATTTAGTTGTTGAAATTGTGAATAAAATTGTGTTTTTCTAATATTCATATTTATAAGTGAACATTTGACAAATGGTGTGTTCACTTTTTTAATAGTCTCTAAATAGTCTTTAATAACTCTAAAAACGTATTCATAACTTGCTTAAATTTACATATTCAAAAAAAGATACATTTGAAAATATTTCTGGTGGAGGTGGGGTTAATATTTTTTTGTAACTGTATTCATGTATATATGTGTGTGTGCGTGTGTGTGTGTATACAATACTTATGTGGAGGATGATGTATAAAAACAAATAACAATTTTGCGCTCAAAATAGAATACAAACAGCACACAATAAGTCTGAAGCACGCCAATGCGTGGGGAAATGTAAAGGAAAAAGTAGAGTGAGAGAGAAAGAGAGAGAGAGAGAGAGAGAGAGAGAGAGAGAGAAAGAGAGAAAGAGGGAGTACGCAGCAAAAGTATCGATTTATGCATATTAAATTACACGCGCTGCCTTGCAACAATACACACGATTTGTATTTGTATCCAATCCAATCCATTGGAAAGTCAGCCCAGCAATTGCCTGCTGTGGCTGTGACTTTGGCTCCTTTGAAAATATTTCTACACATTTCTTATACGCCGCCTAAATTCCTGACATCTAAATTGGCGGCTACGCCGATTCCCACAATGCCTATGACTTCTCTTCGATCCCCGTCTCGCATTATTGGCCATGGATTCCTCCATACTAGCGACCAATTTATAAACGTTTCGCCTCTCTTCGTCTTATCTTATTTTATTTTTTGTGGGCAACTGAAGCAAACGCCCCATTTGCGTGTCCATTTTCTTTGCCATTTGTTCGCCGCACCCCCCTCCACATAACTCTACTTTTTCTAACTGACACACACTTAGAAAAAAGAGTTGGTATTTTTTTGCAAAGGTATAATTTTAAAATGAACTTTGAGCAAAAAAAGCTCACGTTTTTAAATTTCAAACTTGTATTTATCTACATTTAATTTATTTGTATGTTTAAAATGTATTTTACAAATAAATAAAAAAAATTAAGCAAAATATTTATGAAATGAACTTTCAGCAAAAACTAAAGTTTTTAAATATAAAAATAGTACTCTATTTATATTTATGTAAGCTTAAGAAATTATCTTAAAAATCTGTTCAGTTATATATCTATTTCTATAACAGTGTACCTATGCCTATTTTTTGAGTCAAAATCGACGTTGTGATTTGACAAAAATTATGGCATTGATAAATTTGGACTTATCCAGTTTGAAATATTATAATATATATATATCATAGTCATAACTAAAATTAAAAAGTGCAAGTGCATAAGTTGAAGATGCAGACAGACTGGAAAGACAGACTGGGCGGACAGGCTGGAAGGTTAGACTGGATACACAGATTTTTGGATACTCCAAAGGGGCACTTAATTATATATTTTATTTATTTTATTTTCAAAATGTATGTTCAATGTGAAACTCAGCAATTGCACAGTTACTTTTCTGTAATTTTAGCCAGTTTCAGTTTGTTGGTGCAAAAAGCGGCGAAAGATATCCCCTTATATCAGTAAATATTTATGTGTGTACACATTGGACAACAAGTGAGGGCAGCTGAATATGAGAGGTTCTGCAATATTAATACGCTCCTTCAGTCCATCCACAAAGTTAACGCCAAGAAAAGCGACTCAGTCCGAACGAAACTTTGTGGCACTCGCTCTCGTCATGTGTCCTTCGCTCTTTGTCCTGCTCTTGGGAGTCGTAATATTTGGGTCACTTGGCAGCAACACCATTGTTAATTATTCTGGTCACATCTGTTATGTAAACTACGTCCAGGGCATAAAAAACAACAAAAAACAAAAACAGGCACAAAGACAAACCCAAGAAGACAAAGTAAGTATTTGGAAAGCGGACAACGATTCGTGCGCTTCAAAAAAATTAAAAAGTTGTGCAAATCGCGTTAAAAAAAATGCTACACAAAAATTGTGGATGCTCGAATGTGCCTTTTGCAAGCAACTCCTCCAAACAACTCTTAAGAAGCAAAAAAAAAAAAAAAAAAGTGTAGCATATCCTCGAAAGAAACAAACGTACAAGCATTTTAATTTTTAAAGTATTTCACAATGCGCTATTTTTGTCGAGCAGGCGAGGAAAACATCTCGATTAATGCATATTATGTGAGACCAGAGCACGCCAACAATTTGTGCCCAGAGTGGCCCAAATGACAGAGGCTGTTGAATCACAACCAATTGGCTTTTTGACTGCTTTAATTTTGTTGAGAAACCATGAGCACTTATTAATACACAAGTTCAACATAAACCTAATTGAGACATTGTTAATAATACTACTAAACCAATTCCTTTATGAACAACAAAAGAATAAGCAATCAATGCCTTCAAAAATTATTTTTATTAAAATTTACTAAAGCTCGACCTACTACTCTAACACTAATTCAAAAAAATCCATATTTTAAATATATTAACCACAATAGAAAAATAACTTACAATATTCTACAAGCCCATAATTGTAACTAAAATTATTAAACCTCAAACAGGCAACATACGGTTTGTATTTTGTTTTTGTGCGTAAGAGCAGTTAAGAGCCCCACTGTGCGAAGTCTCTCTCTTTGTCTCTCTCTCTCACTCTCTCTCTCTCTCTCTCTCTCTCTCTCTCTCTCTCTCTCTCTCCTTCTCTTACTCATTTGCGTCGTGCAAATGGAAATAAACGCTGAGGGTCTTTCTTCCTTCCAACTCACCACTCCACCTGCTTTAGCGTTCTAGGAATATAATGAAATTCACCTTTCTGCCTTTACCTTACCTTATTTTACACCCCACAATCGGAATTCTAGACATGGTAGACAAGGCATAAAATATTCCTATATTATATATGCGCATACACTCATCAAAAACGACCTATACTTTTTGTAAATCGAATGGCTAATCTTCAGGTTTTTGTTTTCTATGTGTCTTCCATAATATAACTCTTATATTACCTTTCTAATATATTCATAAAATATATTATTAATAAAACTCTAAACAGTAAATTTCATTACTTTTTTGTTTGCATTTCTAATATTTAGAAATGGATTTCTAAAATAAGTGTATAAAGACAAAAACATTCCCACAGCGTCAAGTTATTAGAAAGTTACCTTACGCTTTAAATTATTCACCTTTTTTATATATCAAATTGGATTACTGAGTAATTTGGTAGTCGAGAAAACTTTTGCAAAATGTATTTTTTTAAATTAATACTTGGTTAATTAATTAATTAATTTTTTTAAACTTCTTCGCAATTCTAAATTCTAATTTAGTCAACACAGAAAATGAGTTTACTTTTTTACGGTTTTTATGCTTCCTTCCAGCATATTTAAATCATTTTAAAATATTTATCTCTGAATTTTATGGTGTTTACAATTATTATGTTTTCAAGGACATGCAACTACTTTTCTCTAACAAATTTAAATTCATCACCGCTTTAACTCACCTCACTTCGAAATCTGCATATATTAAACATGTATTTTGCTATGTATTTTGTTTTTGGAGAATCGCGGAAAAACACACACTAAAGACATGGAACTTTTTCACCACCCTATTAGGGGTATTCAAGAACCTAAATAAAGCTATTGGCAATTCATTGGAACAAAAGACACATTTGGAATTGGAATACGCCTTCCAGCAGCAAGTAGTAAATACATTTCGTTCTTTATCGCATTTTATCGATTCTAATTACAAATTAATATTTACTAAAAATATGTTTGTTTTTCTGTGAAAGGCGCAGCAACTCAATAGTATATAGACTGTAAAGCAGAGTGGACGCGTCTACTTCAACTTCTTCTTGGGGCGCAGATTGTTGGTGTGTCCACACTTCTTCTTGCGGCAGTTGGTAGCACGTGGATGGAGACGCGCATAGCACTTGCGGCATATCATCTTGTCGCAGTTGTATTTCTGGGCGAGAATGCGCAGCGAGGGCTCAATGATGCCACCGCGCAGACGGAGCACCAAGTGCAGCGTCGACTCCTTCTGGATGTTGTAGTCGGACAGGGTGCGTCCATCTTCCAGCTGCTTGCCGGCAAAGATCAAACGCTGCTGATCTGGGGGAATTCCCTCCTTGTCCTGAATCTTGGCCTTAACATTCTCGATGGTGTCCGAGGGCTCCACCTCCAAGGTGATGGTCTTCCCGGTGAGTGTCTTCACAAAGATTTGCATTGTCGTATCGTTGCTGCAAACATTTGAATATGATTTTCAATTAAAACTCATTAAAATAGCTCTTTATTTGCTCAGCTTTCAAATTTGCGACGTCATTTTAAGGTTAAGTCCGACAGAGTAACAAGTGGCAAACTTTTTATGCCCATCCATTGCAAATCGTTATTCTTCCTCTTTAATTGAACTCTGTTAAGGTAGCCAATGCATCGCTTTCACTTTTAATTATTTGTTTTTAGTTATTTTCGGCAACTTACCAGAAGAAACGTGCAACCAAATGCTAATTCACAAATGAAAAGAGTGTGTACACAACGTGTACAGATGGTGTTAAAATAAATAGGAAACTGAGGCAACACTGCTACGATTTTGCAGCAGCCAGCTTTAGAGTGGCAGCAGTTCAAAATAGCGAAAACAGACTTATTGAATACACATATTTGTAATTCTGATAAAAATGTCTGTTCTATAATATTCACACCCCGCAATACTAAAGCTACTTCTTAAATTAAGACAGTGTGTACTTAGCGACTGCAGCTAGTTTTGAAATAAATAGTAAATAGGGTAACACTGCAGCGGCTTTGCAGCAGCCAGCCTTAGAATGGCAGCCGTTCAATGCAGCGATAGTAGAATTGTTGACCAGAAATATGTATTATTTGTGATTTTAGACGCTAATCTTTATAACTTTGGTTAAGTTTCTAAGCTAAAATATGCCTTTTATGCTCGATGCCATTTTATGCTGTTTCAAACGAATTTACCTGGGGTCAGCTGAAAACTATCGATACAAAATCGGATTTTCTGAAAATATCAACTGAAATGATAGTTATGCTATTGTCAAAGTTATGTTAACTAACATTTTACTCCAGTATTTATTTATTTGCTGCCAATAGCAGATCGGCTAATAATGCTTATGACCACTGTTGTGTTAAATAACGTGTATTTTCTTTTTTTTAACCTGCCGAACCATGATATACAATTTATTATGCCGGCATAAATTTATCATGCTGTCAGCTGTCAACTATCGGTACAAAATCGGATTTCTGAATATGTCACCTGATTTATTAGTTATGGTATCATCGAAGTTATGTTAACTAACACTATTGCCGCTCTTATGTTAAATACCATTTTCAGTTCATCAAAATCGAGGCAACCCAATAAAAAGGAGTTGCGTAGAAAAGAACGTGTATAAATTTTAGTTAAGTATACGAAAACAACATGTCAAATTTAATTTACAAATTTGATTTAAGTTAATATATTCCGGTATAATTTTAAAATCTGAACAGTTGACACATATCGATAGATTCTGGAAATATGAACATTTCAGAAGCCAGTTATGTTAGCTAACATATATTCCAGGATTTATTGTCCAACTGTTAATAGCAGGTCAGGTAATAATCAGCTTATTGCCGCTGTTATGTTAAATAACATTTTCAGTTTAACAAAATCTAGGCAACCCAAAAAAAGAGTTGTGTGAAAAAAACGTGTATAAATTTTAGTCAAGTACACGTACACAACATGTCGAACAATAATGGCGTTGTGCCGGCAGCCGAAGCAGCGCCCGTATGTATTTAATTGAATGTTGAGTATATTATTCTCATCTCACACGAAATTAACATTTGCACAAAATGCAGCTGGTTGCAGGCGAGGGTCAACAGCAGCAACAACAACAGCAGCCAACGCGCATGGAATCGTTTTTTGCGATGACAAAATCGCTGATTTTGCGTGCGCTGATCATTTACTTTGTCAGCTCATTCTTCCGCAAGCCGCAACCCAACACTGGACAGGAGAAATCCGTTGCCAATGCAGGCCCGAAAATTACAGCCTGGAATTATTTTGAAAATGGTACCGATTTCGATTTACATGTTTGGCTTTCGGATCAGCCCGACTTGGTCAACTTCCAGCAGAAGGCGAATCTGCTCTGGCTGCAGGAGGATCTCACTTACGGGGATTGGAGTGGAGGACCCACTGGCGATGGCATTTACACACACAATTTAAAGATCAAAGCTACTCCTCATTTGATGAGCAATGGCAGCGTTTATCTCCATGCATTTGTGACGCGGGCTGGCGAGAGTCCCGATCCTCGTTCCCCGAAATACTCTAAAAATGGCCATATGGGTCATCAGCAGCATCAGCTCAATAAGTATAAAAAGCTGCGTGTAAATCGCAATTATAATTTATTATCCAGCGAGCGGGAGAAACTGGAGCACGAGTTGAAACATGCCAATCTCAAGGATCAAATCGTTTCTCATTGGCATCCGAATCTAACGGTTAATCTCGTCGTGGACCAGACGAATTGGGCCCAGGGCAGCGTTCCGGCTCCCCTCGATGAGTATGTGAAATTTGTAGATAACGGTAAAACCTATTTACCCATAGTGTTCGTCAACGACTATTGGAATTTACAGCGCGAATATTTCCCGATAAATGAATCGACACCCGAGCTGGAACTGCACTTGACTTTCCAGCCGCTGGGCATGTTCAAGTGGCAGTTGTACGCCGCCAAGCAGATGAAGAGCAAATGGGCCGGAAATATGCTGGGCGAGATTATGGCAGCGGGTGCCGCCGAAGAAACCGATGAGGATCAGGATTCCTTAAAGGAAACATTGTTGGACACGAATATCTATTTATTGGGTGTTACAGTCGCCGTTTCCATTCTCCATTCAGTGTTTGAGTTGCTCGCTTTTAAGAATGACATCCAGTTCTGGAATAATCGTCAGTCGCTGGAAGGTCTCTCCGTGCGCTCGGTATTCTTTGCCGTTTTCCAGTCACTCATCATACTGCTTTATGTGTTGGACAACGAAACGAATTTCATGATACGAATTTCCTGCTTTGTTGGCCTGGGCATTGAGGTGTGGAAAATCCACAAAGTTGTGGATGTGAATTATAATAATCAGCGCAAATTGTTGGGCGTTTTTCCACGCATCACTTTTAAGGATAAGGGTTCGTATTCGGAGAGTTCGACGAAGGAATACGATCGATTGGCCTTTAAATATCTTGGCTGGGCATGCTTTCCCCTCTTGATTGGTTATTTTGTCTACTCGCTGATCTACAATGAGCACAAAGGCTGGTATTCCTTTGTTCTGAATATGTTGTACAGTTATTTGCTCACTTTCGGGTTTATACTGATGACTCCCCAATTGTTTATCAATTATAAACTGAAGTCTGTGGCCCATTTGCCTTGGCGCATGATGACCTATAAATTCCTAAACACCTTCATCGATGACATCTTTGCGTTTGTCATCAAAATGCCGACAATGTATCGGATTGGCTGCTTCCGGGATGATATAATATTCTTTGTGTTCCTCTATCAGCGCTGGCAATATCGTGTCGATCTCAAGCGTGTCAACGAGTTTGGTTTCTCCGGCGAAATGGAAGTGCAGGCAGCAGCCAGTAAAGTGAGACTCGAGGGGGATTTGGATGCTGCACTGCATCCAACTGGCGCCATCCAAGCAGCGCCAAGTGCTGAAGCTTCTCCCACACTGAGCAAATCCAAATCACCTTCGACTCCCTCGAAAAAGACAGCCGCACAAAAGAAACAGGATTAGTTAAAACACAAAACAGAAAAGGAAAATACATAAAATATACATAATGCATTAGAACAAATTAAATTCGACATTGTTAAGTAAAAAATAATAATTATTTCTGTGTGTATGTAATATTAATGTATGTATTTTTTAGTAACATATGCATAAAAACTAATTCAGTATATATACATATATATATAGTCAAGAGCAACTCGATATTGAAACATATTCTAGCTGTAAATTTTGTTTGTTTCTTATCTTTTTTTGTTGGTCCAAATGGCGGTCAATTTGCTTTGACTGCTCAAATAAATTCACTGCGAGAATCACCCTTTTTTTTATCTAATCTCGGGGGATGCTAATCTTGAAGCTTTGGACTCAAAAATGTGACAATAATAGTTAATTAGGTTTTGAAGGTTTTTTGGGCGCTTTTACTTAAATTTTTGTAAACAAATATTCAGAAATTGTACATTATAAATAGAGATGATCGTATAATATTATAAAAATTATTTAGTAATGTATTATTAATTATCTTATGAATTATTTCACAACAAGAAATACTCTTTTTTCGTATACAAAGAGCATTAAAAATGCTCGCTAACGTTTAAAAAAATATCCCTTATGCGGTACTCGCTTTACAGCACTGTCAACTTGTTGCTGCTGAACATTGTTTTGTGTGAGTCAAAGAATATTGAAATTGTACAATTTAAATTTCAATATTTAAATCGTCTACAGACCAGTAATTATATCAAATAAATAATTATTTTACAGTAAGAAATTCTCTTTTTATACTTTCACATACAAATAACATTTAAAAATGCCCGCAATTGTTTTAATATATGCTATCCCACTTTGTCGTTTCTGAGCACTGTTTTGTGTACAATTAAATACAACAAAAATACCAAGGGCATATTATGCATTACATTTTTATATTTGTTTATCAAAGAGTGTGGACAAGGAATTAGATAAAATAAAAACAAATAAATAAGACATTTATTTTTATATTTTCGTACACGAATAGCACCGCTAATATTAAAATTACTCGTTTTACAACAGTGTCTCCTTTGTCGCTGCTGAACACTGTACTGTGATTGTTAAAGAAAATAAACCAATTACCAGAGGAGTGGTGCCTTAAATTTATACAATTGTTGCCAATCGCTGACAGACAAAGAATTGCAACAAATAAATATTTATTTAACAACAAGGTATTCCCTTGGAACTTAAATATTCCATTCTATGGCGCATCCTTGTATTCCAGTAGCTTAAAAGCAGCACAGTCAGCAAAAGTGAAAATTCAGCGCACCAAATACAAACAGAAAGACAGATACAAATGTACTCTGAGTGGGCATCGCTGTCGGCAGAGATAAATGCCAACAGTTGTGGAGCGCAATGTTTCAGTGTGTTAAACAAGTTTCCAGCGTCCGCTGGTAGGGAAGTAGTCATCTCTGTTGTCAAACAGCTGGGCACCAATTTGGGCATCACACAGAATGCAGAGCCTAGCCATTTGGTTAAGGATGACGAGGTATGAATGAATGCGATAACACGTTTAACACCACTCTAACATTTTTATTATATATTTAAAACACTTAATATATGGTTCAGTATTCCGCACCCTAAAAATTAAAGTTTGTACTGCTCTTGGAGTTTTTTAAATATTTATATACATATATATTTTTATTTTTTTTTCATTTGAAGGGAAAAGTGCTAAAAAGTATACATAACCATCTTAAACTAACAAATTCAAAAAAGAAAACATTTGAAAATATTTCTTGTGAGAGTGGTGCTATTGTTTTTTAAGCAACTATATTTATATGGTACTCTCCATAGGTCAAATGGTGCATGGATGTCATCTGCTTTGGATTGTCGTTGCCGTTGCAAGAGCATGAGACGATCAAAGATTGTGTTAACGTTTATTGTGAATGGCTAACGGCTCTGCATCCGCAGCCACGTATCAGTGTGCCCAAGCCCATCTGTGAGGATGCCAATCTCTATGCCCGGCAGATAATCAATCATTTTCATAATCTCTTCGTCCCGCGACAGGGTGAAAGTAAGTTAATTATTAAATAATTATTAGTTTAAGACTTACAAAACTCTTTATCCAAAATGCCATTTTGTAATTTTTGCCCATTTTTGAATTTCAAGTCTTACCATTTTTATACCAAACGAAGCTTGGTAGGTGCTCCATGAAAGAAATGTGATTGATTGATTGATCTAATTACTGTTAATTCCTTTTATATGTATATATATATAGGCACCGATACCATTAAGCGCCAGGCGGTGCTCTGTCATCGCGTCCTGCGCACTCTCCAACAAACCGCTCAAATTTCACAACAGATGGATCGACAGACTTGGGATACTTTACTGCTCTTCCTGCTGGCCATCAATGAGATTCTGCTAGCGCCGCCCACCGTCAAGGATGACGTGGGTGATCAGTTGTGTGAGCGTGTGCTCTCCGTGCTCTTCGAGGTTTGGCTGCTGGCCTGCGTACGCTGTTTCCCATCGCCTTCGCTGTGGAAAACGCTGCAAGAATCGTGTGCCATGTGGCGACATCGTGTTGCCCTTGTGGATCAATGGAATCGCGTGAATTTGGCCATGACGGCGAAATTGCTGGAGTTTAGCTATGGTCCAGATTTTACACAGCTTAAAAATGGTAGGCCTATGTTTCTTGAGATGAAAATTCAACACAATTATATATAATAAAATAATATATAATGTGAAAATAAAGAATAGGGTGCAAAGCTCAGGTTTAGTGTAAAAAAAATACAATAAAATGTAATTTTTAATATAATAATATAATATCACTTACTTCTTGCAGTTGAGGATGAAAGTCAGCTGATACCTACTGGCATGTCCAACGATTGTGTGGCTCAGACTTGGTATCGATTCCTGCGTATGATTGGCAACCCCACAGCTCTGTGCTCGCCTCATCTCATCAGCAAATCGCCGCACTTTGTCCAATGGGCTTTGACACATGAGAAGGGCGCTGAGACGCATCAGCATCCGTGCCTCCAAATGCTTCCCCAAATCTTTCTAAATGCCATGCGAGGGATTTCCAGTCAGGTGGATGCTTTCTTGGGTATTTATGTTTAGCTTTAAAATAGAGATACATGTAGCTTTTATATATTAGCTAGTTTAGTTTTCTACCTTTGTCATCTATCTCTTTCGCTTCTAAACCTTTTCAAAATTGTTGTGCGCTCAGGCATTTATCGGGCATCGGGCAATCCGCAGGACCAATCTGTTGTTACCAATTTGCTTGAGATACGACACTCTTTGAACGAGGCAACCTCATCCACACTGCAGCAGTTCATCCACTCGAACAGCGTCTCAAACATTAGCATGCAGCAAACGGGGGCATCTTCTCAGACTCAACATCATCATCACCATCACCACTATCCGCATTTGCATTTACATGGCGCTGGCCATTTTCTGCGCGATAACTTTGTCAGCAGTTCGGCGAGCTCTGCTCTAAATGCAATCATGGGGCATCATCATCAGCAACACCATCAACAGCAGCATCCACAGCAGGCACAGCTCGCAGGATACAGCAGCATTTGTGGCGCTTCTCCAACGAATCTTTGCCCTGTCGGTGGTAGCATAAGTGCTGGCGGCAGTCACTCTGCGGGCGTTGTTGGCTGCATCTCGTTTAGCACGGCAGAGGCAGTGCCTCTCTCGAGTGGCAGTGGCAACAACAGTGTGACACCAACGCCACCGTTGCAACGTCGCCTGGCAAAAAGTTTCAGTGTGGCACCATCGGTTACCACGCAGCAGAAGGGTGCGATTTTCTTTGATTCGACCTACGTTGATTTCGCTTTTGTTATTGTTATTGTCACTGTCTTTTTTTTACCGTGTACTCGTGTTTAGCATGTTTGACCTTTTGTCTCTGTTTTCTGCAAAACGATTTATTTATATATTGCATAAATTTTACACTTTATTTAAAGTTGTTTCCCTGGCATGTTGATTTCTCACGCTCTGCTGATTTCGTTTGATTAATTCTTTAATTTGCCCATACGCCCCCATATCAATGCTTGCTCTAATATATATATATATTTTTTTTACACTCGTAAAAAATTGTTCTGAAATTTAGAAATTCACCAGAAATTCTTAACCCTAAGTCCAATATTGGGAAAAATTTGTCTAGATTAGAGGGTGTTTTTTTAGAACTGTAAAGTTAGTTTTTTATATTGATTTTATTATCAATAAACATTAGTATTTTTAGATTTTACATATATTAACATTTTACATGGTTTATAAATACATATAATTTAATTTGGGCTACCCGGCATCTCGGGTGGACAACAGCTAATCTCTAATATAAGAGCTAAGCCTGTAAATTACATTACTTATTTCTGAATTATAGAATGTATATTTTTTTTATTCGATAGCTTATGAAGGATTTTATGAATTTAAAATTTGATTCGAGAAAACTTTAGATTTTAATGCGATTCGCCTTCTAAGGTAGATGACAACTAAGCTCGATTATACAAGCTAAGCCAGTCAATTTTATTACATGTTTCTGAATTTCATGAACGATTCTTCAAAAAAAAAAAATCTTTTAGCAATGTATTTCATAATAATTGAAAATATTTCTAGAAAAGAAAAAAATAGAAAAATACCATAGTTTTGCGATTATCGATTTAGGTCAAGCATTTCAAATTATTAGAATATTGTTTTTCTTATATGTATTGATTATTTATAAAAAAATAACCTAAAACAGAGGATTTCTGCATTTCTGCTTTTTAGAAATTAATTTCTTAATACAAATTCCATATTTTTGGGATTGTCGATTTAGACAAAACCTTTGTAATTCGTAGAATATTTTTTTTACTATTTAGAAATTATTTCTACAACCAAGAAAGGGCGATTATTTTGCTGAGTGTACTCGTGCACATTAATACACAAGTATTTAAACCTTTCTTCACGCTCTCATATTGTTTGATGTTAATTACGCCCACAATTAAAAAAAATGCCAAACACATCGCTGCATGTGCACACATGCATTCACACATACACACACACATATGCATATATGTGAATGCTTGTGTGTGCGCTGAACACTTACCGACAAGTGTTTGTTAACAAATTTTCACACGCTTTCCCTTCCCACACACACACACACACGCTGCTTTGCAGGCCTGAGCAGAACCGCGCTTATCAGCCTAACACGCAGTTCGGCGAATGCTGCCGCCGCCGCCCCAACGACGCCGACCTCGGGTCCGCCCTCATCAAGCAGCATCAACTGTGAGTGTTGTATACTCCCCCACACCGAACAGCTGTTGTTGTTTTTGTTTACCCACGCTCTCTCACACTCTCTTAACTCCCATTCACAGCACTGCCGTCGATCGGCAACGAAATACGCCCCCCTCCGCTTTCGATGGCTCGTCCCAAGTGCAATAGCATTCTGCATTTATTCGGCGAATGGTTGTTCGAGGCAGCGCACATAGGTGGCGACACTTGGCTGCAGAACCGCAAAAGTAAGTAATGTTTTTTATCTATTACTAAATGAGTGTTGTGAAATGCGTATCAATGTTATTATTGGATCTTTCCACACAGAACAAGCATGCGAGGCTAGCAAGCGACCATCATCGATGATAATGGAAAATCGCAAGGGTTCCATTTCGCTTTCGCAGCCGAATTCCCTGAATGATCCCTCATCGCTGCCGCCCACGCTAACCATTGATAAATACGAATCGGGACGTGCCGAGGCCATTGGTACACTGTGCAAAATATTTTGTGCCAAGAAGACGGGCGAGGAAATTCTGCCCGTTTATTTGGCTCGTTTCTATATGGCGCTGCAGCAGTGCCTCAAGATCACCGAGTCTAAGGAGTGCGATGAAACACTGGCCAGCATTTTGCTCCATTCGGCGGATCTGTTTCGCTTGGATCTGGATGGCATTAATGTGCTGCTGCCCGGCTTTATAGCCGCATTGGAAATTGTGCTGCCCGACAAAGATTTGAAGCTGAAGACCCAGGCATTGACATTCAATCGCACCGATCTGCGCCGCTCGGCAATAAATATTTTGCTATCGATCATGGTGCTTCCGCTGCACTATCAGGCACTGCCTATACGTAACTTGGCTTCCGGAGACACGGGCGAGAAGTGAGCCCCACAAAATTATAATAGATTTTGTTATTTTAAATATTTCTTATTATTATTAATAATCTTTTTATTTAGGGTGTTGACCTTCATGCAACTCAAAGCACGGCTAATGAATATTCTGATGAATGCGCTACAGGTGGAACTCGATGCTCAGAACACGCATATGCTTTTGGGCGGACTGTTGCTCTGTGTGCAGGATGCAGTCACCTTCGAGGAGACCTTCGATCTTGGTAGTGGCTCAGAGCATTTAAGTGGCGCCGCTGGTGCTCAGCATCATGAAGAGAATCTCCTCAGTTCTGGTAAGCCGCTTTAGAGGCGAATTGTCTTTCACCACACTCAGAAAAAAAGTTGACCTAAATCTTAGAAAATCGCCCTGAAAACTAGAAAATTGTTCTTGGTTTTAGAAATAATTTCTAAATATAAGAAACAAAATTTAAACAGGCTTGCATAAATCAACCCACCAAAAATGTATTTTATTTTTATTTCATAGAAATATTTTACAAATTTTTTTTAACAAATAATCTAATTTTAGAGTTCTAAATTTTTTAAAAATTTACCTTACAATTGAGAAAATAAAAACTGGTTTCTTGAAATTTACTTTCTGTATATTAATGCGAACTATACTTGACGCCAATAGAACTGTAAATTTATCAAATTCGGAAAGATTTTTTTTCTGAGTGCAAAGTTGATTGATTATTAATTTTTTATTTGTTGTAATTTGAATTTATTTTTTATTTTGGTTTTTTTTTTTTAATATTTTTAATGTTTTGTTGGTTGGTGCTGTTGTCAGCATGCTCGGAGCGTTCCGCTTCGTTGACCAGCGGCACGGCCAGCTTTGGGGCACAAACACACACAGCTACGGCTTCGGCTCACGATTTTCCCAGTCTGACCATATCAGATGATATATCTGTGGAATTTGCGCACGATTTTGAGGCCGTTGCATCATATGGTAAATCTTTATTTTATTATTTATGTTGTTGCATGCAAATTTGTAATTTTAATTTCTAATGGTTATATTTTAACATAGCTAATAGTTCAGGCTTCGACGTAATTATTAATATAGGTGGCTGTTGTTATAAATGTTATGTATGCGATTTTAGTGGTGTGCGAGAAATCGTTAAATTTATTTCTTTCGTTTTTTCTCTATTTGTTTATTATTTAATTTCAAAACACATTTTTATTAATTTAGTAATATTATTTATTGATTTCTTTTTTACAGACAACGCACATGCCTTATTCGTGCGTGCCACATATTTGGTGTGCCACCGTTTGATCTCCTCATGGAAGACGGACCTTAACGTTTCACTAGCTGCTCTGGAATTACTATCTGGTTTGGCGCGGCTTCACATACGCGACACAGGTATCGTATTATGATCACCCCTTGCATGTCTCATTATTTTTATATTTTCCCACGTTGCGTTTCTCATGTACAAAAAATTCCACACACAAATCACTTTGAATTATTGATTTTAAAAACCACTGAAAATTGCAGCCAGGAAATTAACAAATGGTAATTGACTTAAATGCTACGTACTAACCACATGCACAATTTTCTTTTTCTTTTCTTTTTTATACGTTTCTTCTCCGCCCAACTTCCCCCCACATCTTAACGCTTCTCCACACCCATTTTAACACTAATTAACAATTGTTTTATAATTGCAAAAACCCAACATACACATATTCAACTTTTGATTTGTATGTGTTTATTTTTGTATGATATTCACCAATGTAAATAACCCAAAATAACCAATTAACCACTGTAAATAACCCACCTAAGATTCCTTAGTAAGAATAGTAGAACCAAGTCAAAATCTAACGATAATCTCCACAGACGCCCTAGAGTGCAAGCGTGCCGTCAAATGGATATGTGACTACATATGCTATCAGTGCTCGCGTCCACCACCGGCGCACAGCAAGGATCTCCATAGCACCATTGTGGCTGCATTCCAATGCACCGCCGCCTGGCTGATGCAGCATCCGTATCTGCTGCAGGAGAAGGACTGCCTGCAGACGGTGCTCGAGGTTGTCGAACTGGGCATTTCGGGCACCAAAAGTCAGAGTAAAAATGGCGATCTACCGAAATTCAAAGATGAAAAGGAACTAAAACCGGCCTCGATGCGTGTACGGGATGCAGCGGAAAATCTGCTTACCATCGTCCTTGAGCAGGTCGGATATTTTCCCAGCGAGTGCGGACCCGAATCCATATCATCACTGCTGGATGAGATGGCTCTGATGAAGCACTGCAATTCCTTGCCCACAGGAGATGGTTCAGCTGGCGTTTGCAATGCGGAACAGGCTATCTCAAAGTTTAAGTATTTTGTGACGGAAAACTCAACGATTTTGGCACTGCTCGAAGAACCTTTAGGCAATGACCAGGATCCGCAACCAACGGTTACGCGTAAGTGAAATCCTATTCCTAATAATCCTCCTCCTTCTCCTTGCCCTCTCCAATTTGCCTGTTTATTCTACCAACCTTCATATTTCAGTGCTCATACGTGGTCCTTTTGGTCGTCATGCCTGGACGATGCAGTTGCGCCATTTGCCACGCAGCAAGTCGGGCATCAAGTATCATGCTGCTAATCCCGGCCGGCCCATACCCATGAATGACATCACACAACGTCCCGAATGCGAGCAAAAGAATTTTCCCGAGGGAGTGGACAAAGTACAGCCTTGCGTTGCCGATTACTCAATTCCTACGCTGGATCTGATCCGTGAACAGTATGGCGCTGGCATCATCAGTGAGCTGGAGGCGATGCTTGAGAATCAGAACATCCACGAGAAACTGGCCTGGGCGGAGTCGGACAATAGTGTGGACAGTCTGTCGCATTCCCACGAATGTGTTCCGCCCACGGTCTGCCATGAGTTTCATGCAGCTCGACTCTTTCTCTCCCATTTCGGTTTCCTGAGCTTTGAGATACGCAAACCAAATGATCCGGTAGAATCACTAGCACCTCCACAAAGACCACTCATTGTGCTGGACACAAAATCAGCGGCTTTCGCTACGGATTTGGATAAACTGGATAAGCTGAGCGCAAGGACGCATGATACGGTGTATTGTTTTTATGTGAAGGTGGGATTGCGTTAAACTTCCGCAACAATTATAATATTTTTATATATTTTAAATTTTGAATATTTTAATACTCTTTTCTTTGCAGGCTGGACAATCGAGCGCGCAGCAGATAATTGGTAACATGGCTGAGGATCAATCCTACGATGCACACTTCGCCAATATGCTACAGACGCTGGGATGGCCAGTACAGGTCGCTGAACACTCCGGTTGGACCGGATTCGCACACAATTCGTGGTCTCTAAAAGGCGCTGACCGCCAGCATCAAGCGAACAATAATGTGACCAGCGAATCGAATTACAATGGCGCCCAACGTGTGCTTTACTGGGCAGATGTCTCATCGGAGATTGCGTTTGTGGTGCCCAATGCCTGGAATCTGCGCTATAATAACGACATGGACGCCTGTAGTCTCTCCAGCAATTGTAGTGAGCAAAACACGGCAAGCAATGTTTGGATTCGTAGCGATGAGACTGGCTCTATGAAATCATCCAAGCCACGGAATCTCAGCTTGGAGCTGGATACAGGTAATAGAGGCAAAGAACCCGTGCCGCCAACGCGACGCAAGGGCACGGTGTCGAAGCCAACGTTACTTGTCCAAGCGCCAGCAAAGGTCTTCCTCGTGTGGCTCGAGAGCTTTGAGGATTATTTGAATTTTCCGGTGGAAGATCTTCTGGTCTATGCACGCACCGGCGAAGAAGTACAACCCATGCAGTTGCCCCGCGCAGCCGATTGTCACGTGATATTCGTGCATTCGCTGCAGTCCGGTTTGCTGAGAGTGAAACTACTCGGACCACCTGGTCGGATGAGCTTTGCCACACCCCTTGTCGATGGCATGGTACTGAGTCGACGCGTTGTAGGTAATTTGGTGCGTCAAACGGCGCTAAATATATCGCGTCGCAGACGTTTAGATAATGATAAGTAAGTATTTTCTGTGGACTTATATTAAAGTGATTTTTCTTATATACATATATATATAAATATATTTGTTTTTACTTTTTGCAGCTACCAACCACCTCATGTACGGCGCCGCCTTAAGGTCCAGGACATAGTCCAAAAGTATAAAATGGATCTGAGCGAAGCAGAGCTGCTGGCGCACTTGTTCCAACGTTCGGTTTAACTTGTGGGTATTTAAATCAATCACAACTAAATATTTTCAATCGTTTTTATTAATTTTAGTATAAATTATATACAACATTCTTATAAATAAACTAACATAGTTAGATCCTTAAATACAACAACAAATTGTAAAATCATAACTGACTAAGTTAAGGCACTGCATCCACTATGCCCTTGAAGCTAGTCTAGGAGCTAAGGTACTTCCCTGGTCTCCGTTCCATCAAATATTTGCACTTTAATTTATATTTATATAGACACTCAAAAACAAACAAAAAAAAAAACATTGCAAGTTGAGGCACTGCATTCACTGCGCCCACATACTTAGCCGTTGCGATTAAAGCGCGAATTCCACTAATCCAACAAAAACAAAGAACACCAACTACCACTCGTACTGGCTGCTAGCCACAACTGCTGGGCTGAAGCTATTTTTATTCGTTTTGTTACTGGGTCTTTTTTATTCTGGGCACGCTTTTTGGGCAGCAATCGCAGCAGCAGCAGCAACTGCAACAAACAGCATCGCATTACTATGCTGGCTGGCTGGCTAGCTGGATGACTGGCCTGGACTTTGCGTGTTATTGTAATATTCCTCAAAGATAAGAATGCGACCAGACCGGACTGCATGCTGACCGCCTGACTGCTGCTGCTTCATTAGACTCGCAGCACAACACAGTTCATAACAACAAAAAATAAAAATCGAAAATCGAGCAAATCTCTTGTTCTGCACTCTTTACTAAGTTAAGTGACAGTTTTGCGAGTCAGTCATAGTTAGCTGCTGCTGCCAGCTAGGCTCGTTAATTGTCACACGTGAGAAACAAAAGACTTAGGTAACAGACTTTAAAAGACTTAGGCAACAAACTTGAACGATTTTATTAGAAGTTTAGTTTTTAAGCGACACCAGCCCCTAAATATATTCTGATTATGTGTTTATAGTCTAAAGGGTGTATCAGACGAACTTGAACGCTTGTCAAAAAACATATTAATTTTTAAGCAACAGCATTCGTTAATATACTTTTTATGTGTATCATAAAATTGAGCGAGATTTTCATATGTATATCTGCAGCATGAATGCTTGGAATTAAGTTGATGATTGCTCAAGGCAAACGAACTCTATAGTCTCTATAACCTCACACTCTCATGCCAGAGTCCAGTGTACACCATACGTATGCAGGCATACGCATACATTTGTTCACGCCAATACAAAAGGGAAGTAAACGCAGGTCGAAACACTACAAAAAAAATGAAAAGAACAAAAAAAGAAAAAAAGGCATCTACTACAACAGCGGTAAAGTAAACGACAACTAACCATAAGAAAAATGACCAGCGATAATTTTAATTTGAAACCAGTTTCTATGCCAAGCGAAAATTCTGTGGCGCTGCCGAACACCAAAGACTGCACAGATCCAAACAACCAGAAGAAGTGGTAAGCTAAACAAAATTACAAATAAGAGACACAAACACACTGTCAGAGAGAGAGAGAGAGAGTCACAATTGGAGAGAGAGAGAGGGCGTGGGAGAGAGAGAGAAATAGAGAGAGAGAGAGAGAGAGTACCCACAGAACTAGAGCTTCTTCGAGGCAAAACACAATTTCTGGTTTCCAAAGGCAACGAGAGCCCGAGAGGAGACACTGAGTCACGAATGAAACCGAGCAACAATTCAGCGGCAAGTGGAGTGAGCAGCAAAGTAATTTTTAATCTTATTGTGTATGGAGTTGCCGGTGGCTAATGAATCTTGTTGGGTTGGCTTGCACACAACAAATGCGGGCTTCATCATCATCATCACCATCGAGCACCTCACGTATTCGCTGAGAGAGCGACCACGTCCAATATTATTTCATAGAGCAAAGGCAAAGCGCACACTCACCCAGTTACGACTACATACTCGGAGAAATGTTGAACATGCCGCAAGAGAATTGAAATCGGAGTCGGAGTTGAAGCCGAAGCTGAGGCTGGCAAACGTTTTGGTACAAGAAAATGAAAAATGAAACTGCAACAAGTGAAAAATATGTTGCGGGCGACGGCACAGGCGATGGCAGAATTTCTCTGTCTATGTTCCTGCTGCTGCTGCGCATGCGCATGCGACGCAACAGGTAGAAGACTCAGCTCGGGGCAAGCGGGGCGTGCAGCAACAACGAAAACAACAAGAATAAAACAAGCTACCACATTTGGTACTTTTATGACGAGCGCGAGAGGCGAGCCAACCGGGCTCTCTTCGAACCTCCTTTTTCGTCTGGTAGTGAGTCCCTCTATGCACTCAGAAAATATCGCAGTGAATTTTAGAAATGGCGCTTAGGATAGCTTACCTTATTACTCAGAGTATATATTTTTAAAATCTGGGCTTTTCTTTTCTTAATTTCAGGGTAAATTTTTTTATGTAGAAAAATATGTTTATTTATCAGGGTGATTTGTCCAGAAATTAGATTTGTTGTGTTTTATATTAATAGTAAAAATGAGTATATTAAGATTTCACACATAGAAATATTTTAGATAATTTTTTAATTTATCTAATTTAATATTCCTAAAAAATAAAAAAATCACCATATTCTTGGGCTTGTTGATTTAGATCAAGCTTTTCTAATTTATAGATATTATTTTCCTAATATTTAGAAATAGAAAATTTAATAACCGTAAGTCAATCTTAAAAAATATGAATTGTGAATACGTACGAATACCTATGCAGCAAGCAAATACAAGACGCATGCATCTAGTTTTCGATTTTCTAAAATTAGGGCAATTTTTTTCTGAGTGTAGCATCTAGTGTATCGCTCGGCGCAAACCTGTCAAGCCACTATTCGAAGCCTGGCTGCCGCTATGTTCATAATTTTTTTGCTGCCTGTTGCTGGCTGTTGCTGAGTTGCAAGTTGCTCTCTTGCTCAGTGCTTGGCAGTCTTTTAGTTACGTTGCGACCACAGAGCGAGTGGCAGTTGGCTGAGTTGAGTTCAGGGAACGTGTGCGCGTGAAACGCTTGACAAAAAAGTGAAGGTGCGACGGATGCTCAGGTTTCGTTCGATCACATAGTTATACATAGCTATAACCCATACTCATGCCAAAGTGTTGATGCGTGTGCTACATATTTTGCATAAATCCCATGATTCATAATTAATAATATACATCAAATATATAAATGTGTACATATATATTAAATCATATCCATCGCAGTTGGTAAATTAAGTGCAACCACCACTGCGTATGGGCATCTCTCGCTCCCTGACCGAGCTGTGCCTGTGTGTCTGTGTGTGTGTGTCTCTGTTGTCGTTGTTGTATTTTGTATAAGTGAAAAATTCCAACAACGTTGCAGGCCGCACTGCAGCAGCAAATACAAGAGCAGAAATGAAGCAAAACACGTTTTGCTGAAAAAAATATGCTGCGTCTGACGATGTTGCATTTGTGTTTGTTTTGTGTCTTGTGTGTGCGCGTGTATGTATTCCAGCTCAACCAAAATCAACTACAACAAGCCTATCATCACAAAACTAATTTTAAAATGTGAACAAAAATGGTAGGTATATATAATATATAATCTATGTATAGATAACTCGTAAATAAATATGGGATGGATATATATGTAATTAAATATAGACAGAAATGTTATTAATAGTAATTTCCAAAATGAACTATATATTTTAAAACCATAAGCCAATATTAAATAATATTATTAGTGAATATGTAAAAGAAAATAAATATAAAAAATATGTATACATCCAAATAAATAAATACAGGAATCTGAGAAAAACCAATTCCCAAAATGAAATCGGAAACTTGAGGCCATTAGTCAATCTAAAAAATATTTATAGTGAATATGTATGTTTTACCTATTCGGTAAACAAATATAAGATGCATACATGTAAATAAATAAATAAAGTCAATCTAGAAAAAAATATGTATGTGTTAAACCACTGATAGATAGAAAGCTTACAAAGCGAAATAAAGCGAGAGCAAAACAAACTTGAATTCAACGCAGCAAACTCAAACAAGATTAATTGTTGAATTTTTATAATTCAAAGGCAACGTAGGCAGTCAGTTGCTTGCTGTAAAGGTTGACGTCTTTTGTCTTGTTGTCGGCAGAGGCTGAGTTGAGTTTTGAGTTTGTAGCTGTCACGTAATAGCTTAAATCGCTAGATTTTTTTTTTATTTGAATGTCTAAGAGTCATCGAATGAAAATAGTAAAAGAATAATACGCTTTCTTATAAATAAGTAATCTTGTGATCATTTATAGCAGGTATATCGGCGGCTGACTACGAAATGTAAATGAATATGGAAATATGAAAAACACGTTTCTTCAGGCAAGCTAGCTAGCTGGATGTAGTAATAAAGTGAAAAGCACACATACAGAAAAAGCTCATCCAAATAAAGATCATACATTATTGTATGTCATCTATGTCTCTCTCTCTCTCTCTCTCTCTCTCTCTTTCTCTCTCTGTTTGCTAGTATGTATGTTTGTGTGTATATATGCCATACTTGTAGGGCGCCTTTTAGCGACGCGCATTGATTCGATTTGGCTATCGTTGTTAAGATTATTATTCCTTACGAATTCTGAACTTGGCCAGCGGCTAACCGAGTTTTTTTGTATGTCTTGGTCTTTTGTTATAATTTGCATTGCAAATCTATAGCTGAATCTTCTACAGATATGGTTAAAAAGAGCTCGCACAACTATCTATGTACATTTTACATTTTTATATTAATAGGCGTGAAGAGATAACTCTTTTAAATCGTATTTTTCTGACTCTAAGTATAAATTAATTCAAAGTTATTTATTTTTACATATTGTGTAAAACGAAAGAAAGAAGAAAACACTCTGAAAAGTCTTATTACTCATACTAGTGGCATTTGAATAGACAAAAGAGCGATACATATGCAGAGACTGAAATCATGTATATGCTTTCATTTAAAAACATATGTATGTATATATACATATATTGATGTATGTATGCGGGTACGCGCTAGTGTTATTGTACAAATAACTTAGATATCTTTGAAAAAATAAAAGCCAACGCTGGGCACAGCAATAAAGGCTAACAATACCATTATAGTTGGTAGATTTTAAAGATTAATGACCAAGTTCGGCTTGAAAAGCTTTAGACAGCTTCAACAAATCAGAGGTAACGAATTTACGACGAACTTAAAAGAGACATATACATATTAACACATCTGTTGTTTGTATGCACAAACGTTGAAACATATATAAGCATTTCGTTTTGGAAGCATATTTCAGGCCCGCATATAAAAACACAATACGACTCTTACCATAGGTGTTAGGTGTTAGTCGAGATCCATTCGCCTTTCCCCAATTTAATTTTTTTTGTCTTGCTGACAAAGTTGTTGCTGTCTAGTGTAGGTTTCGGCTCATATTAGCTGTCCCTGGAATTTATATTCTTATTCTTATTATACTTGCATACTATTTGACATAATGATTTTAAGCAATAGTTTCACTTAACATTATACTTTTCTTTATCTACTTTTCGTAGTGCATGAAACTTAATTGAGATTGACTACATGTTAATTGTTTTGAAAGATTGGATTTATTCTTTAATTGGGCATTTAATTGATTCAATTGTTATTTTATTTGTAATTTACTTGGTTCAATAGGCAATATCTAAACATGTAAAAGAATTTAGCAAAGCAAACAGAAATTTGATAAAACGAACCGATTTTAATCGATAACAATTTCTTAATTATCTTTTGGGTAAGTAATTCTATTCAAGCAGTACTTCTTCAGGCCTATGATGAATAATTTTCAAATCAAAATAACCTTCGGTATCTACATCACAGTAGTGCTAAGCAGTGTAATTAACTGTTATTGCAGATCTAAATACTTTATTACGTTAACTGCATGCTATGCGTCGTCTTTTTCTCATAAGCTCCCATAAAAGCCAAGTGGTATTTTTATGCTCGACGAAGTATAAAAGTGTTTATGTGCTCAGTGGCCGTAGAGGCACGAAAAACTACAAAAACCACAAAAACGGAAGATACTTTGTCACTAGCTCCAAACTCACACTTACAAATATACTATTTGTGTGAAAATAAAAAAGAATACAAACGACTGTAGTTTATATTTTACTTAAATATAAACAAATCTAGAGATTAACAAATTAAAATTGTTTTAGCAAGCTTACAATATTAAATGCGAGCTGTATTTTCAGTCTTTTATTTAATTTACATTTTATATTTTATTTGTATTTAAACAAGTCTGGAGACCAAGAGATAAATATTGGTTTAATAATATTACTTAACTTAATTTAACTAAATGCGAGCTGTGTTTCACTCTGACAGCAGCTTATATTTTATTTAAACATATCTCGAGATCAACAAATTTAAATTAGCTTGGTTGTAAGTTGGCTCGTTAATATTCAGCTCTTAAATACTTTTTAAGCCACTGACTTTAATCACAGCTAATTATTAATTTTCTTTTTTTTTTCTACTTTACTTTCAGATCCAAAACTAGCTAAGAAAATGCCGTGTTTTGAGATATACACAGTACAAAAACATAAGCCGATCGCCAATGAAAACATTAAAAAGTAAAAATAACGAAAATCTACGAATACCAACAAAACCATTTAGGTTCATCGAGAAGATGCACCACTCGCTCCTCTCGATACGCGGCAAACGACGGGGGAAACTTTTGCCGCTGATCGTGGTGGTGGCAGCCACGTTTGTGTTAATCCAAGCATCCGAGGTACGATCCACCCAGCAATTGCTGGCGGCGCCACGGGGACGCAGCTATGCGACAACCTATGAACAATATGCGGCATTTCCACGTCGTCGCAGCTCCTCACCGACGGGTGAAATGCAATCGCGTGCCGTCGATACCAGCGCAGATTTTGAGGTGCTCGAGGGACAACCTCGTGGCACACTCGTTGGTTTCATTCCAACGAAACCGAAGTTCACCTATCGCTTCAATGAGCCACCGCGAGAGTTTACCCTTGATCAGATCACGGGTGAAGTGAAGACGAACGCTGTTCTCGATCGGGAGGGTATGCGGAGTCATTATGATCTAGTGGTGCTCTCATCACAGCCCACATATCCCATCGAAGTTCGCATCAAAGTGCTGGATATCAATGATAATGCGCCGGAGTTTCCGGAGGCAAGCATTGCGGTCACCTTCTCGGAGAGCGCCGTGACCGGAACTCGTCTGCTGCTCGATGCTGCAACGGATGCGGATATCGGCGATAATGGTGTGACCGATCACTATGAGATCGTCGCCGGAAATTTGGATAATAAATTTCGTCTGGTTACCACCACGAATCCCAGCGGGGACACCTCTTACCTGCATCTGGAGACGACGGGCAATTTGGATCGCGAATCACGTGGTAGCTATCAACTGAATATATCTGCCAGCGATGGTGGATCTCCACCCCGACTAGGATTCCTTCAGGTTAACGTGACAATACTGGATGTTAACGACAATCCACCGATTTTTGATCACAGCGATTACAGCGTGACATTGAATGAGACGGTTATGCCCGGTTCGCCGGTGCTCCAGGTGATGGCCTCCGACAATGATTTGGGTGATAATAGCAAGCTCACTTATTACCTGGCCGAAACAGAGCATCAGTTCACGGTTGATCCGGAGACGGGTGTTATTTCCACCACAGAGCGCCTGAATTGTCCACAGCAGACGACAAGTCTACTGACAAGGGAACCCCTGAGCAGGGGTCACATCCAGAAGAGTTGTGTTTTCACTGTCTTTGCTCGAGATCACGGCTCACCGCGCCAGGATGGTCGCACCTATGTCACCGTCAATCTGTTGGACACCAACGATCACGATCCCATCATACGTTTCCAGTACTTTCCACCAACGGGCAGCGTGGCCACCGTTGATGAGAATGCCAGCAATGGCACAGTTGTTGCTGCCGTCTCCGTAATTGATTCGGATGATGGTCTCAATGGAGAGACAACTACTCGCATCATTTCCGGCAATGAACTGCATCATTTTCGATTGGAGAAGACGCCCCTATTTCATATTGTACGCGTTAATGGTGTGCTCGATCGTGAGGAAATTAGCAAATACAATTTAACTGTTGTGGCTATAGACAAGGGAACTCCAGAACGGAAAGCTATTGCACATCTGATCATCAATGTGAACGACGTGAATGATCACGAGCCCGTCTTCGAGAAGTCGGAGTACTCGGCGGTGCTCAGCGAACTGGCTCCAACGGGCAGCTTTGTGGCCTCGATTGCAGCTACCGATGAGGATACCGGAGTAAATGCACAAGTTTACTATGAAATCCTCACAGGCAACGAACTCAAATGGTTCAACATCGATCCAGCTACGGGTTTGATAGTGACTGCCGGTCCACTCGATCGGGAAGTGCAGGCTAGTGTGGAGTTGAGCATCTCTGCGAGAGATGGTGGCCCCAATCCCAAGTTCGCGTATACTCAATTAAAGGTTACCATACTAGATGAGAACGATGAGGCGCCCCATTTTGGGCAGCCGCAGATGAACGTGAGCCTTAGCGAGGATGTGGCTCCACCGGCGTTGATCGCTTTGCTATCGGCGACAGACAATGATCAGGGCACGAATGGTTCAGTCACATTCTCGTTGGCTGCCAGCGTTGAACGGCAGTATCCGCAACAATTTGCTATCGACTCCATAACGGGCCAATTAATGACGCGCCAGCCGCTCGATCGTGAGACAATGGCGAATTATGAAATTTTTGTGATTGCACGCGATCAGGGCGCACCAGCACCACAATCGGCCACGGCAACTGTTTACCTTAGCATCGCCGATATCAACGATAATAATCCAGAATTCTATCCAAAGCACTATATCTACACGTTGAAGGAAAACAATATGCTACGCAGTCTATTGAATGTCACGGCCACAGATCGCGATGATGGCGATAACGCCTTAATTACCTACAACCTAGAATCGGGTGGCGACAACCACTTTCACATCGATTCGCGCAGTGGCTCAGTCATCTATATGCCACCACGTGGCGATGCCAATCTCAAGCGACCTCCGCACAAATCCTACTACAATCTGCGCATCTCGGCGAGAGATGCGGGTGAACGACGCGCTGCGCAGGATGCTGTTGTGGAGATTATATTGGAATCGAAGCGAGAGTCTCTCGATTTTGGCTCACACAATGGCTATGATTTTCAAGTGGTCGAGGATGGCGAACAGCAACAACAGCAGCAGAAGCATCTGAAGTTAGCTCGCGAAGTTGGTCGCGTCCAAGTGAAAAGGCAGCCAATTTTCGCCAATGCTGCCATCGAGTATCTCATCATCTATGGCGACAGAGGCGAGCACTTTGCCATTGATCCATCGAGTGGTCGCATCTCTACAGCTCGTCTTATCGATCGCGAGACGCAGTCGCATTATCAACTGATTGTCATGGCTCGTAGTACAAATGCATCGAGTTCGTTGTCTGGGTTTGCCTATGGCAAGTGCAATGTTCACATCACAATACTCGATCTGAATGACAATGCCCCCAGCTTTGCACAGGATCGGGATGCAGATGCGGCGATTTCGCTGCCAGAGAATACGGCTGTGGGGCAGGAGATCTACTTGTCGAGGGCAAGGGATAGGGATGCCGGCGTTAACAGTCGCATCAGCTATAATTTCACCTATAACCCAGACCAACAGTTTCGCATTAATTCGGCAACGGGTGTCATCTACCTCCAAAAGCCAATACGTGCAGATCCCGGTTCGGTTTTATACGTGGAGATTATGGCCACTGATGGAGGCAGCCCACCGCTAAGTAGTCGTCTAAGTCTTCCCGTGCAAATTGCAGATGTAAATGATCACACGCCGGTCTTTGATCACACCTCCTATGAGACATCACTGCTGGAAACCACAAAGGTCAACACTCGCTTCTTTGCCCTGGCCGCCTCGGACAGTGATTTGGGCGCAAATGGACGCATCTCATATGAGATTATCGATGGTAATTCGGATCGGAAATTTGGCGTCTTTCCCGATGGTTATCTATTTGTGAGAGCCACCCTGGATCGGGAAGAACGTGATTATTATGCGTTGACTGTTTCCTGTAGCGATGCTGGGACACCTTCGCGATCCTCTGTGGTGCCCGTGGTCATTCACGTTATAGACGAGAATGATAATGCTCCCCAGTTTACGAATAGTACATTTACATTTAATATACCAGAGAATGCACCAGCTGATACATTTGTGGGCAAGTTGACTGCCGTTGATCGAGATATTGGACGAAATGCCGAATTAAGCTTTACGGTCTCTGCGCAGTCGGTGGACTTTAAGATAGACACACATAATGGGTTTATTCGGACATTGCGACCCTTCGATAGGGAGGCTCTGGTGCGTAGGCCACGTGGCACCGATAATAGTGCCGGCGTGGTGGATGAGGAGCGTAATATGAGCAGCGGTGGTGGTGGTGGTTCAAACTATCTGCTGCTGGAGGCTATTGTCACTGATAATGGCATCCCCCCTTTGCACGACAAGGTCAAGGTCAAGATAATTGTTACAGATGTCAATGATAATGAGCCGGAATTTTTGCGTGCACCTTACCAAGTGACCATATCCGAGGAGGCACTCGAAGGCACACATATAATGCACGTCTTCACCCAGGACGCTGATGAAGGTCTAAATGGTGATGTTTACTATACATTGGTCGCGGGGAATGAAGGAAACTTATTTAGTTTGGATAGTGCCACGGGTCTGTTGACCCTCGCACATCAATTGGATCGGGAATCGCAGGAGATTCATCGTCTGACTGTAGTTGCGAAGGATGCGGCGCTGAAGCATCCTTTGAGTTCCAGTGCCAACATTACCATCATAGTGTTAGATGACAATGATAATGCCCCGGAGTTCACGCAGTCGAGCAGTGAGATATCCGTTTTAGAGACTAGTCCCAGTGGCACGGAGCTAATGCGATTTCGTGCCAGCGATGCGGATCAGGGCGTCAATAGTCAGGTGGTCTTTAGTATTACAGCTGGCAACCGGCGAGATACATTCCACATTGATAGCGTAAGTGGTAGTCTATATCTACATAAATCCCTTGACTATGAGGACATCACAAACTATACGCTAAATATAACAGCTTCGGACTGTGGCACTCCGCCGCTGTCTACAACGGTGCTCTACAATGTCATCGTTGTGGATGACAACGATAATCCTCCCATATTTCTAAGTACTGCAATTGTGAGACAGATCAAGGAAGGCATCGCCCTGAAAACACCAATTGTCACGGTCATTGCAGATGATCCCGACTCTGGTTTGAATGGGAAAGTGACGTATGTGATCAGTAGACAAGAACCGGAATTACAAGGTGGTCGTCACTTTGGCATCAACACACTGACAGGTGTCATTTATACGCTTCGCGAGATTGATCGTGAATCCATAGACAACTTTCGTCTGACTGTGGTGGCTACAGATCAAGCACAGCCCGCAGAGCGTCAGCTATCCACGGAGAAGCTTGTCACGGTTATTGTGGAAGATGTTAATGATAATGCACCGATCTTTGTCTCGATGAACGCCGCCATTCTCCCAATATTGGTGGATGGTTCGATTTCACCAGGTAGCATTGGGCGTCAGGTGATGCAGGTGCTCGCTCGCGATGCAGATTCCTCGAGCAACGGCTTGGTCACTTATGAAATTGTCGGTGGACAGCAGGAACTATTTCAACTGCAACGCAACACGGGCATCATCACTCTTGGCCAGGCGAGTTTGGTGCAGAGCAAGTCCCATGTACGCTACCAATTGACCTTGAAGGCCACCGATGAGGCAAGCGGGGAGCGGAAGAGCACCGAAACATATATCACAATTATTACACTCGGCTCGAGTGAGCGAGAGGAGGATAAGCCAGTTTTCGAGCAGCATAACGCCCTATTTGGCTCAGTGTACGAGAACGAACCAATCGGCACGAGTATTCTAACGGTAAGCGCTCATCTCGAGGGCGCCGAGATCGAGTACTTTGTGACAAATGTCACCACATCTTCAGCATCATCATCATCATCGGCATCGGGGTTGCAAGTCGATCGACTCTTCGATATCGATGCAAAATTGGGCATTTTATCGACAGCAGTCGAATTGGACCGGGAAGCCGGCCCACCCACCTATGAGATAGAAGTTCATTCCATTGTACTGGGCGGGAAGCCGCGCACTGCCCGCACAAAGGTAAGTGAACACTTCCACATTTCGCATTCCAATTCCACTGATGACTATGAGAAAGATGGCTGAGCTGCTGGCAGCTAGCTGCTCTTATAATGTCCAAGCTACAAAACAAGAGTGATTTTTGAAGTCAAGAGTAGACGACTACGAAATACACTGATACCAATAAGTAATATCATCTGCCACAGAGCACGGTGGGAGTAGCCAAGAAATGCTGATCTTTGAAGGGGGCTCCTAGTAATCCACCCTTTAAGTTTGTCTTTTATATTGCGACATAAGATATTAGAGAAGGTTTCTTGTAGTTTGCCTTCTTAAATTGCGGGAGATATATGCTTTTACGAATTTTGGGGCCGTGGCTGATGCCGATCAACAACCTACCTACCAAATTGGGTGACTGTAGTTTTCAAATTGTATGAAATATGTGGCTTTATCGATTTGCATTTATTGATTTTTACCGTTCCTAGTGAACTTAGCAGCCCAACTTTTAAGCTCTATCTGTCGCGAGCACAGACCAGTATACGTTGCAAGTTTCGTTCATACATACGGACAGAGAGCATGCACATATATACTCAATATACTCTTTTGTATCTTTGGTAACAAGGTATAACAACCCACTCTTGTCCGTCGTGGTTGTAGCTGTCCGGGTGTACATTATTGTCTCTGTTTTACGAACTTATCAGGTATGAGTTAAGACCGCACTAATGCGCTTTTAATGTCTAGTGCAGATACGAAAACTTGATTATACAAAAAATCAAAAATTTTTAGCAGATGGATTGAAATGCAAATCGGCCAAGAAAAAACAAGTCTGCTGTTTCACGCGATTTCTTCTGAATGGATGCTTTGAGGGACGCACACCAAAACCAAAAACTGTTTAAATAGGCCGCAGGGATAAAATTATAATACATAAAATTATTCCATTGGCAGTTGCCTTTAATTTTGTCCCAATACCCTACAATGCTCTTCTCGAGGTATTTCGTTTTCGTTACTCCAGTCTAGCCGCTAATATAATTTCATTTTATTTCATTTCGATGACCCATCGCAGGCAGCGCATAGCTCGAGTCTTGTTGCCGCCAACTACTGCAAAATCTTGCGACCTGTTTGCAGGCCATAAGTAAAAAATAAAAGAATTCGCAACAGTAAACATCTTTGGGGCTGCTGCTGAACACTGGACACGGCCCTTCAGCCAACGTCGCGCTACAATATTGATTCCCGGTCACTTCCATTTGGTTTTGCTCGGCGTACACTCAGAAAAACAAATCATCTTAAATTTTAATAGGTCGCCCTAAACTGAAAACCCCCCAAAAAAATTAGAAAAGCTTTCTAATTTCAAAATATTGGGAAATCAAAATTCTAAATCAAAATTCTAAAATTTTGAAATATATATATATATATATATATATGTATATGTATATTATATTTTGTATTCTTTGGAATTATTTTCTATTACAGATTTTTAGAAAGCAATATGCATAGATGTTAGAAATTTACTTTCTGAATAATAGGGTAAATCAACCATTGGCAATTATTTTTTTCTGAGTGCAGTTTTCACATCCGTGATTCTGACAAGCTCTGTGTATATGCGTAGGTATGCCAGCAATGCACGCATGCAAATGTGTATACGAGTAGTTCCAGTTCTGCGCATTGCTTCCAGCAAGTTGCTGCCTGCTTGTTGTATGTGTGTGTGCACAGTCAGACAAGAACGAGCTGATTCCAATGAGTGTTTGTGTGTGTGTGAGTCTGTTGCTGTTGCAGCAACTGCGGTTTGCGTGCTAAAAGTATTTCAATCAATTTTATTGTTTCTTTGATTTAAAACGATTGCCATGTTTTTTTTCGGCATGTGCGATTATTTTAAATATGTCTTAACCGCGTGTAAAGTGCTGACATTGCTTTAAGTTTGAGCAACAGATATCCGACGGAGTGATGAAAATCCCTTGTGCAATAATTAAACAATATAAATAACTTTATACTTTTTATTTCAACTAAAAATCTTTTTTGGTTTTCCCCTTTTATTCTCAGGTTCAAGTGACTGTTTTGGATAAAAATGATAGTCCACCGAAGTTTCTCGATACACCCTTAGTTTTTACAGTAAGCGAAGATTTGGAAATCGGTCTCACTATAGCGACAATACGTGCTACTGATCCTGATCCCGATATTATGAGTAGCATGATTTTCACCCTAACCAACGGTCATGATGACAAGTTTATATTGGAACCAACAACTGGAAAGCTTCAATTAGAAGACACCTTGGACCGGGAAACAAAGGACAAGTACGAAATGCGTATACGCGTGAGTGATGGTGTCCAGTATACAGAAACCGATGTTATCATACAGGTAGGAGTAACCTCAACATGATTTATATTAAATATAAAAAAAAATGAATGGCCTAAATTATTACTAAAATTTATCATTATAATAGTAGTGGAATATAGTTAAGTTTTCTCACCTTTCCCTGCGGGTAAATAATCTTTCATATCTATGAAAGGTGGTTATATTTAAGTATGTTTAGTATTTGGAAAATAATAGTATTTTAAAATATTCCCAGACGAGAAACCAAAAATTTGTTGTTTTGTAGAATTATATTTTCAAAATGAATATTGAAGATTCTGAAGAGGTCGATTTGATCGTCATCAACTGTATATATTAAAATTGTATACTTGTATTTTGAAGGTGGAGGACACGAATGATAATCCGCCGGTTTTTGAGGAGTCCGTTTACTCTTTCGACATACCCGAGAATGCACCACGTGGCTATCAAGTTGGCGAAATTGTGGCAAAAGATGCAGATTTGGCCCAGAATGCACAGATCTCGTATGCAGTTATTTCCGATTGGGCCAACGATGTGTTTAGCTTAAATCCTCAAACGGGTGCACTTACTCTGACGGCAAAATTGGACTACGAGGAAGTAAGATATACGACTATCTATTATATAGCACTTTACCTTCAACATTCTATATTGTTATTCTCTGAACAGGTGCAGCATTATATACTAATTGTGCAGGCACAGGACAACGGACAGCCCAGTCTAACAACTACGATTACAGTTTATTGTAATGTCCTCGATTTGAACGATAATACACCATTATTCGACCCTATGAGTTATTCGAGTGAAATATTTGAGAATGTACCCATTGGTGTCGAAGTGGTAACTGTCTCAGCCAAGGACATTGATTCAGGTACAGTTCTTAATATTTAATTTATTAAAGCAAAATGTAATCATTACCATTTTAATTTATTATTCAGGTAACAACGGCCTCATTGAGTTCAGCATAACAGGTGGAGATGCGGACAATGACTTTGGTATCAATAGCAATGGAACGATATACACTCGCCGCCAGCTCGATCGGGAGCATCTTAGTTCCTATACCCTAACAATCACTGCCCGAGATTGTGCCGATGAATTTGCCATTTTCAGTGAGCTGAAGGAAACGCAGTTAAAACTGAAAAATCGCTCGCCACGCCGCTATTATAAGACACATCAGCAAAATCATTTTTTATCTCAGCAAAAACAAATTCGTCTATCATCCACTGTACAGGTAAGCTCCTACTAAGCAACAGATTAACACTTTAGATATTCAGTAAAAAAAACCGGTTTATGTTTAAGTTGAAGTAACTGTGTCCGATCTAAGTGAAGTCAGATTACACTTTGTACGCTGTCAAGCCCTAATTAAATGAAAACAGCTTACACTTGCTGAAACCAGTTTTAAATAGATCATCGACCATTGTTCAAAGAAGTGACACAAATTCTTAGCCCTATCTAATCTCGAATTCGTTAGGTATCAACCGTACACTCAGAAAAATCGCCCAAAAAAATATATAGCTTTTCTTGTATATAAAACTTATTTATATATTTTTTGGGAAAAATTTGTTAAAAAAATAGAATGGTTTGCCTTGCATCGACAATTCCAAAAATATGGCGATTTTTTCTATTCCTTATAAATATTTTTTATTATTGAGTACAACATTTCTAAAAGTAAAAAGGCAAACACATTTTTAGAAGAAAAAAAAACATTCTAAAATTTAGAAACAAGTAAAAAAATTGGATGGTTCAGTTTTTATATTAGAATTTTATTAATAATATAAGTAACAAAAGAGCTAATATAAGAATTGTTCTATGGTACACACAGGGAAAACAACTGGAGAAATTCATATTTTTAATTTTTAGAAAAATTCAGCCTAAAATTTAGAAATACAAAACTCTGTTTTTTTGAAAGTCATAATCATACATTTTAGAAATGTACTTTCTGAAGAACTTTGTAACCAACCCTTTGCGTAAAATTTATGACGATTTACTAAAATTTAATGTATTTTTTTCTGACTGTTTTAACATCATTAATTACTTTTCTTTTCTACATTTTATTTGTTTTTTATTTTCAGGTAACGATACTTATCAAAGACGTCAATGACGAAGCGCCCGTGTTCGTTTCCGCAAACGAGACATCGGTGATGGAGAATGTTGCTACAAACACGGTTGTGTTTACGGTGAAGGCCATTGATAACGATGAGGGACGCAATGGCTACATCGATTATTTTCTTGATGACGCGCCCGCATTTGGAGACAATGACAATGAAGCGTTTGAAACTCTGCCATTTACCCTAAATCCCACCGATGGCATCTTACGAGTAGCCGACGCCTTGGATCGCGAACTACGATTAAACTATGTGCTGAATATAACAGCTCGAGATCGAGGAGATCCGTCACTCTCGACACAATCACAGCTAAAGATCAAAATACTCGATGAGAATGACAACATACCCGTCTTTGATCCAAAGCAATATTCCGCATCCGTGGCGGAGAATGCCAGCATTGGTGCCATGGTGCTACAAGTCTCGGCAACAGACGAGGACGAGGGCGACAATGGTCGAGTGCGTTACTCCATTGTGACGGGTGATCAAAATCGAGATTTTAGCATCAGTGAAGACACCGGCGTCGTAAGAGTGGCCAAAAATTTGAACTACGAACGCAAATCGCGATATGTATTGACAGTACGTGCTGAGGATTGTGCGCCGCATGAGAGTTCGAGTGATACAGCTGAGCTGATCATTAGCATTATTGACATCAATGACAACCGACCAACTTTCCTCGACTCCCCATACATAACACGCGTTATGGAGAATACCCTACCACCCAACGATGGCTATTTGCTGACCGTCAAAGCTTACGATGCAGATACTCCACCTTTGAACTCACAAGTTAGATACTTTCTGAAGGAGGGCAATGCGGATCTGTTTCGCATCAATGCCTCAACTGGGGAAATAGTCTTGCTTCGGTCGCTCGATCGTGAGCTGCAGAGCGAGTATATATTGACACTAGTCGCCATGGACACGGGATCCCCGCCCTTATCCAATACGGGTGTTGTCAGCGTTGAGGTACAGGACATCAACGATAATGGACCCGTTTTTGAACTTCAATATTATCACGCGCTGATAGAAGAAAATCTGCCGATTGGTTCGCTGGTGCTAAGGCCAATTGCCACCGACAAAGATGCCGGATTGAATGCAAAGCTCCGTTTTAATTTGCTCGGAGAACACATGATGGATTTTCACATTGACACGGATACGGGTGAAATTACTACAGCTACTGTACTCGATCGGGAAACTATAGCCATCTATCACCTAACTCTGATGGCCCAGGATAGTTCGATTACCGAACCGCGGGCAACTTCTGTGAATTTGACCATAGCCGTAGAGGACAACAATGATAATGTGCCCAAGTTTGAGGCGAGCATTTTCAATATTGTTGTGCCCAACAATATACGGGCCGAGGAGTTTGTGTTTGGGGCACGCGCAACTGACGCGGATGAGGGCGTGAATGCAATGGTCAGGTATAATATCAGTGGTAAGGATCAACAATTTTTCGAGGTGCATCCATCGACGGGTGTTATACGCACCAAAATGGAGCTGATGCAAAAGAACAAGCCCAACGCGGACATTATTTATAACATAAATATTCAGGCCACTGATCAAGGCAGTATGCCTCGCAACTCGACAGCTGAGCTAACCGTGCAAGTGCGTCCAGTGGAACTATTTCCTGTATTCTCCTACATGCCAATCACTCAATTCAATTTGCCGGAGGATGTGCAACCGGGCAAAATGATTGCCAAATTGGCAGCAACGTCGCCAAAGAAGGGTTCCGTTGCCAATATAAGATATAAAATAGCTGGTGGAAATATGGGAAATGCGGCTGTAGTTGATCCAAATACCGGAATATTCAGTGTCGGGCCAGATGGTCTGGATTACGAACAGACTCATCAATATGAGATTTGGGTTGAGGCTGCCGACTCGGATAGGCCAAGTCTTCGCACTGTGACACTACTGAACATCAATGTTACGGATGCCAATGATAATCCACCCGTGATGGAGAAGCTGATATACAACGCTGAAATATTGGAGGAGGAAACACCACCGCAACTGATTGTCGCGATCAAGGCGAAGGATAAGGATTCCGGCGACAATGGGGAGGTCAGTTATCGACTTAAAAATGACTACGACGGCACTTTTGAAATCGCCGATTCCGGAGAAATATATACGACGATGCGTCTAGATCGAGAAGAGATAAGTGATTATGCACTCGTTGTGGAGGCCGTGGATCAGGGTGTGCCCCAGTTGACGGGTACGGCAAGTGTCTTGCTTCACTTATTGGACAAAAACGACAATCCACCCAAGTTTACGCGTCTCTATTCGCTGAACGTAACCGAAAATGCTGAAATCGGTAGTTTTGTGATATCGGTTACCTCTTCCGACTTGGATTTGGGTGAAAATGCGAATGCCACGTATACATTCAGTGATAATCCGGGTAAAAAATTTAAAATTGATCCGAGGAGCGGCAATATTACGGTTGCCGGGCAAATCGATCGCGAGCAACAGGATGAATATATTTTAAAGGTTGTCGCCTCGGATGGGGCTTGGCGGGCAGAGACCCCGATTACAATAACCATTCAAGATCAGAACGATAATGCACCGGAGTTTGAGCACAGTTTCTACAGCTTCAATTTCCCAGAGCTGCAACATGCGGTGGCTTTTGTTGGCCAGATTATTGCCACAGATCGCGATAAACAGGGTCCCAATTCAGTCATCTCTTACTCTCTGCAGTCACCATCCCCTATATTTAGTGTAGATCCCGCCACAGGTGAGATCTTCAGTAAAACTCAAATTCAGTACAAGCACTCACAGTACATCAGCTCGCCGGAGAATATGTTTGCACTGACCATTTTAGCTACAGACAATGGCAAACCGCCACTATATACGGAATGTCTGGTCAACATAAACATAGTCGATGCCAACAATAATCCACCGAAATTCGAGCAGATGGAGTATCTATCCCCATTACCGGAACATGCTCAGGGTGGTCAGCGGGTTGTGAGAGTACACGCCAACGATGACTTGGATGTGGGTGTTAATGCAGAGATCGATTACATCCTGATGGAATCGAATCGGAGTGCGTATTTTACGATCAACAAACATGATGGTTGGATATCCCTGATAAGACCCATTGATGTGCCAGCCAATTCACGCTTTGAATTCAATGTTAAGGCCACGGATCGAGGGGTTCCCTCACAGTCCGATCAGACACGGGTCATTGTTATTGTTACGGATGAGAATCGCTATCCGCCGGAATTCAGCGCTCTGAGCTATCAAGTAATTGTACCTGAAAACGAGCCAATTGGTTCAACGATCCTCACGGTTTCGGCAACGGATAAGGATAATGGACCCAATGGGATGCTGCACTACGCCATTTCCGGTGGAAACGAGAGGCGGGATTTCAATGTGAATGAGCGAACAGGTGCGATAACCATAATGCAACCATTGGACTACGATCTGATGCAGGAATACCACTTGAACATAACCGTCGAAGATCTGGGCTACAAACCACTATCTGCGGTGGCTATGCTCTCGATTATACTCACCGATGTCAATGATAATCCACCGATTTTCAATCAATCCGAATACCATGGCTATATAGCGGAAAATAAGCCAGTCGGAACAAATGTGTTTCAGGCGCATGCCACCGATAAGGATTCACCAAAAAATGCCATCATCCATTATTCATTTCTGGCCAGTGGCACAGATCATCATTTCTTCAGTATTAATGTGAGCAATGGCACAATTTTATCTGCAGCCAGTTTTGACTACGAGGAACGCCGTACATATATGCTGCAAATCAAAGCAAAGAATCCCGACTCGATTATGGAGAGTTATGCGATTCTCTACGTTCATATCTTGGGCGTTAATGAGTTTTATCCACAGTTCGTTCAGCCCGTTTTCCACTTTGACGTCTCCGAAACGTCGGCTGTGGGCACCGCTGTGGGTTCGGTGCAGGCCACGGATAAGGACATAGGCGAAGATGGGCGTATCTATTATTTACTTGTGGGTTCCAGTAATGATAGGGGCTTTGGCATCAACACGAACACAGGCTCATTACATGTGACCCGTAATTTGGACCGCGAGACCCAGAATCGGGTTGTGCTCATGGTGATGGCTAAGAACTATGGCAGCATACGGGGTAATGATACAGATGAGGCACAGGTCATCATCTCAATACAGGACGGCAACGATCCTCCGGAGTTCGTGAAACGATATTACACAGCAACAATTATTGAGTCGGCGACAGTGGGCACTGTGGTCACCACAGTGAAAGCCGTCGACAAGGATGTCCGACTACAGAACAATCAGTTCAGTTACTCCATCATCAATGGTAACATCAAACAGAACTTTAAGATTGATGCCGAGTCGGGGGAGATAAGCACCGCGTCCCTTTTGGATCGTGAGGATATAGCACACTATAATTTGGTAATAGGTGCCATTGATACGGGTCTGCCACCGCAGACGGGAACGGCGACGGTGCGCATCGATCTCGACGATATTAATGACAACGGACCCACATTTACTGCGGAGGGTCTGCTCGGTTATATATCGGAGAATGAGCCAGCAGGCACAACGATAATGACGCTAGCTGCCAGCGATCCGGATCTGCCCGAAAATGGTGGTCCTTTCAGCTACAGAATTGTCGGGGGCAAACATAAATCCCTGTTGAGCATCGATAAATATACGGGTTTGGTGAGCTCAATGGCAAGTTACGATCGCGAAATGACTCCCCTGCTGGAGGCCATCATTGAGGTGGAGGACAGTGGCAATCCCAAACAGCAGGCCCGGCATAGGCTGGTCATAAAAGTACTCGACCAAAATGATAATCCATCCACGGTGCGAATTGTTAATGTGGCTGTGAGTATATTCAACGGAGAGATGCCCACAAATACAAAACTGGCCGATGTTCATCCCAACGATGTGGATATTGTCGGCGACTATCGATGTCGTCTGCAGGGTAGTGGACAGCTGACCATAAGGAGTGGTTGTGATCTTTACACAACATCCTTAACTACGCCCATGTCGTATGCGTATAGTGTGACCGGAAATGATGGTAAACACGGCGATGTTAGCTCCAAGGTCACCGTGGATTTTCAAGCGTACAACAATGCCACCTTGGCCAACACGCTGCCCCTCCTCATCCGAAACATGTCGGCGGAGGTATTTCTGGAGCATCACTATCGTCCCACCTTGGAGTTGCTCAAATCTCGATTTGCTGCGAACGATGATGTTCTGATTTACAGTCTCATCGACATTAACAGCAATAATGCCAGCAATAGGGATGTAGAAGCACTCCTGGTCGTGCGCAACTCCAACCTGACCTATCAGCAGCCCCATCACATTATCGAGCGTTTGCGGGAGAAGCGTTCGTCTCTGTCCGAGCTGCTGCGCACCGAAATCATCATAGGCTATGAACCTTGTGGCAAACCCGAGGTGTGTGCCAATGGTGGCATGTGCAGTGCCTCGATTCGACTGCTGGATACGCATCACTATAGAATTGTAGATACTCCCTCGCTCATACTGAGTGGACCACGCATTATTCACGACTACACATGCCAGTGTGCTAAGGGCTATGCGGGCGAGCAGTGCGCCCGTCGTCAGGATCCATGTCTGCCGAGTCCGTGCCAAGGACAGGCCCAATGTCGACGCATGGGCAACGATTACCAATGCGAGTGTCCGGCGCACCGGGAGGGCAAACAGTGTCAGCGGGAGCGCAGCGATGCCTGCTGGGGTAAACCATGTCGCAATGGCGGCAGTTGCCAGCGCAGTCCGGATGGCGCCTCTTACTTCTGCCTGTGCCGACCCGGCTATCGGGGTAGCCAGTGCGAGAGCATCGCCGATTCTTGTCGTCCCAATCCATGTCTACACGGCGGCCTCTGCATCAGCCTCAAACCAAGCTACAAGTGTAGCTGTCCGGCGGGTCGTTATGGACGTCATTGCGAGCGCTTTAGTTACGGCTTTGAGCCGCTCTCCTTTATGAGTTTTCCCTCGCTGGATCCGACCACAAATGATATATCCATTGTGTTTGCCACCACAAAACCAACGGCACTTTTGGTCTATAATTATGGTTTGCAGAACGGCGGACGCTCTGATTTTTTGGCCATTGAGTTGGTCAAGGGTCAGGCATATTTCTCATCGGGTGGTTCCCGTACAGCCATCAGCACTGTGGTGGCTGGCCTTAATCTGGCCGACGGTAGTTGGCACAAGGTGACCGCCACACGCAATGGAAGAGTTATGTCCCTGAGCGTTGCCAAGTGCACGGAATCGGGCGATGTGTGCGCCGAGTGCAATCCCGGCGATGCCAGTTGCTATGCGGACGACGTGGTCACCATTGGGTAAGCTCAAGTTGAAACTGATAACTCATTCCATAAATTAAATTATGTCTCTGCCTGCAGCACTCTGAACTTCAACAAGCAACCACTGCTGATTGGCGGACTACAATCAGCTGATCCCGTGCTCGAGCGACCGGGTCAAATACACAGCGATGATCTCGTTGGATGTGTTCACAGTGTCTCCATAAATGGACGCTCCTTGAATTTGAGTTCGCCCCTGCAACAGCAGGGCATTCTGCCCGGCTGCAGCAGACAGGCCTGTCAGCCAGCAATTGCGGCGGAAAGGTGCAGTAGCTTTGCGGGTCAGTGCATCGATCGCTGGTCCACATCCCTCTGCCAATGTGGTGCTCCACTGCTCTCACCCGACTGCGGAGACTCACTGCAGCCGGTACGGCTTAGCAGCGGCGCGTATTTGGAATTCAAAATATCTCCACAATATCAACGCATGCAACTGCTGGACAATCTATATAATGGCAACAGTGCCTGGTCCAGTTTTGGTAGCCGTTCGAAGAGACTTTCAACTTTCAACTCCAGTGAGCCTGCCAAGCTATTAAGTTTTCTCTTTCGCACCTTCAAGTCACATGGATTAATCCTCTACGCGGCCACAAATCAAATGTATACCTCGTTGTCTCTATTGGATGGCAAGCTTGTTTACTATTCGAAACAACATTTGACCATCAATATGACGGTGCCGTGGCCAGCTGCTTTGAATGATGGCAAGTGGCATAATGTAAGTCTTCATAGCCAGAGTCGTACACTCCATTTGTTCATTGATGGGCATCAGGTGGGTGATGAGTTGGATGTTGCGGGTGTCCATGATTTTCTGGACCCCTATTTGTCTACCTTGAGTGTGGGTGGTGCACCCATCCATGTTGTGCAACCCTTCGCCGGTTGCATTGCCAACTTTACCATTAACAACGAGTTGCAGCCATTGAATGGCTCCGGCAGCATCTTCCACGAAGTGAAGCAGCATGGCAAAGTGGAGCTGGGCTGTAGCGAAAATGATATTGGTGTCGATGCTGCCCAAGTGGCGGATCCACTCAGTATTGGCATCACGCTGGTTATTGTATTCTTCGTCATACTGGTTGTAGCTATATTCGGCTCCTACATTATCTATCGCTTTCGCGGAAAGCAGGAAAAGATTGGCAGTCTCAGCTGTGGTGTGCCAGGATTCAAGATTAAGCATCCACAAGCTGCAGTGTCCCAAAGCCAGGCAGCAGATCATGTGCTGGCACGTGGCATTCATGCGAATGATTCTCCGGTACCACTTGTAGCGAGTAACACGGATCACATGCGGCAGCCGGGTCATCATCTAACCGGTCCCGAGCTCATCACCAAAAAGTTCAAGGAGCGTAGTGAATTACCTTCCGCTGGTGATCATCCGCAGCCACAGCAACGGCCACAACGTCCGGATATCATTGAACGTGAAGTCGTTGGGAAGAGTCCACCGATTCGTGAGGAACATCATTTATCGATACCACCCCCAAATCCATTGCATCCACTCGACCATGGCAGCTCCGTGGACTTGGGATCCGAGTACCCGGAACACTATGACTTGGAAAATGCGAGCTCAATTGCACCATCCGACATCGATATTGTTTATCACTACAAGGGTTATCGCGAGGCGGGTGGTATGCGCAAGTACAAGGCAACCACACCGCCGGTAGCTGCTTATACGCACCACAAGCACCAGAGTGCAGCCAGCCAGCAGCAGCATCGCCATTCCCCTCGCCACGCGGTCAACGCACCGTTTGTGCCACGCGTGCCCAACCAAAGCAGCCAGCCACCGCCACCACCACCGTCGACGAGTGCATCGCGTACCCATCAGACCACACCACTGGCCCGACTCTCGCCCAGCTCGGAGTTGAGTTCACAGCAGCCCAGGATACTCACCCTCCACGATATATCGGGCAAACCGTTGCAGAGCGCCCTGCTGGCCACCACTTCCAGCTCGGGCGGTGTTGGCAAGGATGCCCTGCATAGCAACAGCGAAAGGAGCCTAAATAGTCCCGTTATGTCCCAGTTATCGGGTCAAAGCTCCAGTGCTAGTCGACAGAAATCGGTGGCACCACCTCAAGCACCGCCACAGACCTCAATGGGTCTAACGGCGGAAGAGATTGAACGGCTCAATGCTCGGCCAAGAACTTGTAGTTTAGTCTCCACCTTAGATCTGTCCTCGAGCAGCGAGGCTCCTACTCCCCGTGTGCCAGGTGGGGCACTTCATCTATCGCTGGGCGGAGATGTGGATGCGCACAGCTCAACCTCGACGGATGAGAGTGGCAACGATAGTTTCACTTGCTCCGAGATCGAGTATGACAACAACAGCTTGAGCGGCGATGGCAAGTACTCCACCAGCAAGAGTATGCTCGACAGTCGCAGTCCGGTGGCACGTGCTCTAAGTGGGGAGCCCAGTCGGAGTCAGAATGTGGCAAAGACGCCGCCGATACCACCGCATGCCTACGATGGATTTGAGTCATCTTTTCGTGGCTCACTCAGCACTTTAGTGGCCAGCGATGATGATTTGGCGAATCATCTGAGCGGCATTTATCGCAAGGCAAATGGAAGCGCTTCACCATCGGCAACCACCTTGGGCTGGGAGTATTTGCTGAACTGGGGTCCCAGCTATGAGAATCTGATGGGTGTATTTAAAGATATTGCCGAGCTACCCGATACAACGAGTCCGCAGCAGCAGCAGCAGCAACAGCAGCAACAGCAGCAACAGCAGCAACAGTCCCAATCCCAGTCCCAGCCCGTCTCCACTTTGCGTATACCCAATGTACAAAAGGCACCCGAGGAGTATGTGTGAAATACTCCTGTAGCTTATTAGTATTGTAAGTGTAAAACTTTGTACCCCTTCTAGTGTTAAGCGACGCCATTTTTCTTCTTTTGTAACGTTATAGTTTTTACTTTGCATTGATATTTATAAATTTGAACAAGAAAATGATTGAACACCTTGTATCAAGGTTAACCATCCTAAGTGCATTACCAACATAGGGCATCTAACGATAAATGTACTGACTGATATATATATATATATATATACATATATATTTATATATATATATACCAATAAATTAGTGAAGCAAAGTCAAACGCAGGCTTAGTTTAGCACTTCTTGAGGTATACTCTTAGTTTTAAATAATCCAATTAATTGTGTATATTTATGTATATGTATTTATGTATGTATTTGTGCTATATTCAAATAGTTCAGCTAAACTATTTATTGCCATTTAAGCACACACACAATGTATACCTAATTTCTTATTCTCGCTAGCATTTCTACTAATATATATATATATATATGTGCACTAAAATATTTTCAAAATAAATAAATACTTTTTGCAGCATCGTGTTACTGTATTTAATAATAATAAAAATCCGGTATTTAATAAACATAATCAGCTTTCTGAGCGTAAATTCTAAACTATAATAATTGTTGCTTTTGGAAATTGGCACTTTTACTTCTTTCTGGGAGAGAAAACTGCGTCCTGCGCACTGAACTTGCCATAAATTCTGAAGTCAGTTTATTTTTACTATAAAAAAGAATAGCAAGCGGACAAACGTTGCAGTCGTTGCTAGCAACTGGCAAACACCAGAAGTGGAAAAATTCTAAGGTCTAACAAAACAACAGAAAAAATACACAAATGACATTGTAATCAATGTATATACGAAGCCGACCGGATGCAAGCCTGCGTGACAATTGTAAATTAAAATCAAGTGAAGAAGTTCGATGTGAGAGGAGAATTCAGCAATTAGTTAGATAATTGCAGCGGAACCAAACCAAAAAAAAACAAAGCACCCTTGTGCGATATGTTTCTAAAGCGTATACTCGATCGAAAGGACACTTTGGTAAATACAAATGCCAGCTGCGAGGACGCTCAGAAGAATGTCAGTGTCGAGCACAAGGATAACAACAACAACAATAACAACCCGTCGAGTGTGTGTCTAAATAAAATGCAACGACGCAACGGGGAAACATCGAGTGCCGTGCAATTGACTCCGTTGTGGGAGCACATTTTACGTACGCGTCGATTGCCGGAAACAATTTGTCCGGCGACCATGTTCGACGAATTCCACGAACGCTTGCAGGATCCTGAGTGGCAGGTGCGACAACATGCACTCCGTGTCCTCGTCGACGTACTCGTCGTGATGCGCTCGAAAGCGGACAAGCATAGTATGCATTTTCTCAACGATTTAATCAAGAATCTCGGCCATCAGGCACCAACCGTAAGGAAGGGTGCACTCGACTGTTTGCGGGTCTATCTCACCGAGACAGCCATGCCGGAAATGGTTATGCTGCAAATTTTGGACACTGGCCTCAGTCAGCCGTCGATTGTCGGCTATGACGAGCGACTCAGCTGTGGTGTCCTGCTTTCATTGCCGCCATTGTTGCAATCGATTTTGCACACACCACAGCGTCATTTTATAACGAAGCACACATTGGAGCGGCTGGTGCAACGCCTGCAACACCATGAGTCACAACAGGAGATCACACTGAAGGTGTTGTCGAAAATTGCTGAACTGTTGGGACTACAAGAGTTTGAAAGCTACTTGGATGAAATGGAGTTATTGGACGACTGCGGTGGTCTGTCCCTGTACAATCATCTGTGCAGAGTATATGGCATATTGAATAAACCCTATCGTGCTGAGGCCAATATGACCAGTGCAGGAGCTTGGCGAGCCCTGCCTCGAGAGCACACGTGGCGTGACTCCTCGCAAGAGTCCGCAGAGTCACTGCCGGACAAGGGAAAAGTCATTATGGAAACGGAAATTAAAATCAACGATGATACGCTGACCATGCGTATACTCGAGGCAGAAACGGAGACTGAAGAGTCGGTCAGTCCCATTATAGATGCCACAGAGCTGGTGTGTCGTCCCTTGGCTGTTGGCACAAAGTCATCACAGGGCATTCTACAGATTATTAGTGATTCAGATGTTGAAGAAATGGTCCACAATGAAAGTCTACTCGGTACTCCATTTCGTGGCCTGAAACGTGTCACCTTTGGTGGCGAAGTAGTCAAGATGCGAACTCCTGACAGTGATGCAGCCTCCTCCGCGAACAACAACATTGATAGTACATTGTCAGAAACTAGCAACAATCCCATTCCCAATCCCAATCCCATTACATTGCATGCTGATGAGGAGCACAAGCTAAGGGAGGATGCACACGCTGAAGACAATATATCACGTCCGAAAATGACAGCTTTGACCTTGGAGATACCCAGCGACAATACAAAGCCCCTGCCTCGTGGTAATAGCTTCTTAAAGGAGCCGGCGGCTCCTACTACTAATGACACTACCAACAACTCCAATGCGTCCCCGAAGCGCGACTCACTTTCGCACTCGCCCATTTACCGTAGCTGCAGCATTAGTCCGGCGGGCAGTAGTTCCGTCAGTCCCAAAGTGCCGCACAAGCAGATCGAGGTAATGCATAATCTCCAGCGTGATTCGGATCCCTCGCCGCGTTCCTTGCGACGCAGCGAGAGTGTCACCATGGAGTTAGCTACACCTCCCACAGCAGTCGCCGTTGGGGCAGTGGAACCAGCAGCAACACCAAATAACTGGGAAGAACTGGACATTGTCAACTATAAAACTATAATGGACTTGCGCTCGGGGGTAAGTAGAACTTTTTTTGAGTTAAATTACATTTTTATTGCACGTACATGTGTAATATTTATTTCTAATTAGTTAAAAGTTAATAATATTGCGTCCTTTTAACATAATTATTAATATAGGTGAGGCTTATATAAATACTATATATACATTTTTAGTGAGGTGGGAAAATTTGTTTTTGTTTTTTTTTTTTTTTTGGTTAAACCAAACTGATTACTTGTTCTAAAAGTGATGATATATATAACTAATTGAATAATATGATTATAAGTGGGAGAATTACATCTGTCATAAAAATGTGCTAGTCTCTCGTGTTTATCACTATAATTTCAATATTTGCTCTTCTATGCAGGTAAGTGTTGGATAATCTTCTAATATATTGAAGAAGAGAAACCAACCGAGGGTATTTAAAATTGAGTAACTGTTTTTTGAATATCGTTTGCTCATAAAAATTGAAAAATGAATTTGTAACGCACGCTGGCCTCATTTGCCAGTGGTCGTTTTTCTTTTTTTTTTTGCTAACTGGGTTACTAGAATATATATACAGTTTCATATGCGTTTATAATTTTTTCTTCATTATGGCAGCCACCCAAAAATGTATTACGAACACGACACGCATTGGCTCAACTTCAATATGTATTACATTGCTATTATAAGACCCGGCATATACCGGTGGCATACTAATAAAAATATAGCGATAAGTGCACACACAGCACAGTTCAACCCCACACACACATTCGACTATTAATGGCAGCACAATTCTGACCATTGAATGAGCCTTTGGGTGCACCCCCTTTGTACCAATGACCTATTAATTTCTGACGCGAACAATTCAAAAGCACTAAATTTTCACGTCGAATTTATGGGAAAGTTGTTGAATGAGTTTTAGTAACGTGAATTTGACAGCTTTTAAATTTATAGAAAACGTATTAATTTTCCTCGTCCATTAAACGTTTCACGGTTGTGACTTTATTTTATTTGTTATTTTAAATTACAAATTTTAAAGGTCGTATTATACAATTCGAGAAAACATTCCTGAAAACATATACTGTTTGACCTTTCATTAAACGTTTAACGCTTGTAACTTTATGAAAAGGTTTATCAAAATTCAACTGCACTTAAATATCATATGATCAATCAAGCAACAAAAAATTAAAATAAATATTTTAAGTGTCGTATTGTACTATTGGAGAAAATATTCCTGAAAACTTATTCTTTCTCACCTTCCACTAAACTTTTCACGCTTGTGAAAAGACTTAGCAAAATTCTTTCACACTAAAAGATAAAATAATTGGGAATCTATGTAACAACAAAATATAAATAAGTTCAAATTTGGATTATACGATTCGAGAATACCTCACCTATGCACCAACTGTACCTTTGGTACTTTATGGCACTGTATAAAAAACTTGAGAGTTGTAGCCAAAGTTGCATGCCTTGTGTAATGTTATTGGGAGCTGCTGCAGAGTACCAATGAGTCCTACGCCAGCATTTCAGCTAGCCGGCCAATCATTTAAATGCACGCGATATTTCTAGCAGCTAGAAAAAAGAGAAGGAACAAGAACAACAACAATAACTCACTAACAGCATACATGGAAGACGATAAAGTAACAAGAAATACATTGGGCTCCCCTAGCTGGTGGGAGACGTAACTCAAGTTGGACGAGGACAGAGCGTGCCAGGGAACTGGGTCAGCACTGGCACAAAAATAATAAAACATTAACAAAAATTATAGCGCGTACAGTATAGAAAAAAAAGCACAACAAAAAAGGCGCGAATAAAAAAAAGGAACTACGGCATGGGTCAGGAAATTATTTAAAACGACGTTATCGTTGCCGGTTTGGTTGTTCCAATTGTGGTCAGTGCGGGGTAACAATAGAACCTTATCGACAATTATTGAAATGACTCGGCAATAATATGTTTTCGACAAACTGAGACAAATTTATTTGAATCTCTCTCTCCACTCGCAGGACTGGCGCAATCGCTTACAGGGCATAGCCCAACTTGAGATAGCACTGAGTTCATCAACAAACTTGGTTCGAGTGCAGCCCTATTTGGATAGTCTGCTCCGCACCCTGCTCTCCTCGGAGCGAATCTTCGAGGTGGCCGAGCTGAAGCGCGAAGTGTTGACCAATTTGATATCACGCCTGCCGCTGGACAACCTGGAGGATCGGACGCAGCAGATACTGTCTGGACTATGCCGGCAGGGAAACGCCGGGGCAAATCGGGTGTGCAAGGCGCTTATGCAGCGTTTGCCCGCTGGCACAATTGTGGCCAAATTAACAGCACCCGATTATCTGCATGCGAAAAGTTCAAAAGTAAGTGAATACAACCAGAAAAAAATTGCCTAGATTTTAGTAAGTCGCCCTAAAACATAGAAAGTCTTTCTTTTTAATAGACTTAATTGCCAGATATTAGAAAAAGAATTTCTAAAATTTAAAAATGTTTGCTTCAAATTATTAAGAAAAATATTTATAAAAAATAGAAATGAAAACCGTTATTTTTAGAAAAATATTTTTCTAAAATGCAGAAAAAATTAATGAAATTTCATGGCTCGGCTTTTAAATTAGAGTTTAGAAATACTAAAGTTTAATTATAATTAATTCTAATTTAATTTCTGTAGACAACAACACCCTGGAAATTTGATATACTTTCTAAGTCTTAGAAAAATGCACCCTGAAATTTAGAAATGCAAACTGTAGTTTTTAGGAAGCTACAACCATGAATTTTAAAAATTTTCTTTTTGAACAATATGAAGAGCAAAAGTAAGGCGATTTAATAAAATTTTGGGCGATTTTTCTTTTGAGTGTACGGTCAGCATTATTCTGAAATATGAATTTTATTTTAAATATTGCTTATTACAATCCACCGTCAGTTTCGAGATCATGCTCTACAAATGTCCATATACTCCTTGATGTCCTTTCCTGGCACCTGCTTCGACATCAACATCCTGGCAGCCCAAGTCACATATGCCGCCCTCAATCGGAAGCGTCGGGTGAGGCAGGCGGCATTGGAGGTATTTGCTGTACTTGCCGATATATGTTCGGTGGAGCAGATATTGCAAATTGTAGCCGAAATAACCGATGGCATCGAATTGGGATCGGCTTTGCTAATGGCGGTAAAGAAGCGATTATCCCGACTCCAGCTGCCCATTATTACGCCAGATGGAGCTGTTGTGTATGTATTCCACAAACAGGATCAGTCGAGCGCTTTGCGCTTTGGCGCAGATGTGGATTGGATTACGCAAGGCGAAGGCTCCGCCTCACCCAATGCCGTAAAGCGACGTCGTCTGCACACGGCACACAAGAAACGTATTGCTCAGGAATACAAGGATGGGGAAAACGCGACAGGGTTAAACCATAGGTAAATCGATACTTTCAAAATTCCTTTAGTCTTATACATATACATTTTCTCAACTTTTCACTGATGCCTAGGGTTTGTCATCCAAAGAAAATCTGAAATATAAAACTTAATTTGAGTTGAACTTTTAATTATCAAAATAACAAAGATATCTTAGCAAAGCCAAAAATTACATAACCTTTCAAGAGGATAATAACGAAAAATAACAAACTGAGATCTGCCCCAACCCGCTTGCACATTTTAATTATTGTTGTATTTTTGTTTAGCTATCAACTTGATGAGAATTTGCATCGACATTCTTTCCATTCGCCACCTGAAGCCTTAGACATCTCTAGATCCTCTAACGTAAGTTTATAACACTCATTTATAGTAATAGTAAAAGTAAATCTATAATTGCATTCTCGCTCATCTGCTATCAGGACTTTTTTCAAAAGAAAAGCTATGGGACTAGTGGTAAGTATTAAATATAAAGCATATTTCTAAAAAAAAGTCTGCTTACTAAATTTCTAGTTATTCAAGCAAACTTCTTGGATCGTCGTCTAGTGGCCAAGGCGTGCTCTGAATCCTCAATGGATGGCAGAAGCACGGACAGCACGACAACAACATGTAGCAGTGGCAGTGGCAGTGGAAGTGGTAGCTTCATACAACTGACATCCTGCAAGGGGGGCATCAACAGACGCCTGGTTAGACAAAATTCACGGTAAGCGCAAGAATCACGATCAAATAATTACTTCTAACGCATTTACTTACAGATTTCCGGTTGTGCGTCAACACACAGATTTCATTAGCAATTTCATGCGAAGCATGCAGCGAACTCCATATCCGTATAGCTTTGAGGATTCAAAATCATCGAGGCTAAACGATGAGCTACTGAGATCCCAAAAGCAGCATATAACTAAGAAACCCGCCAATCTGGTGCAACAAAACTGGATGGAGAACGGCAATCAACAACTTCAAGGTATACAAATAAATAAATAATAATAATAATAAATAATAAAAATATGTTTTTTCCACCATATTCTGCAGTAGGAAAATGTAAACTTAAGGAAACTAATAAACAAGAATTCCCCAACCAATCGGAAACAACAAACGCCCTAATCCGGGATACCGGTAATTGCCAGTAAGTCAAACTCAAAAAATGCATCTTCATAGAATGTTAATATATGCCTAGCTTGTGAACATGTATCCCTGCCCCGGAACTGAAAATCAAAACCATAACAAAAAATTTAGAGAGTAAAAGTGTAGCTGAGTCGCTTTTGACCTCAACAATTTGGCACCCCACGCATTACGCATGCAACGTGTGCGGCTTAAAGACCACGTTAAAGACCAACAATATCGTCATCTAACCTAAATAATTTAAATGCGCGCTGAAACAGTCATCGAGGGCGCTTATGGTATAGGTATAGGGACAGAATGGCCAATATTGCCAGTGACGAACCTTCAAATGACCACTACAAGTACTTGTGGCCCACAACCTTTGTTAGAAGCCGGTTTATATATATTATGCGCTATTATTCTTGTTAGTATGTCATCAATTTGTAGCCACTTGCGAACTGTCCTTTGCAAGAAATCAATTTTTTTGTCTTTGTTTTTTTTTTAGTGACAATAATTACAATGTTAGAGGTAATGAAAAAAATGGTTTAGTTTAGAAGAGAAATAAGAGAGTAGAAGGGAAAATAACAATTTGTTTTCTTAGCTTTTCTAAAAATTGAAGTTATTATAAGCTTGAGGCAAAAAAATAGTAGTTTAAAGGGAATAAAAAGAAAATGATATACATATACTATTTATTGGTTTTTAAAAATTACTCTTATTATAAGGCTAGTGGCAAAAAATAATGATTTAATTTAGAAGAGAAGTAAATGAATAAAAGGGAAATTAAAAAGGTGTTAATTTTTGCAGCCATTTTTTTCTAAAATTGGCAGCCATAAATATTTTGCGTTTAAAATATGAAATAAGTGAACAAAAAGGGAAATAATCAGTTATCAAATTATCAAAGAATAAAATAATTAAAAAAGAAAAAAAAAGCTAGATTCTATATAAAAAGTGGTTCAATTTAGAAGTGAAAATAATTTGTAGACTTACTTTCTTGTAAAATATGAAAAATTCCCTTAATAATTTGTCAATGCTTAAAAACCGAAGAGAGCAACCATGTGCCGACTTTGCTGATATTACTACTATTCATATATGTATGTACACCGTCTTCGTGACAATCAGACGAAGAAACCCGAACCATGACTCAGAAGGTGTTCGCTAGAAAACAAAAAGTCAAACTGAAAATACCTCGGAGTGCTTGAACAGAGACCAATGGCTAACTGCTAGTTTTGTCCGTTTCGTTGCTAACTTGCTTGTTAGTATTAGTGTTGGTCTAGGGGTGCAGAGCTGCCACCCCCTTGGAAGTATGTGTGTGTTGTGTGTGTGCTTCGGTTATAGTGGAAAACGCAATGTCCTGTTTTACATTTGCAAGTTTTGTTGTTTTTTTTTTCCTGAAATGGAAATAAAGAGCGCAGTGTGTGGTTTCGGCATTGCGCCTCTATTAATGGGGGAATATAGATGTGGTTAACACGAAGTTCGACGAACGTTAGAAAACAGTGTGTAAAGTGGCGTTGCTGCTTCAAGTGGTCAAGTTAACTCAAGTCCTGCGTTTAATACAAGTAAAATGAACAAATTTTTAGTCGAAATGCACAAAACAGAAGAGTAAACTGTAATAGTAAAATGCAGAATGCATTTAATTGTCGCGGCCAACCCGCAAATCTATTGCAACAAATTCGCAATTTATTTTGCACAGTCAAGGAATTTATATTGGAAAAGGCAATGGGTCTGTTCCCATATGATCGGTGTCTCTGTCCGTTTTGTAGAAAATCGATGACAATTGATAAAATTGAAACAAATGCGGCGACTGATAATGTGACGTGGCAAGTGCTGCACACAACCGCACTGGGGGATGAGGTTTACTCTAAAACTGATTTGTAAGTTTATACTAAATACATACCTATTCTTACTTTTACATTTAGAGGAAAAAATGAAAATCATTCTAAAATATATCAAGTTTTTCCATTTTTAGGAAATAATTTCTAAATATTGGGAGAACAATTTCTAGAGTGTAAAAAGACTAAATCGACAACCCAAAAAACAATGGCGATTTTTCTAATTTTTATAACTATTTTCAATTATTAAGAAAAACATGTAGAAATGCAAGCATTCTTTCTAAAAATACTAATGTTTTATAATAATATGAGTAACAAAAAAGCTAATGTATGAATTCATCAATCAATTACGTGGAAAATTAGAATAATGCAATGTATTGTTTTTAGTAAGTCACGCCCATACATTTTAGAACTTTGCTTTCTGAATAATAGGGTGACTCACCATTAGCATTAAAAATAATTTTATGAGTGTACTTATTACTTATATTATTGAATACCCTTTGAGTTAACCAATTTAATATAATTTTAAACAGGATTAAAGTGGAGCCAATGGGCGAACTCGCCACATATGCAACACCAATGCAAGCATTTTCAGTGACAGCAGGACCCCAGATGAGCAATCACAATCCCAGTCATAGCGGAGGCGGCTCTCCCTTATCCGTCAAGTCGACGAACTACTCCCAAAAGTCAACTGCATCAGCTAAATCAAACAGCAGCAGTTCCTCAAGCAAAAAGATTGAACCAACTGCAAATGCCCGCAACGAAATCGAATCTCTGAGCTTGGAGCAACAATTTGGGGAGCTAGTCGTGGACGACATGGAGGACTTGGAGGAGGAGACGGAGTCACCCACTCAAGAAGCGCCCATTTTGAGACGCAACGAAAGCGTCAACAGCCTGCAGAGCAAAACAGAAAGCATCAAGACCCAATTGGAGGATGCCACACCACAAATGTCACGTGCCCAATCCATCAAATCCCTGGCCATCGAAGAAGAGATCGAAAGCAGCAATAGTTTTGTTGTTGTCGAAGGTCTGCAGCATGCACTGGAATCTACAGCCATCGACCTGCCAGAAATAATGGCAAATAATGAAAAACTTCTGGCAACCGAAGCGCAAGTCTCATCCAGCAAAAAGTCTGATATAGTAAATGAAGAAAATAGAGCCATTCACTCGCGCAGCATCTCGATGGATTCGCTCTATGGCCGGCGACCCGGTTCGAAGCAGGGTTGCCTGGATGCGAGTACCAGCCTAATGGACAACAACAGCTCACCAACAACAGCAACAACCTGTTCCCAAGTGGACAAGGGCCACAAATTGCCAGTGAAAACCCAACACACTCCACTCAAGCAAAAGGCAAAGACTTCGTATTTGTTGCGTGGCCAGCGACGCATCTCACCCGTAAAGCAGTCGATAAAGATGTCGCCGACGGAATTATTTCCGGCGAACATGTCAAAGTTTGAGAAACCTCGAGAGGCTCTCGTCAAGACCTTTGATCAGCTAGACTCGAGCAACTGGGAGGTGAACGTGTTGGGTCTTAAGAGTATGGTGCGTTTGATACGCTACCATTCCGATTTCCTGGACAATCACATGCACATGACCTGCATCCAGCTCACCAGATCCGTGCGCAATTTGCGCTCCCAAGTGGCTAGAGCAGCCTGCCAAGCGGCCACAGAGCTTTTCACTTTGAAATGCAAATCCTTGGAGCTGGAGTGCGATGATTTAGTTTGTGCCTTGCTGCATCGTTCGGCGGACACAAATCGTTTCCTGCGCGCCGATGCCACGCATGCCTTGGAATCGATGGTGGATCATGTGCAGCCGGCCAAGGTGCTCAACATTCTAGCCAGCAAAGGTTCCCAGCACCAGAATGCAATTGTGAGAACGACAACGGCAAAGTTGCTCTTCAGATTGGTGGAACGCTTGGGCTGCGATCGCATTTATGCCATGGCTCGCGAAAATCGCGATAAATTCTTTGTGCTTGGTGCGAATCTTCTGCTGGAGGGCAGCCTGGAGACGCGCAGTTTTGCCAAGTCCCTGTTCCGTGCTCTTTCGGAGCACAGCAGCTATCAGCGATTGCTCCTGGAGGTCATTCCATCGCGCACCTATCGCAATGTGGAGAAGGCATTGAGAAGCATTGCCCGCTAATCTCTAATCAATAATCAAATGTTTGTACATAAAATATTACTATAAATATTTGAAACAATTTTCTTTATCTACCTTAAGAACTTATCAAATAAATGTTACAAAATTAAATTAATATAAAATGCTTGACGAGCAAACTAACATTTACTTGACAAATATAATATTCATCGTAGAGTAATCTTCGTTTTGCTGATCCACATATATCTATTTAAGGATTAAAAAATCTTAAAAAACAAGTATATATTGCATGCAGACGTTATCTATCTAGCAAATAAGTCTAGATTAATCTTCGTTTGCCATGATTATATCGTTGATCCGATCTCCGATTGCCGCCACTATTGTTATGCTGCTGCTGTTGATGGGCTCTCGGCCGATTGCGATCGACGACGGCGCTATCGCTCCTCCTTCTCAGATCATTGTTGTATTTGTTTTGGGCATAATGACTGTTGATATCATGCATACTATGGCGGGCATGACGAGGAGCTCCTCCATGCTCATTTCCCTGCGCTGCCGGCGTGGCAAAATCCTGTGAAAATGGATTACGTGATCTGCCCTGCTGATGTTTGGGTTTCTCGACGCATTGCTGCCTGATTGTAAGCTTCTTTTGAAACAGTTCTAATCCCTGATAGAGATCCACTGCGTAGGGAACCGCACTCTTGTGCTGATAGGTCACAAATCCAAAATTCCGTTGACGTCCCGCATTGTCCAAAGGAATGCGAACATTTTCAATGGGACCCGCTTGCAGAAACACCTCGTAGAGTATTTCTTCGCTCACCCGTTCGTCCAGGTTATTGCAGAAGAGCGTGCGAATTTGTTCCTCATCGTCCTCATCCTCATCCTCCACTAAATCAGACACATCGTGTGCAGATTGGGTTGGATTTCCATATTGTGAATAGCCACCAGCGAATTTCATCATCGGTTGCTGGCAGAGAGGAAATGGCAACTGCATAAATGGCAGCTGCATGCCACCGGCTGTGTTGCACAAATGCTGCTGCAGTGCGGCTTCTTGAATGGCGGCCAATATTTGATCCATTAAATTTACTCTCTTTTTTTTTAGTTGTCAATAAAGTATACAATTCTTCATGCACATTCGATAAATCGATAACAAGACAGTGCAATCCTGCAAGTAGCGCTGGCCACTCGTTCACACACAAAGTGTGACCGTATATACATTTCTTATGATAACTGATACAAACTTGAATTTGATTAATTATTTAAATATATATTAATAGTTGTATTATCAGTACTTAAATATATGTTCTTAGCATCTTACATTCATTCATATTAGGTAAATGTGTGTATTTTGCGCGATTGGAACATAACATCGACTTGCTGATAGTTGATTGTTGTTGATCTTCAACTGATATCAGTCTGCGAACATTTTACAGTTAATCACGATGACAATTGAAATGGAAACAAATAAGTAATGACGTAGTCGAGTAAGCTCGACTACGATATACCCTGTGCCAAACTGTTAAATGTTCTATATTATGTATTCTCAATAAAACTGGGAAATATCCCTTTAAAAAAAGCTTTCAGCACATTAATGTGAGCAAATCTTAACGGATAACTTGGGTGTTTCTTATCCGATCTTGATAAAATTTGTACAGTTGATATATGTATATGTCAATGTATTTAATATATCAATTAGAATTCTCTGCCTTTAATGTTATTGAATGTTTGCGAAACGGCGGCAGTTAGCGATCAAATGAAGACAACTGTATGTGTCCGGGGTATACGAGAAACTACATAAATTTACAATTTAAAGTCTTTAGCTCTAATAGCTAGCGTGCGACATCTAATTTAAAGCTGAATTTACATCTGATCAAGAATATATGTTTTATGAGGTCGGATGAGATGCTTCCTTCTGGTTGTTACATACTCTGGCGCAAAACCATTTTACCCTTTTAAATTATTTTTATTGGATATAAAAAATGGGTCTACTTGTTCGGGGAAGGAGTGTTAAAAGACATGATATCAATTCGACTGCTACTATGTGCACACAACACTTGTACAAATCTTGTCATCGTCATCATCTTGACAACAGCAATTGTACAATTATTTAAACTTATCTTCAATGCAAATGTGTGTGTCTGTCTATTTGTCCGACGACGACTACACAACCCTAATCAAGTTGCGCGATGTATCAAAAGCAATGCGACTTTTTCGTTTTGCTTTCATTTAGTCACTAGAACCGAGCGAAATAAGAACACAGCTCAAATTCCAAAATATGGGAGAAGTGCCCGAAATTACCGATTTACACAGAGTGATTGAGCCGCATTTGCTGCAGGGCGGCAAAATCGACTCTTACAAAACTAAATATCTGACTAAACCCGGTGACAATTATGGCAGTCTAATGTTGGCAATTAGTGCAAAAATTCGACAAGCTGATGACAGCGTCGAGGATTTGGCATTGATTGCCAAATTGCCGCCTCTCACCAACGATCTGTATTGGCAGATCTTTCAACCGGAACGCACATGCATCACGGAGAATGCGGTTTACAAATATTTGGCGCCGGAGCTGGACAAACTGCAGCTGGAGGCGGGCATTGTGCCCGCCCATCTCTTTGATGGTTTTCCCCGTTATTTTGGCTCCCGCATCTCCCTTAATCCAGACGCTCCCAAGGTTGATCGTGATGCTGTGCTGGTGCAGGAAAATGTCACATTTCGTGGCTACATTCCGGGTAATAGGCATAGCGCTTATGACCTTGGCCATGCTGTGCTCATATTGCATTACATGGCTCAGTTTCATGCCTTGCCCCTTGCCCTGCGTCTAAGGAAACCAAAAGTTTTTGATGAATGTATTCGACCGTATTTCAAGAAATTCAATATGAATGATAATATGGGACCTGAGACTACAAATATGTTGAATGACGAAACTTTAGCGGACATTAGGGCCCTACCTAATGGCGATGACAGTGACCATAAACGTGTCCAGCAACTCCTGGATATCTATGAAGCATTTCAATCCACTAAGGATGTTAAGGATGGACTCTGGACTTCAATAGGTAGCGAGACTTTAATGTTTATCTGCCGGTTTTTCTTTCAAAGATATGAACTTTAAGCTATTTTTATTTAAATTTACTGTATTTAAATTTACCTTTTAGTTCATATGGACTTGTGGATAAACAACATGATGGTAAAATATGGTGAGTTGATCTTTTAAATATATACACATTATGTTTTATTAGTTTCATTATATTATTAGATGATGCTGGTCTGCCCGCTAAGCTCAAATTTGTAGACTTTCAAATTGCCCAATATGAGTCTGTAGTCCACGATTTAATATTCTTTCTACTCTCGAGTGTGGGTAAGTTTTATTGAATAAACAACAATTATGCAAAAAAAAGTAAATATATATATATATATATATATATACTTTTTATTATAGAATAAAATGTATATACTTAAAATTTCTATAATTTTTTCTATAGATACATTGGTATTGGAGGAAAACTACAAGAATTTTCTAAGCATTTATTATAAGGCATTCATTCAATCATTGCAAACTGTGAATGTGGATACAACTAAATATAGCTACGAGGCGTAAGTAGAAATACTACTATTAACACTAATTTGGTCAAAGTACTAATGTTCCATATATTGAACATCACACAAGGTTGGAACATTTAATTGTCTGCCTAGAGTAAGGCTACAGCCGATAAGAAGTTGTTCATTTCTGTTCAAAGTTCATGTCTGATAACATGTTTAACACCGCAAAAAATAGCAACTTACTTATAGCTTTGTCATTATTTCAATCCGAAATAGAAATGTATTTCGCTTATGATAATTTTATTAAATAATTATATATTATACATTTATAAAAATTAATTATTAATACTTCCAGTTTTCTGGATGAAGTTCAACGCGTTGCACATATGCAGGTGCCACATGCCCTCTTTATGACCAAAGTTGTCTTGGCGGAAAACAATACGCTTCCCAGCGACTACAAAGATGTGGACTTAAGTGTATTAACCAAAAATAGAGGAGTAGAAAAAATTATGGTTAAATTGAGTGATATATTAAGATTGACGAAAAAATTCAACATATTTTATTGAATTGAAAGCTACATAAAGTTGCAAAACACTAATAGCAACACGAAATTTTTCTTCCGAAAAAAAGCAAAAAATTTACTAACCAGTTTTCTCAAGTATTGAAAAAGCACCACTTTGTAGAAATCGTAATATTCTTACTTTTTCATAAACTCAATATTTTAATATTAATTAATTTCAAATCTTTAACTGAACGGTGAATAAATTTATATTTTTTTTTTGTTTCTCACTTTTTAGAGCCACTTCTCAAACGTGTTCATAAGTTCCTTAAACTTATAAATTTAAAAAAAAAAAAACTTTTTAAGCAATTTTTGTGAGAGTGGTGCTATTATTTTTTTTGCAACTGTACATATAAATAAATACTATATCAACTATATTAAACTTGTATTGTTTGTTGAAAGATCTTATAAAGATAAGAACAATTATTATACTCTCTGTATTATGCAAGTGTATCAAATCTGAGGTCTCAAACTCTTAAACTCTGAGGCAGTCGAAGTGAGATTAAGAGAGAGATAGAGTGAAAGAAGTAGAAGTTATAGAAGTACACTCAGAAAAAAATTATTCCGAATTTGTGAAATTCGTCATAGCATTGCCGCCAAGAGTTTCTCATCTTGTTATTCACAAAGTACATTTCTAAAATTTAAGCTTAAGAGACATGGTTTTTTGATTAGTAGAGGGACTTTCCACTGAATTAAAGCTAAACTCCAATATATCAGTCAAGAGAGCAAGCCTTCCTAATTTTAAGAAAAAAGATTTCTTTCTGTTTAGATATTATTTCTAAAATAAAAAAAAAAATGTTTACATTTTTTGGCGTTTTGATTTTAGGGCGATTTTCCACATTTCATGGGGATTTTTTTTTTTGAGTGTAGATCTTGTGTTATCAAAGCGTAAACCGGCAAGCTTATAATAACACAATTTTCTATATACTTAAAGTAAATTGCTTTCAATTGCTGACTAGCTGGTAATACGCACAGCTCGTAACTTTGTGAGGCTTATCAAGATGAACAAACTACCAGAAATTCACGAATTGGGTCAGGTAATTCTGCCGGCATTAAATGGCGGAAGTCTCATTTCGTACGAGGTGGAACACTTAACACAGCTGGGTGATAATTACGGCAGTGTTTTGATATCGATACGAGCCCAAATAAAGCAACCCAATGGTGAGCTCTTTGCTAAGCGACTCGTGGCCAAAGTTCCGCCCACAGATCCAAAATATTGGCAATTTATACAACCCGAACGCACCTGTCTGGCTGAGAATGCTGTCTACGAGAAATTGGCACCGGCAATAAAAGCTTTAGAGGAGGAGGCGGGCATACCCCAGGAAGCACAATTCGATGGCTTTGCCCGGTACTTTGGTTCACGAATATCCCTCAAGCCGAACAGCAGTCAAGTGGACAATGATGCAATTCTGGTGTTGGATGATCTGCGGTACAGTGGCTACCTGCCTGGACGAAGATTGCAACCCTTCGACTTGCTTCACACCCAATTGGTGCTCAAATATATGGCAAGATTTCATGCACTTACCATTGCTTTGCGGTTGAGAAAGCCGCAACTTTTTGAGATGGAAGTTAGACCGTTCTTTGACAAGTTCGATTGGCATGCAGCTGCACCGGAGTCGAAGGCAACGATGATTGCGGAAACTTTAACGGACATTCGAGAAGCAACCGGCAACGATGAGGGGCTGGTGGAGCTGGTAAGCAAATTGTCAAAGGAATTCTTCAGTTTCTTGGCAAGGCCACCTAACGAAAATAATGCATTTAATAGCGTAATTCACTCAGATTTGTGGACAATGAACTTAATGTTCAAGTACGGTAAGTTAGCAAATTGAATTTACATATATATATGTATTTAATAATAAATTCGAATAAACTTTTTAGATCATTCCGGGAATCCTACGCAATTGAAAATCATCGACTTTCAAACCTCGCAGTTTGATTCTGTTATACATGACTTGATATCATTTTTGTTAACAAGCGTCTCAACTTCCGTGCTTGAGGAAAATTACGAACACTTACTACAGGTCTACTATGATGCCTTTATCGATAGTTTACTATCAGTTGGTGCGGATACAACTACATACAGCTACGATGCGTAAGATATATATATATATATATATATATATATATATATATATACATATATATATAGTTCCGACTGTAACTACATATCCTGATTATTGGCAGGTTTCGTGCTGAGCTGAAACTCGTCGGCTATATTCAAGTGCCCCATTCTATATTTATGACCCGTTTCATATTGGCAAATGACGTCCCTGCGACGGATAATGATCTCGATCTAAACGATGTGCTAAAGACCAATAGTTCGCAGCGAGTGCATCGCAAGCTAATTGAGATTTGGCGACTGGCACAAAAATTCGAAATATTACATTAGTGTAATTGGTTTGTTTTGAACCACAAAAACCAATAATAATTTACTCATGAAGATTATTTTCTGATAATAATTATTTCTGTATAACTATTTGCTAAAACAAATTTGGGCCTCATTATCATTGGGTAGACGAGAAGACTATGACTATTAAATTCAATATCTGTGTGCTTACAACCGTTTGGTTATTGTTTTCCATCCATCGCATGAAAATCGACTGCAAAGAGGTAGCTATATCTGTCAATACTGTGCTAAATAATAATATTTGACAGCTTTCGTTATTTAGAGCTGTTATTATGTAAATTTTCTTTACACCAACTGGACAGACGATCGTCCGCGTTTCACAGTAAATATGACATTTTCGAACAGTAATGGCATTGAATCGATTACCACCATTAACGAGGAAATTAAATCGCCTGTCACAAGAATGTTGATTCTACAACAACGCAATAAGGAAAAAAAGAATATCGTTTATAATGCAACAACTAGATTATGTGATATGCATAGCATTATGAATGCCGTTCCATTATTCAAGCCCGTGAAGGATGGCATTTTGAAACAAAGTAATTATTCATTCAGCTGTCCCCTCAATAAGGGAGTTTATACCATGAGCAATATGCGCATCAGTCCAAGAAATCCACTCCTGAGCATATTGCACCAGTCTAAAGGAATCTTTGTGGTTAGAGGAGCTCTGCTGGAAGAACTGCCCAATTCAGAATTGCATCCCACTATCCACTTATAATTTTGCTGGCAGGATCATCAAAAAGAATTGCGGGCGAAACGATTGAACTCAACAATAAACGTTGTACAGGGATTAACATCAATCGGGATCAAATAAATAACCACCTCAAAAGTATGTTTGTAAATTTGTATGTATGCCCAAAACTACCTTTAATAAATTGTTCACCATATTATTCAATTATCATGCAAAAAGGTAGCATACTTTGGGACTACCACAAAAAAAAAAAATATAAAAATCGTCAATACACATGGGAAATTTGAAATGTTTTTGATGAGAAATTAGTCTGTGCCCGGGAAAAGTATTAAATTGGGAAAAGTTTAATTTTGCATTGATTGTATATGAGATTTATTAAACAATTTATTGAGTCTGAGATCGAAGTGCTGATATAAACAAATACACGCAGTTAAATACTTTAATAAAGTAAAGCTAAACTTTGGGAACTTTTCCTTTGTGAGTTAAACAGCTGTCCCCGCATTTTTAAGTCATCTTATTTCATGTTTGGCTGCTTAATGAGATACACACACACATAACCAAATAAGTATTCACATAGATAAATATGTATACATGTGTACGTGTCCAAGGATAACATTGATTTTGATTGGATTGTTTTTTTTGTTACAATTCTGCGCAGGGTCAATGGTCTGTGGTGTACAGTATTAACTGTTTACTTTTGTTATTTCTGCAGTAAATGAACTTTATTCTCTTGAGCTTGGACATCCAGGGCACAAAAGAGCACAAAAAATATGTTCAACGGCTGTTGATATTCATTATATCTCTTGCAAATAATAATGACGGAAAATTTTAAGATCGGGTAATCGGGCGGTTCACTCAACTTGGAGTCACAGATATAGACTATATAATATGTGCGTTGAGTACATTTTATACAAATTAAGAAAAGTATATTGATAACGCCGTTTGTTAACTTTACAGCTCACACACTCAGCCAAGAGCACCGCTTATCGGAAATTCATAATCAGCTCACATGGACAACAAAAAACCATACACTGCCAGTTTCTTCGCATGAAGTCAAAAGCAACAAAGGGTCACCATTTGATTGAATTATAAAAAAAATACACACAAAATGGTCAACCAGTATTTACTGGTACGTGCCAATATACATACTCGCTGGCTTAAAGAAATGATTATAAAAAGTCTATGCCCGCAAACATTAATTAGTGCATGCAGAATAATTTATTTTAATAGAAAGTATTAATTAACATTAATTGTCAATTGAAATTAAATTTAATAGACGATGGCAAACAGAGCAAATGATGATAAACCATATTTCCGCCCCACTCGTCGGGGTTTTGATGGTGGCGTTCTATATAATTTTTTTTTTGGTTGGTTCAATGTGCTAATCAGCCAAAGAACAAAAAGATCACTTGGCAAACGCGTGCGTAGCCGATGACGTAAACAATCGGCTCGCGTGTACGGCGTAGACAGCCAAATCTCCGGGAATGCAGAAGAATATACTTGTTGAAAATGAACGATACGACGAGAAGCTAGTTTCATATTTATATATATATATATTATGAAGCTCGATTGAATGAGAATTGTTAATTTTCAAAATGTTCACTTCAATTTTATTATTCCAGTTCCAGCCATTTGCAAGAAAACGAATTAGAATTTCAGACACACATTTACACTTATATAATGCATATATATATATATACATATATATATATATATATATATATATATATAGTTAGCTGCTTTCCTTATGACTGAAGCCACACAGAATTTGTCAAGTGCAGTTGATAAGAGGCCATTGTATTGTAACAATGAATTTCTTATTTTTGTACTCTCGACTTGTATTGAATACAATATTATAAAATTAGATTTCAAAAAAAAAAAAAATGTTATTTTTTTGTCATATATTTCTATTTCTGGCCATATTTATCTCTTATGCCAAAGTCGCCGTCTTAGATTATATTTCGACGGCCACTTGATATGAAAACTGGCAGCAATTCGTGGAGTGTTTTTATGGGTGGTGCCATAATCATAATTATCGGTTGATTTGGCACTTAATAAAATCGATTGATACAATAATCAATTAAAAATAGGCCAACCATAAATTGGTGCTACAAATGCATAAAAAGGGCTTGTTAGAAATTTTGGTTTACGATTTTATTAAATGTTTAGTGTTAGCTTACAATAAAATCTGTTATTATTATCACCAAAAACTCAACCTTACCATTGCCCCATTCTCAGTGTCTGATAAGGCGAATGTGTGTAAAATTGTGTGTATGTAGATAGCAAAAAGCTTTTGTGAGTCATCAACTGTTTAATGATTTCTTGCCAAGCATTGAGCACGGTCAAGCCAAATAACATACATACCTGCATACATATAAACAAATATATCACGCAACGATTCCGTGCCGCATTTCGTAACACAATTTTGTATTTATTTAAACAAATTGAATTTGTTATTTGCGGATAAGATCAATCTAATTTCTGAAAGTAGACTTAGTTTTTTTTTGGCATGTGGCACTGGAAATTATGGAATGATTTATGATGGCACGATAACGTCTGTCATCTAATGACCAAGTTAAGCAAGTGGCACACATCAGGCTAAGCTCAACGTTCTTATCGCAAATAAGATCCACGTCATCTGATGGCTCGCATAGCAAACCATTAACCATTTGATGATGGTCGGCTTATCAAATGCTTTTGAACTTTACACGCCGCGGCCACAAAAATGAATGAATAGATGCATATACACATATGTATAGTTATATATATATATATAGATACATATATATAGAGCTAAGCTGCACACATTGCTTTATTTATCCTTGCACGAGCCAGCAGCGAACGTCCGTGATAATTTCACTAAATGCCAGTTTGATCGATTGCTTAATTCATTTAATGATTCTTGAGCTGCACAGGTGCCGCTTGACCAATGAAAACAATTGTTTTTTGCTGTGACTTTACGCGTAAGTCAAATGACTTATTGGCCAATAATTTTATTTCTATTGACTTTAATAGGAATTTCATTTCGGTCCCCTCCCTATCAAATGCAGATAATTTTCTGCATACCATTTTTTGACTAACAAAACAAATGTCGTTTGAGTGTTCTGAATAATGAATATTGTTTTGATTTGGTATCAGTATTTTTTAAATTTAAAAGCAGTTTTGAGCATACATAACTTGAGTTTGTTTCATTTTTATGCAAATCTTCTAAAGAGGAAAACTTAATTGGACCCGCTTGAGCTGATCAGGCTGATCTCGAAAGACCTGCACTGTAAGATGTCAACATATGGCTAGAAACTCGTTTTGCCGTATATAAATAAACTTCATTCATTTAAATAGCGGTAGGTGCGGAACTCAAGCGTATTGCGTGTATAGCAGACTTAAATTAACAGATTTCAAACTGACTGACTGGTTTTTTATTTGGTTTCTTTTTGTATATGTTTTTTACCGTATATGTTCCACCCCACCATATCGAATTAAATGCCATGGATACATCCCATGCATATATGTATATATCTAGTATTTGTTTTTATTTGTCGTAAATTCACATTGAAATAGAAAAACTCGTAAGTTTGTTTTGTATATTTACTTATTTTTTGTTTTCCTAAATTCGTATCGAAATTGGATAACTCGCCGCTTAAAAGATTATGGGAGGCTTTGTACCAGCAGCAATATAATAAATAAAATCCTTGAAAGCGCATATTGCTTGTTTGATTCTAATAATAAACTGCATTATCGCTTGCAGGCTAGTGACCCTATTACACTGTCACAATCTGACAGCTTACAGCCCATAATATTTGTATTTGTGTGTATATATAGAGGCAAAATTGGAATAAAAACAAAAACTGGCCAAATGCAACAACAATTTGTAGAAATATTCGTGCAGTTAAGTTATTTACCTCTTTATATATATATATATATATATATATATATATATATATATATATATGTATATATATGTATATACAGCTGCGGTCATATTAAAAGTAGTGCACACATATGTTTTGTAAAAGCAATAAATACCGAAGATACGTAAACATTAAAAGTTGGCATACGGGTAATATTTTTTAACAAAAAATTAAAGTTTTTAAAATTATTATTTTTATATTTAAATTTATCATTATTATAGTAGTGGAATAATAGTAAAGTTTTCTTAGCTTTCACTGCGGCTAAATAATATTTCTAAGAGCTAGATTTGATGGGTGTTTTTATTGTACTACATTTCGTATTTGGAAATTAAGTATTTGAAAGCATTCCCAGATGAGAAACCAAATATTTTTGTTTTGCAGAAAATATTGAAGAGGTCTCGATTTGATCACCATAAAATGAGTCATATTTTAATTAAATGCTTTGAGAAGCAGCACTACTATTATTTTGACCGCAACTGTATATGTCCATGTAAGTAGTACATTTGTGGAATGGTGTAGTTGCAATAACAAGCTGTACTAACGCATTAATCGCCGATGCAGGTGTCAACAGTGTCATCAACTCAAGGTGAAGTACATCGCACACTTGTCTGCCTGCTGTTGAATACACGCTTCAATTACATACTAAGGTCGTATTCTTCTTATCTAGTTGCAATGTGATTGCATTTATCAACATTTGATTGCAAGTTTTCAACAAGCAGCCCGACCAATGATAGCGTACAATTGTGAAATACATCAAATTATTTCGCCTACATAATTTTTATACTCACACATAAGTTCATGCACTCATTTGTATATTTATAAATATATATTGTGTGTGTCTATAAAATGTACATATGTACTTAAAACATACAATAAGAAAAAACAAAGTGTCAAGTAAATTTCTTTGTAAATATATGTCATATTCAGTAAACACATTCGTTTTTCCAATCGGAAAATTTTCCATTTATACAAGAGATGATCGTTCGCTCGTGCGGAAACTTTTACAAAGCAAATAAATTCTGTTTAATATCCCAATTATTTATTCTTGCAGCAGACTGAAGATCCGACACAACGAAAATGGTGTATATCCCAAAATAAGAATATTAAAGTTTGTTTATTTTTTTCAAAAATTTAATTTCTAATTTAGGTAAAATTGTTGATATTTGAAATGATATTATGTGTTTTTTATAATATGTTTTGTATTTATAATATGTTTTGCTTTGAAATTCAACAGTTGATAACGATTACATTATTATAAATATGATTTCTTTAACAAATTGTATAATAACATTTAATAGAGTATGATGTATTTAAATATATTTATTTCGGCATACCGTTCGAGCAAAAAATAACTTTATGGAAATTTTTGAAAACATTCCATGTTTCAAATTTGGTAACCAGAGCATCTTTATAAATTCCTCATCTCTTTGACATACTTTTGGGAAAAATCAAAAGAATTCAAATTAAAAAAAAAAATGTTTTTTTATATATTAATTTATTATGTACACACATGCATTGTACCTACACAAATAACGAACATTGTCTACTAATTGACAACGGGGAATAGAAATTAATATACAAATTATTTAAATTACAAAATATATATATAGAAAGCAATATTTCTTTATACATAATTTATAAACATATTTATGGCAGCAATGATGCGCTTTTTTTGCTGGTTAATTAACTCGTTTTTAACTCGCTTTCTTGCTTGCTTCACTTAAATGCTAAATGCTGTCTTTTTATACACAAACAAATTAATTCGTGATTCTACCCACATCGAAAAATAGCCAAATTTTACTACAAAATTTAACTATATATATATGTATGTATGTATATATGTATGGACATATATATATATATATGATCGCCCACAACACACTGGCACAAAAGAGAACTGCATGCAGTCAACCCCTTCTATTCATTTAGAAGGCAAGTGCGAACCAGGGCACCACACACAGCATATGGATCGCAATTGGAGCTTGGACGACGATCCTCGAAGTAACCTTTGCCCGCGGTGGCGACACCACGCGGCACTCGAACACTTACCGCCCGATTGGCCACACCCCACGAGAACTTATCAATGCTCGATGTCTCGAGGCGACCAACCAGACGCCGTTCGTTGTCCTTTCCTTCCTTGGGATCGTAGGCGCGAATGTGACGCTGATGCTGTTTGCTTAACTTTTCGATGGCCTGCTCGATGGCCTTCATGCCGCCATCGGCGCGCATTGCTTTCGTGGAGAAATTAGTGTGGGCACCGGCACCGTTCCACTGACCCTCCATTGGCTTCGGATCGAAGGTGACAACTACGCCGTATTCCTCGGCAATACGCTGCAGAATATACCGTGATACCCAGAGATCATCACTGGCCTTCATTCCGTTGCTAGGACCAACTTGATATTCCCATTGGGCTGGCATCACCTCGGCATTGGTGCCGGCGAAGTCAATGCCGGCATAGAGGCAGGCAAGGGCGTGTGCCTCGACAAGATCACGGGCATATACCCGATCGGCACCCACACCACAATAATAGGGACCCTGCGGTGCCGGAAAACCATTGTCGGGCCAGCCAAAGGGTCGTCCATCCACATCCAGTAATGTATATTCCTGTTCGATGCCGAACCAGGGCTCCTGGTCACCAATCTTGTCCACGGCAGACTGGAAGTCGGCACGTTTATTTGAGGGCGTCGGTTTGCCATCGGCACTGTAAGTGTCGCACATAACGATTACGTCGTTCTTGCCCGGCTTGAAGGGATCCCGGTATACGGCACGCGGCTTCAGTGTTGTGTCCGAGTTTTCACCCTGCGCTTGGTAAGTGGAACTGCCATCATATTGCCAATCAGGAAGATCCGCCACGGAGCTGGGCACTTTATCCAGCACGCGATCCTTGAGACGTATATTCTCGCCAGTGCCATCGATCCACAGATATGTGGCCTGGACGCGATTCGATGGAGTTTCGAGACTTCGATAACGCTGAATTATGCTCTTGTCCAGCGCTGTATTGGGTGAGTTGGCCAAAAACTGAGTCTGTGCAACGCTCGTGGTGCGCATCAGACGCAGGTGCTGTGCTATTGGAGCGGTGAGCTCCTTTTTCAGGAAGAGGCCAGCGACACGGAATGCCATATTTGCAATTTTTTAGAACTGTGTAAGTGGAGAAAATCATATATCATATTTTTGCTCATATATTTTTGGAGCTAATCTGTACACTCTGTAAAAAAATTGACCTACATTTTGACTATTTTTTTTATAGACATTTTTTATAATTTTAAGAACAAATATTTAAACTGTAAACCTCATTTTTAGAAAAAGCCTTTCTATAATACAGACACAATAAATGAAAAATACTGGACCGGTTTTTATATTAGAGTTTACCTACCGTCTGCCTCTAAGGCCAAGATTTTTTTTAATTAAATGAATTTACAAACTATGTAACATGTCTGTGTATATGTGAAGTCTAAAAATACTAATGTTTAATAATAACAAAAGTAACAAAAAATCTAAAACAAGAATTCTTCTATGGTACACACAAAGAAATCCACACACTGCAAATTATAAATATTTTTTCTTAATTTTAGAAAAATCCAGCATAAAATTTAGAAATGGAAACCCTGATTTTTAGAAAGCCAAAAATATATATTTTAAAATTTTCTGAATAGCCAAAATTAAGGTGATTTACTAAAATGTAATGATGAGTGTAGCTGTGAGTATACGGTGTGTATATGTGCGTGTATGTATGCATAAATTTCAAGGATAAGGATGTGAAGTTATTGCGCAAGAAATGTCTCTCAAATTGTACATTTCACTTTTTGATTTCTTTTTCACTTCTCTTTTTTTTGATCTGCACACGTTTATTAGTTTAACTCTTCACACACACACACACATGCATTCACATATATTTGTATGCATTTGCACGTTTGTTTGGCTCAACTTACATTTTGCACTAATTGCACTGTACAGTTATAAGTATATGTTTTCTGTATTTTTTCTTTTTGTATTTTGTATTTCTCGTGTTGATAGCCTTCGCTGAACTTGCGCGCTATTAGTTGTAGTCAGTTGTGTTTTGAACGACGACGACTGCTGCTTGGGACGCCCAACCTATACGAAGTTAGGAAGGTTTGTGACTACAATTCGCGACACAACATTCACTTTTCTCGTTTGGCTTGCCAGCCTCGATTTTTCTTTATCGCATTTTCAGCCGACGGCGAATGGAGACGAAGGCAACAGCAGACAGCAGACAGCAGCAGCAGCGCCATCGGTTGTGACGAAGCGTCCTACAGTGATACCAAACATACACAACACACACACACATGTGCAACGGAGAGAAACAAAAACAATTTTACACCCACACACACACAGACGCAGTCGCTATCTCTGAGCGAGAGAGAGAGCGAGAATAAGAGTGAGAGTGACGACACTAACGGTGAGTTAGGGCTGCAACAGTATAAAGAAAATGATTTGTATGTAATTATTTGTATACATATATTTTATCACATTGATAAGTGTGCTTTAAATCGAAGTGAGACATTTTCTTTGTTTTGTACATTTGCAATGCATTAAATCATAAACTATTATTATTTTTATAAATTATTTTGTGGTGTGGGCTCACTGTAAAACTAGCCTGGAGAAACTGAAAAAATGTAAACAACGAGAGAGAAATTATTTATTTTGCCCGATGCGCACGCTCGCTCTCTTCGTTTTGGTGCGAGCAACTACCCCGTTGTCTGGCGCTCTCTCTCTGTGTTTTTTTTTATCAGTGAGAGAATGACCTCTAGCGGGCTGTAAACAATGTGTCGGGTCAAACAAACGACAGCAATAGGGCAATGAGTTCCTGCTGATAGATTAAGCATTAGCATTTTCAGCACATGCGCTCTCTTTTTTTCATACCAAAACAGAGCTAGCTACCTATCATCACACACGTTTGGTACAAAGTCCGCTATCTATTTTTTTGTTGTTGGTTTTTGTTTTGTTTTTGGCCTGTGTTACGTGTTATTAATGCTGTGCCCACAAACAATATTTTAAATGTGCATACATATGTGTGCATTAGTATATATATATGTGTGTGTGGGTGTTTATGTATGTATGTATGGCTGCCTATTTGCCGGCTGAAAGCACTGAGCGCTAAGAACTGTAAAGCCACCATCGTGACACAAATATTAGAAGCACTCTGATAAAAAACTATAAATTCTTTTGTATTTTGTTGCCGATGAAAGTGTGAAAAAAAAACTTTTAAATATTTAGAAATGAGATCAATGTGCTTATATGAAAGTTGAGCATTTTATTATTATTATTATTATCGGAATCGGGTCTATTTTCAATATACTTACACACAAAGATTTTTTAAAGGATAGTTTAATTCTCCCTCTCGCAGTCTACTTTACGGACTAACAAAACTTCAGCACATTATCTCACACAAATTTTAAGTATCATCCCAAAAGTATGCTAAATTGAATTAATATTATATTTGAGTTGCATGAAAACGTCAAATTGAATTTCATACTTTTCGATTTTTCGAAATTGAATTTAGCATTAGCAAAAAAATTTAAACTTAATGTAACTAAATTGATTCCTTGGATAAAATCAGACAGCTGTTGCTATTATTTACATTGTGTATACGTAAATATATGTGTATGTGTGTAAAGTATGAATGCTTACAACTGTATGTATGAATCTGTGAATCTTTGTGTAACTGGTGTTGTACATTAGTTACAGCGACCGCCTGACGTAATTTTGGCTAAGCTTAAACTCGCTTTTGCACACACACACTTACACAGTTTATGGTGGATAACCGGACTAATACAGACGAAAGGCCATCGCCTCAATGTGTGTGAGTGTGTTTGCAATCGCTGCACAATTCGTCGTTACTCGCAAAATGCGTTTCCAGTTGTGTGGCATCGTTTCCAGTGGCTGCCGGTTCGAGTTTTTCTTTCGCAAGCTGCTGTTGTGGAACGCACAAAAAAGTGTATATATCAAACTGACTAAACTTACATATAACTTAATGAAAAAATGCATAACACTTGACAACGCTGCCATAAAATTGAGATTTTTTAGTTAACGCTGCCACCTGTTGCTCTAACAATCCAGTGCGACAGTTTCCCAAAGTGCTCTAAACTGATATTCCATTCCATCAAGTAAAATCATCCAATTATCCATATAACCATGAATAATTATAGTTGGGAACAGTTTTTGGAAAATAACAATCTGTAAGTAGTAATCTTTAAAACCTCAACTCAATATAATGCTTGACTTTTCCTGTTTAAAAAATAAATAAAAATCCATAAATAAATCCTGAGTTCAACATAATAAAATTGTAATTTAATTTGAATTTTCTCCCTATATGCAATATAATAATTCCATAAAAACAAACTGAACTCATTACATTGTAATTTAACTTGAGTTTTCCCTTTTTATACAATATGAACAACTCAGAAATAAAACCTCAACTTAGCATGATACAATTGTAATTCAACTTGACTTTTTCTCCTTTATATATAATATACCTTAATGCATAAATTCTAGTTTTCTTAATCCTAAAAAAAAGATTGACAGCAGCACAAAAACCCAATGGGAAAAACAACAATGTCAATGGGAAACCCACACTTTACTTGGGAAACTTGTTGCTTTGCAAAACTGGAAAACAATAATTATTTATTGGCGTGACGTTTAAATGAACTAAACTCTGTGCAAAGCACGAAAATAGATAAAAACCTTGCGTCAAAGATAGTAGATTGAGATTGCAATATATTTCTTATTGAAGACTGAAAAGTACAAAACCGGCTTGTTTTGACTATTTTTTTGCATTATTGCAAAAATTATGCAGTATGAAAATATGTCAATTATGTCGGTCAATTGAGAAAAATGAAGGGCTTTGTGGGATTCATATAAAAACTTAACTTCCCATTTTTTTAAGATTCTTGATAATTGATTGAGTTTCTATCTGTAGAAAAATTATAGAAAAATTAAAAAAACAAAACTCTACATATTTAAAATAATATTTTATAAGAGATATTTAAGTATTAATAGACTTTATATCTGTCGAAATATTATTGGGAAATTAATAAATATTACATGTATTTAAAATTATTGCAACTGAGTTATTGATTATTCTACGTCGGATTTAAGAAAAAGAGTCTAAAAGGATTTTCTATCTTTAGAAATAACTAGGAAATGTGCAACACAAAACTCTTCATATTTAACATTGTAATTTATTGTAGCTGAGTTGATAATGGTACTATATATTATAATTAAAACACCGCTAATAATTCTTATCAGATAGCGCAGTCATTAAATAACGATCCCATTAACAGTTAGGTGTATATACCTTATCGACAGTATCCAATTATCAAAGTGGACATATAATAAAATAAGCTTCGGTGGTAACTAGCCAGATGATAACTAGTAGCAAAGTCCGTTAATGTCAGTGGTTAGTATTGGAAATGTATATATATATATATATACATATATATCAAAAAAGTTTAGATAACTATGTACACATATATCTTCACTTTTTCATATTTAGAAATTTTCCTAAATCTAATATATATAGGCTTATTATAAATTTTGGATATTTTGCTGATATTATATTTATTTTCAGTTTCCATAAAAACTTCTAAAAATTCTCTGACGCATCACTTGAAGAGAGAGCAGATACGGACTTTGCTCCCTAGAGATAAGCTTACAACTGTGGGAAATATGGAAGTGTCATAATTCCTACAAGTACTAAAACTCGACATCAAAAAAGAACTTTGAATTGAGTTTGTATCAAATTGATAATTTGTTATCAGTTTCCGAAAACGTGTATTTATTATCAGAAAATATATATGTATGTTATATAGGTATATATTTGTGAACTTATGTATAAATACGTATATAGAAGACGTATAATAAATTTGTGTAGTTGTCGCTGATAAGGAAGTTGAATAATCGTTAGAAAAATGCAATGAGAGGAAACAAGATTTTTCCCAATGTGACACAAATGTGTAATTGGTAATTAGACAAAAACCCCGTTAGATATTGCATTTTTGAATTAAATATTTAAAACTTACCCATTTAGTCACATAATAACTTGACTTGTAAATAGATTAAATGTAGCTAAATAACATAACAGCTAAGCTAAAATACCTACCAATATATATGTTTACATTTATGAACATATGTGTATGTATGCATGCATGTGTGTGTGTATGTGTGTTATGTAGTACGTGTAAGTGTCTGTTTTTATGGCATAAAAACAATAAAGCTGTGTGTATACGAAAATGCTCTGAGATTCGATCAATTCAGCGATGAGAATTTATTCCGCAACCGCATCGGCCTATACATTGAACACAGAGAGAGAGGGCGAGAGCGAGAGAGCAGTAAGAACTCAGACAGACTATTGTCGTCGCACTTCTACTCTCAGCTAAGGCATTGGAGCTGCGTCCACTGTACTCGCGTCGCAACTGAGAGAGGTTGCGCTGGTGTGTGTTGTGTGCAAGTCGCTTGATTTCTGGCTTTGTTCCATTACCTCGAATGGTGGCGATTTAGTTGCGATCGCGTCGCGAGTGTGTCAAGTGCTGGAAACTCGAGAAAGCAGAATAGTAACATTTTACGCGTCCAAGCGGGTGGAAAATTTTCTATAGCGACCCCTATGCTGACGGTGGTTGAAACATAAAAAGAGCAGAAGGGGCGGCTAATGTAACCCTATATGCAGCACAGTGGTCCAAGAATACACATACACACATTCAAATAGCATTTTTCTAACTACAAAAATTCAATCACGGATTACACAAAAAAAAAAATTTTAAAAACATACGTGTGGCTGCATTTTGCAGTATTCAAAATATAAATAATTATAAAAACTAAAATAAAATGGTTACGAACGAGAATAAAAATCTATTAAACGACAACAGATTGGGCGTTAGCGGAAATGGTGGCGCCGCACAAGTGAAACCCCAAATTGTGCCCGCCCAGCCGAAGACACTGCAGCATTTACCAAAGCGACCCCCAGTCGATTTGGCGTTCCACAATCTGACATATCGCGTCAAGGAGGGCAATCGCAGTAGTAAGTACAAAATATACCACTTAAATTTACGTTCTAAAGATTACACCAACAAAAAATACATATTTAATGTATAAATTAAGAAATAAATAAAACTAAAAAGGGTATCAACACAGCAGCTGCCGTTTGCTGTTCTTTAGAATTGAATTTCGCATTTATTCAGTCTGAGTCTCTAGCACTTGCTTTTAATTTTATTATCTGCTGTGTCTCTCTCTCTTTTTCTCTCTCTCTTTTTCTCTCTCTTTGAGTATAGTACTTCAGTCCAGTTTTGTTTTTACTTGTGCTCTGTGTGCTTGTTTCTGGTTTCTTTGTTCTCTAGCTACCTATATCAGCAGTTGCCTGAACTGAACACACAGCGTTGCCACATTTTGAGCTAGCTTGGAACTTTGGACTCAGTTGCTTAGTACGACGAAGCTGAGTAATTAACAAACCCATTCCACTTAAAACGCAGATAAACTTCTCTCTGCCTTTGCTTTTGCCCCACTGTAGCCCTCAATACACGACCCCATTAGCAATGTTTTTGTTGAGCATAGAAAACAGTCCAACAACTAAGTAATTCCCAATGCGAATCATGTCTGTCAGCTCTTGCTATTGTACTCGCTTCTATATATGTATATGCAGTATACATATGTATGTACATGTACATAAACTCTTTGCGATGTGCATCCTGTTAATGGAGAGTTTTCTGATAATATTTACGTTCACCCTTAAGTACAATCTTCGCAACTAATTAGACACTATTGATATCAAGTAATGGGAGACATATACATATCTAGATAAGTACGCACCATGTACACATGCTATGTGCATCATGATAATGGAAGAGAGAGTATTCTGATAGTAAGTACATATTTACTCATTTATACTCGTCTTGTTTTACATGCGTCGACGCAACTAATTAGACATTATTGATATCTCTCAATACATACAAACACACAAATCAATAATCAATCAACGCATGCGTATGCGTGTCTAAAGAGAGGGAAATATTTATGAATAATTCCGATAAATGCGATGAATACGTGTTAGCCACAGCTGTTGTTACTCTCAGCTAATTGTTAATTAAAGAAGTTAATTAATTATATATGTATATATAATTGCGAGAAAACCGACTGCAGAATAAGGCATTCAATTTTCGCACTGACTCACAAAACGGCAAGGATTGAATGAGATTACTATGAGTAAATGTTTTTGGACTGCGACCTTTTCAAGTTCGCCCTTTCAAGTGAGTTTTGTAACGTGTCAATCAACGACGAACTTAGTACTCTCGCATTACTGCTTTAAAACTGAAAAAAAAAGTAATACTTGTCTTAAGAGTTGTAGTACTTAATGCAGTTGACAGCCATTTAATACAAAGGTCAAGAAAGCAACTAATTGAAGGTTGTTTTGCACATGTTGCGAGTGATCTTTTTTGCTCACCATTTATAAATTCTTCACACAGCAACTCAGAAATATGTGTGTGTGAGTCTATACACAGAGTATTTCAGTATTTCAACTGCAAATAAATTGCAGAAACTAGGCAAATACTGTTGGCTAAAATGTAAACAATAAAATGCCGAAGGCATGCAAATGATCAGATTTTTAATATTCACAAATTTCTTATGGCTACATTGCTTGAGTACAAGTGAAATGTATTCAACTGAGAACTAGCAATTTATATAATACATATGAACACATATGAAGTACGATACAATTACACAATCTTATGAAAAACTCTGATTCGTATCTCATGTTAATTAACTCGCCTTAAGTAAGATAATTCACATTACTCAATTAAGCTAATCACACTAGTTTGCTGCGTACTAGTTTTTGTTTGCAGCTTGTCCTTGTTTCTTTAAAACAGTTTAATGCGAAGAGATTTCATAATCATAGTGGTTATGTAGTCGTCTTCTAACCGTTTGCTGTTGAGGTTCACCGGCGAAGGCCTAATTTTATCCAGCTCGCTGAAGTGTGTAAAATATTTAATATATATTATATAAGCTGTCGAAAGTAATGCATATTATAGCTGCAAGTTTCAGGTCATGACACGTTGAGCTGTAGTTATAAAACATTTTTTTAATTACGTTGTCTTGCAATGCTTGTCAAACGATGAAACAGTTATATACTTGGCCATAACTGGGAAATAAAACTCAAGCCGACAACAACATATTTAATTTGCAACAAACATATATATTCGCATTTCATTACCGAGTTTCTCGAGTTTCTAGTCGCGTGAAAGACAATTCTAAAACTGCCGACTAATGGACTTTGCTTTGGAATCTTGACAAAACAAGTTTGGTAACATTTTGGGTGCTGTCTGATCAATCTTTTTCACATAGATAGTGCGTAATTTTCATATTGCAATATTCTTATATATGAATGTATATATATATACTTTTTTTATTGATGCACTTAGCTGCTTATTGATATGCACATTGTGATGAGCAGTTATATGTTTCTGTTATGGAGAGTAGTGAAATAAGTACATAAGGGCCATTGAACCCCAAATTGTCTATTATATTTATTTTTGACTTGAATAATTTTCTGTAGAAAATCTAAACAGCTTCTAAAAATACTCTACAAATAACTGCATTTTTAATCGTTTAATAAATTATTTTTACAGATGCCAAAACTATTCTCAAAGGAGTCAGCGGGCGCTTGCGTTCTGGAGAACTTACTGCTATCATGGGACCATCGGGGGCTGGAAAGAGTACTTTACTCAATATTTTGTCGGGCTATAAGTAAGTACACGTAGAATTATTATTGAATTGTAATATAATTTTCTATGTGTAAAAAAATGTACAGAATACATTTTTCTATAAAAATAATTATATTTAAATATTAAAAATTTGTTTTTGCGTGATAGCCATGAAACTATATGAGCGACGAGCTCGATCGCAATGAAGCACGTGTTTCCGGCGTGTAATCTGTTTTTTTTTCAGTCTTACAATTTTGTGAGGTGTGTAACGCATTGAAAAAAACGCCTCCGACCCCATAATGTATACATACTTGTTCATGTCCGTCTCACTATTTAACTGTTTCTATTCCATGGCAAAGAAAACCATTATTTCTTGTATTTTATTATCATTGCATACCAATGTACGTACATTGAGTGTACACACATTCCTAAATGAATATTGATCTAAGCGCTAAGCGTAACTGAACTTCGCACCAACCTTGTACAAGTATATGTATTTATTACTGTGTTTATGAACCGCTTCTCTACTTCGGGTTTATACGTTCTTTATACGTACGAAGATTAAAAGCAAATTTAAGCACAAACACACACATAACCGGTCACTCATATATAAACGGGCAGACATATACAAATAATAATGCATACTAACTGAAAAATCTTAAATTCCATCCCCCCAGAACGTCAAATATTGAAGGCAGCGTCACCATGAATGGTGCAGAACGAAATCTGAGCACCTTTCGGAAATTGTCGGCATACATAATGCAGGATAATCAGCTGCACGGCAATTTAACCGTACAGGAAGCAATGACAGTGGCAACAAATTTAAAGCTGAGCAAAAAGTTCACAAAAGTCGAAAAGAACTCAATGGTAAATATGAACATCATATCAAGTATACATTGTACTTTGGGCTTTGTTTGATTAAAGCACCCACTAGCCGTGTCTAGACAATTGTCAATAATTTTATCAATAGGCTAACCAGGTTCAACAACCAATTCGAAGTGATATATTAAAAGTAGCTTAGAAAATGTTTTTGAGTTTTATTTTTAACATTCAAGACAGTCTGAAAATACAATCTGAAAACCAGTTTTAAGTTAGCTTGTCGTATTTAATGGCGATCCAATGATATGAATAATTGTATACCCTGTGCAAATAAATTGTATGTGTATCGCGGCTATATATATTCGATCATACTCTTACCTGTTTCCAGTGGAAGAAGTTGAAAGTTAAATTTATTAATTTTTTTTTTTTTTAATATGATTTAAGTAGCTTAGAAACTAGTTTGGAATTGTAATGGGAAGTTGTCTTATTTAGAGTGTGTGCTTAATTACATCAGATGTCAATAGAATATGTGTTCCTATTCTTAGTTCATGCTTACATAAGACATAAAATATTCGATATTTATGTAAAATATGGTTTATTTCTGAGGAATATGAACAATTATACAAATTGATTGCGTAAGTGTTGCCTAGTCGATAACTGATTTAGGTTGTCTATTATTAGAAGTAAAAGTTCAATCTTTGATTTGTATTATTTTAAATATAGTTAAACTAATTTAGATTGAGAATTTAGTTTAAAATTGAAGCTATAAATTCATCAGATGTCTAATCGTGAATTCTCAGATAGATCATGCTTACATAAAACTCATAAATTATTCGATATACATGTAAATAAAATATGGTTTATTTTTGCAGATAGATGACATTCTATTGACTCTAAGTTTGAGCGAGCATCGCAACACAATGACTCGCAACTTGTCCGGTGGCCAAAAGAAACGTCTATCGATCGCTCTGGAGTTGGTTAGCAATCCGCCAATTATGTTCTTTGATGAGCCCACTTCGGGGCTGGATAGTTCGACCTGTTTCCAATGTATTCATCTGTTGAAAATGTTGGCCGCTGGTGGACGTACTGTAATCTGTACAATTCATCAGCCATCAGCTCGACTCTTTGAAATGTTTGATCAGCTTTACACGCTTGCGGATGGGCAATGCGTGTATCAGGGTAGCACAAAGCAACTGGTGCCTTTTTTATCCACCCTGAACCTAGAGTGTCCTAGCTACCACAATCCGGCTAGCTATGTGATTGAGGTATCGTGCGGCGAGCACGGTGATCACACCCGGAAACTGGTCGAGGCCATTGACAATGGCAAACGGGACATTCGATCATCGGCCGATTATGCGGGTCTCAAGGCACGCAACGATCTGGTCAAGGTGCAAAATCTGAAAGCTATTCTGGACAAGAACGATCTGTCCAACGTTAGTGGCAGCAAGTACGAGGATAATCTCACTCTGAATAATGGCCTGCTCAATGGCATGGTCAACGACATTGTCAAGGACACGAACGGATTGGCCCCACAGCAAGCTATGGTGGTAACCACCAATGAGAAAGGTGACGCCATGATTGATGTGGACAAATCTGACAATTGTGCCACTGCATTACTTTCCGAGGAAATCACGTCGCCCGAACGCTATCCAACATCGCAATTTCATCAGTTCTGGGTAGTTCTAAAGAGAACACTGCTTTTCAGTTACCGCGATTGGGTACGTTCTGGGAATTATAGCTATTAATACTTAGCTCACTTATGCTATTAAGATTATATGTTTTTTTTTTTTTTGTTTTAGACTTTAATGTACTTGCGTTTGTTTGCTCATCTCTTGGTTGGTTTTCTGATTGGCGCACTGTACTACGATATTGGCAACGATGGCGCCCAAGTGCTAAGTAATTTGGGCTTTCTGTTTTTCACATGTTGTTCTTGATGTACACATCTATGACCATTACGATTTTGTCATGTAAGTCGATCTGTTTGATAGAAATTGTATTCATATAACACAATAATATAAATATTTTTAGTCCCACTTGAAATGCCTGTATTGCTAAAAGAGAACTTTAATCGCTGGTATTCGCTGAAGTCATACTATTTAGCCATCTCAGTTGCTGATCTACCATTCCAGGTGAGTGTTGATAGTTTATAGTATTTATTATTAGTTTAATTATTAACTATTATTCTACACATATATTTTTATTTCACAGGCCATTTTCTGCATCATCTACGTATCCATCGTATATTTTTATACCTCACAACCCTGGGAACTGTTCCGTTTCAGTATGTTCCTCTCGGCCTGTCTGATGATTTCTTTTGTAGCTCAATCTGTGGGTCTGGTCGTCGGCGCTGCCATGAATGTTCAGAATGGTGTTTTCCTGGCTCCCGTGATGTCGGTGCCGTTCCTCCTCTTCTCCGGCTTCTTCGTTTCGTTCGACGCAATACCCGTTTATTTGCGGTGGATCACTTATCTATCGTATATTCGTTATGGGTTCGAGGGTACGGCTTTGGCCACCTATGGATATGCACGAGAAAAACTCAAGTGCTTCCAGACGTATTGTCATTTTAAGTCACCCATAACCACGTTGGAGGAATTAGACATGGTCAATGCGAATTTCACACTTGATATTGTGGCGCTTGTTGTTATTTTTGTAGTGCTGCGGGTATCGGCCTACCTTTTCTTGCGCTGGAAGCTTAAGACCACACGCTAATAAAAGTAATATTATTATTGTTTTTTTATTGTTGGGTTTAAAGCTTTCTGTATGTATATTTATGTACCCCAAATGTATCTACGAACATTTCACTAATCTGTCTTAGAACTGAAACGCTTAGTTTTCGTAAAATAGATTCATTTATGTGTGATAGTACCACAGTGATCTGAATTTAAAAAAAAATTACAAACCAATGAACAATTACATTTATAGTAAAATATCCAATTGAGAAATATATTGGGTTTCGGGAAAGAAAATTACGGATCTACATTTCAAATACAATAAAAATGTATTAGCTTAAAATCAAATGAAAAAATACGAAAATGATAATCGTATAAGGGAGTCTATTCATGAAATAAAAATTGTATCGCCATTTTTTTTTTTTAATTTTGTATATTTACACGAACAAATGTTAGTTTCTTATTTTTTATTGCTTTATAACAGTTTATATTGAATGTTTTTTGTAATAAAGTTTATTACAATTGTAAGTATTTTCTATTTACAGACATTTTCATTTCAAAAGAATATTCATTTATTCAGTTTGTAGCAACGTAGGGAAAGAAACCCTTTAATTTTAAATAAGTACATTTTGTATTTTAATTTGGTAACTGACACGAAACCAAATGAATATGGCATGTAAGTATACCGTTAAGTTCTCTAAAGCCAGGTATAGCAGGTTTGGTTTGGTTCAATTTACAATGGGGTAGACCTACCATTAAATCCGTTGGGCGAGACAGTTTCTGCTGAGTCAGCGCCTTCATGTATATTTGTGTATCTATGTGTATGTGTGTATGTACATACATAATAAGACGGCAGCATTTTGCTGGTGCATTGTAGACTAGTGGTCTGTTGGTCGGCGCTTTAAACTCCATATAGATATGCACAATTGCTCTCAAAATAATAGCATTTTATGATGATCAAATCGAGAAGTCTTCAAAATGTTTGATTTCTTATATGGGCATTTTTTAAAATACTATTCTTTTCCAAATACTTAACGTAGTTAAATATTTGTTTGTTAAATATAACCACCCATCATATCTAGTTCTTTGAAATAATATTTAGCACCAGCCAAAGCTAAAAAAAACTTCACTATTATTCCACTATTATTGTAATGATCCATTTAATAATATAATAATAATATATATGAATAATATATATTTATTATAATATAATCTAATTTTAATTTTTTTGATAATACATTTTAAAGTTATGCCAACTTTTAATGTTGATCTTTACTGATGATTCCTTGTACTTAATTAAAATGTTCATATTTTGTTTACTCTATTTTACGTATTTATTTTTTTAATAATTTTCCAAAATATATTTGTGCACTACTATTATTTTGACCGCAGCTGTTCTGTTATTGGATAAATAGTTTTGCAATACATTTGTAATGATAAAAATGGTTACACATTTTTGTGGCTTGCAACTGACTGGCACACGAAACTTACTTTAAGGGATAGGTAAATGTATTGAAATATGTGGCGAACGAAATTGAATAGAAATTGACCAGAGGCTGTCAACTCTGGACATGTAAATTTTAATTTCGTACCTCGACATAGGTAAATACAAATAAAATATAAGTCCCCATTTATTGTTGCCTCCGTTTTCAGGTTGCTTGGCAACTACTTTATGATTGTTGCCAGACAGAGCTGTAAACACGATGTGTCGACATTAAGAGCGAGAGGCACGGGAACAAGTTATCCAGAGTAATCACCTAAACTAATGAATACCATGTATTTACAATAATAAACACAATATATACTCTGTAACAACATTTGTGGATATAAGGGGTCGTAATATCAAAAATACCTGATATTATAATGATAATAATTAGCAATAGTTGTAGCTTATTTAACGTATCCGAAGTTGTCCACTTCTGCAATTCAATACACATACAGAACTTTATTAATTTTTTTATTAACAGTCTCCGCGCACAGGGTATAAACATATTGCGGTAGGTCGTACCTAAAGAAGGCTAAGAAGAAGACACCAACTAACAAAACGAGAAGATTACATAGAAAAAATGGGGAACTTTATAAATATGATAATGTGCAAAAGAAAAGCCGGTTTTAAGCAATTTGTATAATTAATTACAATTTAGCTTGCCAAATGAATGATCGATTTAACTTCCTGAACATATTTTTGTAGTATTTATATTTCAAAAGCATCATTCTGTCAAAGAGCATCTAGATGAGAGATCCTAAACTCACCCATACAAGTCTTGTTACATTCAGAAAACTAAAAGATTAGCTTTTGCCTACGTTGGAGTCCAAGTAGATCAGCGGAAACACGAATCGCCTTAAAATTTTACGTTTTTTAGATATAAATTATTTGAATTTATAAACTATCTGAAATTTTGGCACATGTCAGATACTAATGTTTATAAATAATATGAGCAACAAAAAACTTATGTTTAGAGTTGCTTGCTGGTGCACATATAAAAAAAAGACTAAAAATTATACATATTTTTTCTAAATTTTAGAAAAATGTAACTTGAAATTAAGAAAAGAGAAACCCTGGTTTTTTGAAATATACTTTCTAAATAACAAAGTTCAAGGTTTAATTGGCGCCGAAAGTAAAGCAACATTCTAAAATTCAGTGTGATCTTTTTCTGAGTGTACAAAAATGAAACTGGATTCCCGAGTAGAGCACAATCGAAGATACTTCTCTTCCCCTAGAAGAATTCTTTGAGTATTTTCTTTGTGTGCTGCGCAGATAGTATGCGTGTTTTTCTCTCAGCTTAAGTGCGCAACACGCTTTCGCGTGCGTACATAATACATATGCATTTTCCCCCCTTTCATGTGTGTGTGTAGGCATACATACACACATCGCTGGTCGTGTATATGTGTGTGTGCTGTGTGTGCCTGTCAGCCCGCAAAACTCTATCATTCTTCCTTCATTTGTTTTCAGTACATTTTCGTTTCTCGGTGCAACAAGTCATTGGTGTCGTCGTCGTTGCCGTCGCCGTCTCTGTCGCTATCCACGCTGTTGCATGCATTTAGCACACCCGCTACGCTATTGTGAAGAGAGTGGAAAACCAGGGAAATAATAAATATATATCCGAATAGAAAGTGGAGTGAGTGTAGCAGAAAAAGCTTTTTAGCCTGTTCCGGCGAACTTTGTAATATCAAAAAGTAAAATAGTGCACATGGGTTCATAGTATTTGAAATCCGTTCAATGAACTTGCTAGTCGACAACGTTGACGACAAGACGAAGTAAATCGTTCGACTTCGTACATATCTATATACACTAGTATTTGTATGCAGAGGCACAGTTATATTAAATTGATGTATGCATTTATTTGATATGCATACCGGTAAGCAGGAAAATTCATTGAATTGCATCCGAAATCAAGAGCTTCGAAGTTGAAAGGGCTCTTTGAGTCTAGTATTTACGTATAGATACATATTGACTCTCACATGAAATACTATATATTGTGAGTCATGCACTGATTTCATTTAATAGTAAGCAAAGTATTTACAACTATATTTGTCATACAAAACCATATCAGATATGCTTCAACATGCGTTGGTTCACTGCACTTGCATGCACCATTAGTCACATTTCAACAAACAATATAATAAAAATCGAATCTGAAATCACGTATACTCTTATTAAACACTTTTGTATACAAGCCTTTAAAGAAATAATTGTGAACAGTGGCACAAAAAGTACGATTTAAATATTCCACCGTACCACAAAAATAAAAATCAAAATAAATGAAATAAATATGTAAGCGCAATTCGGTGCAATGGTCACGCACTTGATCGTATACAAACGTATATTAAGAAAGACGACTGCCCAAATGCCTCAATCGAAAGTAACTGGCACTGGCACTTGTGTATACAATAAAATTGGGTTATATTTTCTTACATGTACATAGCCTATTATCAGTGAATGCAGAGATAAAACGATTAAATAAGCTGACCTTATGTTGTGCTCTAAACTGCGCACCCAACAAGTACGAAGTCGCTGGTACCAGTTAGTGCCACAAATCAGAATACAATTTCCGCTGCAGCTAAATACTGTCTGATAAGTGGATGCTAGATGGCCCCAAATACTGAGCTTATCTGAAGCTAGCACAGCGCAACGTGATAATTGCAAAAGTCTGAGCAAGTCGTGTTTTTTTTTTTTAGAAAGTTCCGAGAAGCAACCCTCAGAAATAATCAGATAGACAGACATTTGCGGTCAGTTGTTCAACTACTTTGAAATCAATTGAAAATCAAAATTCATTTTTGTATTTTTTTTTAAACGAGCTGCGCAGCGTCAGAACTTATTCGCCTCTAGTGCCGAGAGCCGAGAGAAAAAAGTTTCTCAGTGCAAAATTTGATTTCAGAGGGCGAAGGCACATTGTGTAGTTAGTCTCTGGAAGCCGAGAGAAATGTTAAGGCATTTAGCTTTTGTTTAATTGAAGCGGAACATGAGAGCAATTTAGCTCCCACATTTTTATTTCGATCACCAGTGAGTGTTGAGCATTGAAGGGAAACAGCTGAACAATATTTAAGCATATTTTCCATATTATGTGTGTGCAATGATCAAAATTATTATAGATCGGACAAACACGAAGTCACGGAAATAGAATAAAATATTTCTGTGAGCTTTGCTATAAAAAATCAAGCAATTATATGCATATTTATTTCATTTAAAATGATTTGAAAAAGTAAAAACAAAGCCTGTTTAATAAATACAAAACAGATACTACGTATATTAATTTAAACACATTTAGGAATATTGGGTGATTTCATACTTTATTATATATAAATGTATATATATATATATATATTTCTATATATATATATATATATATATATTTCAATTTGAATTTTTAAATGTCAAGCTGTTAAAATATAATTCTGATATTTATTTAATTTGTATAATATTGTGTTGCTGATACATAATTTAATGTGAATTGAATAAGTAAAAACGAAGTTCATTTACTAAATACGTCAACAGAAACAGATTAATCTGTATATAAACTTAATACATTTAAGTATTACAATCCACTCAAATATAATGGACGAAGGCACGTTTTAATTGTGATGCTGATAATTACTCTAATTACAATAGTCTTTTTACAGATTATCTGTCAGGTACACCTATCAATTAAATGTGTGAAATTAACATTGTAATTAATATGTGTGTACTTTAGTCACATATTAATTACACTGTTAATTACTTAAGTCAATCTTCTTTTTTATAAACAAAGTTGTACCCTAGCACAAGATAGTGATTGGACTGAAGCACGCAAAGGTTACCACGTCGATCATATTGTATTTTAACTTAAGTAATTTAATTGTTAAACCTATAAATTTGAAAACATGTAGGAATATTGGATGATTTCATATATATATATATATATATATATATATATATATATATATATATTAATATATATACAGTTCATTTATTAAATACGTAAACAGAAACATATTAATATGTATATAAACTTAATACATTTAAGTATAGCAATCCACTCAAATATAATGGACGAAGGCACGTTTTTTAATTGTGATGCTGATAATTACTCTAATTACAATAGTCTTTTGACAGATTATCTGTCAGGTACACCTATCAATTAAATGTGTGAAATTAATATTGTAATTAATATGTGTGTACTTTAGTCACATATTAATTACACTGTTAATTACTTAAGTCAATCTTCTTTTTTATAAACAAAGTTGTACCCTAGCACAAGATAGTGATTGGACTGAAGCACGCAAAGGTTACCACGTCGATCATATTGTATTTTAACTTAAGTAATTTAATTGTTAAACCTATAAATTTGAAAACATTTAGGAATATTGGGTGATTTCATATATATATATATATATATTAATATATATACAGTTCATTTATTAAATACGTAAACAGAAACAGATTAATATGTATATAAACTTAATACATTTAAGTATAGCAATCCACTCAAATATAATGGACGAAGGCACGTTTTTTAATTGTGATGCTGATAATTACTCTAATTACAATAGTCTTTTGACAGATTATCTGTCAGGTACACCTATCAATTAAATGTGTGACTGAAGTACACACATATTAATTACACTGTTAATTACTTAAGTCAATCTCATTTTTTATAAACAAGGTTGTACCCTAGAACAAGATAGTGATTGGACTGAAAGCACGCTAAGGTTCACGTCGATCATATTGTATATAAAGTTAATTAATTGAATTCTTAAACCTACGTTTAATTATCTATAAGAAAAGGCTGATTTTTTTCTTTTACAGATATTCAAACTATGAGCTTGAATATCGGCCAAATTCACTTGTTCTAATATTCTTTCAATTTTCCACCCAGTTAACTCACTAAACTGAGAATGTCTTTGTTGGGCACCCGGTGAGAAAGAGAAGTCACAATGCAACTTGATCATGGTGTAAAGGGCACCACATGCTCCCAGAGCGGCAGTTCGCTTGACTACAGCAGCGATATAAATGCGATTAGTGTTGAATTAGCTGACACAGAGGACAATCAGTCGAACGGATTAAAGTATTTGCCCATCTGGCCAGCGGTGAATTTGGAATTTGCAGGACTATCATACGACGTGCCTGATCAAAGGAATGGCAAGTTTTATTCGCATACCATTGGCATTTAATTAATGCTTACTGAATTTATTGGCCATAAATAGTAATCCTTATCTTCTACTTGTGGCCGTAAGCTTAGTGTCTATAATTTTTTAATTTACGTGAATTTTCTTTATGAGCAGCACAAAATATTAAACAAGTTTTGCGCGATATTAATGGTGAATTCCGTTCTCATGAGCTCACGGCAATCTTGGGACCCTCTGGTGCAGGCAAAACAACACTGTTAAACTTACTGGCAGGATTTGGGTAAGGCAGTTAACGTTTTAAATTATACTGATATTATCAGTTGAGAACTTTTTTACAGAGCGATTAGTTCAGCTGGTGAGATTCTGGTCAACAACAGTCCGCGGGACATGCGAATCTTTCGCAAAATGTCTCGGTATATTATGCAGGTATGTTGTTAATTAGCAAAATTAATTTGATATAAAAAGATTTACAAAGAATTTCATTTTGTATTTTTCATTTTTAATTAATTACTAGACAGATGTTCTCGACCTGCAATTTACTGTGAGAGAGATGATGCTTCTGGCGGCTAACTTAAAACTGGGAAATGAGTTAAAATTGCAGCAAAAGCTTGAAGTGGTAAGCAGCCCAACAATTCTTATAAATATTCCTTCATTTATAAATTTAATTTAATCTATTTTTACTTTTTGTATAATTTTTGTATTGACTGGTTTTAGTTGACATAAAGTAAATAAATAAATAAGAAAAGTATTAAAAACTACTAACTAGCTCAGTTCTACATTGTAGATTGATGAAATTTTGTGTATGTTGCGCTTAAAAAGTGCTGAGAACACCAAGACAGAAAGGATATCCGGCGGAGAGCGCAAACGGCTGTCAATTGCGCTCGAACTCTTAAACAATCCACCCATATTATTTCTGGATGAGCCGACAACGTAAGTTTAAACCATTGTGTGTGTCTACCGTAAAGAGGAGATAACCAATTATTGTTTCATCTGATGCTTTCAGTGGCCTCGACGATCTGTCTAGTTCCCAATGTATTGCACTTCTCAAAATGTTGGCATCCGGTGGACGAACCATCATCTGCTCAATGCACACCCCATCTGCAAAGATTTTCGAAATGATTGACAAGGTGTACGTGCTCGCTGAGGGTCAGTGCATCTATCAGGGGAGTGGAGAGAACATTGTGCCATATATGAATCACATAGGTCTGTCCTGTCCGCTCACCTACAATCCTGCGGACTTTATAATCGAAGTGGCATGCAACGAGTACGGCAACAATTATCACGATCGCATGGTGCAGGCAACAAGCAATGGCAGAGTCTCCCGCTGGACTCCAGCCGTGGCCAGTGGCAAGGTGACACCAACAAAGTCGGATACAACATCGGGTGCCTCCTCCTACTATGAAATTGAACAATTCGAGGAGGAAATTAATCCAAAGCTCCTGAGCCCGAAGTCCACGTGGTGGATGCAATACAAATTGCTGCTCATGCGAATGATGCTCCAAATGTGGCGCGACAAAGTGAGTAACTTTTTGAAGAAAATCAATCGCTTTTACTAAATAGAACTGATTTTTTGCAGTCGCACATCAAACTTAAGATTTATATGAATATAATTCTGGCCCTGATTGTGGGAGGTATTTACGTCGGCGTGGGAACACATGCTTCAAAGGCCTTATTCAATTTTGGCTTCATGTTCACCATTGTCATTGCTTATTTGTATCTGCCCATGATGCCGGTGTTATTGCAATGTAAATTCATTTCGCTTAAGTATTTATTTTTTTTAAGTGCCCTTTTTTTCTAACTGCAGTTCCCACGGACATCAAGCTGTTGAAGCGTGAATATTTCAATCAGTGGTATCGATTAAGCTCCTATTATGCCGCTATGATCTCTGCCAAGCTGCCGCTAATGTTTGTCCTGGCCGTCATTTATTTGACAATTGTGTACTTAATGTCCAGTCAGCCCCTGGAATGGTTTCGATTCGTCATGCTCTTCACAGTCGCATTTTTAACGGCCCTTACTTCGGACAGTTTTGGCCTTCTCATATCCAGTAGACTTAGCTTGGTGGTAAGTGCGAGAAATACATAATACAGTTTTACTTATTAATAATTATTATTCTCTATTTAGAATAGCATGTTTATGGGACCAGTTCTGGCTGTTCCCCTAATTTTACTTTCGATCTATGGCATTGGTTTTGGCAAGGAAATCTATATATCACCCATAATGCGATTTCTGATGTCGCTCAGTTTTCTACGCCATGGTATGGAGGGTTTAGTGGCTGCTCTATATGACTATGGACGAGGCGATACAATTTGTGATGCCGAAATTTTCTGCATGTTTAAGAAGTCGCAGTTTTTATTGATGTTTCTTGGCTTTGAGAACATTAACTATTTATGGTCTGTGAGCTGTTTACTTGGTTTCTATTTTCTCTTCACGGCTGCGGCCTATATAATGATACGACATAGATTGAAAAACTCGGTGGCAAATCCGATTGCGACTTTTGTCTTGCAACTGCTGGTAAAATATTTCAATTTTACTTCATATAACTTCTAAAATATTTCGTTTGGAAGCCTCAAAACTATTTTGGTCATTGGTTTATCATATTTACGTACAATTAATTGATGTGAACAAGATCTGGGAATGGAAAAATTATAATACACATAAAGAAAACCCTACACACAAAAGCTATGAGCTTAACCAGATAAACCCCTCTGCCGCCCCTCCACAACCCACCTCATTTGCAAACAACTAAGTACGCTCCATTGAGATAAGCATATAAATGAATAGAAATATATATCATAAGCAATAACTTTATTATATTCAATCTTACGCCATTTACTTTAACTAGGATTAAAATGTATAAATATAGAACGGCAGAGCTCGTGATTTATTTTAAACGGCACTTTTATTGTCTAATTGGTGAAAATGTGAAAATGAATTTATTTCCCAACAAAGTAATTTTCGTAAAATAATTAACGGTAATATTTTACTGTCTACTTTGGCTTACTTTTTTTAGGCACCCACGAAATGCGATCGAACAATACGAACTTGTTAAATATATTTATTATTACATTAATTTAATTAAATCTGTTGTGCGAAAACTTCTTGAAATATCATTTGTGCCGCGCTTCTTATAAATTCATTGAGCAGCACTTTATGTTGGCATTTCGAATACTGTTTGTAGCGTGTCGAAAACTGGCTGCTGCAATACTTAGTAGTCAGATGTTATTCACTCTCATAATGGTATCTGTATCAGCCAGACATTTGTCATGGCCTTCTTACGATATTCTTGCCTTTTGACTCTGAAAACGGCTAGATGACGTTTTTGGGTTTTCTTGTCTTGCTTTGATTTACATGGAAAAGTGAACATTTTAAAAATGGTGTGTTTGGGTCAAAAAAAATATACCTATTTCTAGAGTACGTATATATATGTACATATTTATTTATACACATGATGAACTTACTATGCTTAAGCGCAGTCCGAGATTTGTAAGCTCTATGCTTATTACATATTCTTTAAAAACAGACGAGCTAACTTTCTCCTTCAATAATTTTAGAATGTTTCGTAGTTGCCAGATAATCTAATACTTTAAATAATCAAATATCTACTTCTAAGTGTAATATCAGAAATATTTAGACCGAGAGCAGCTTATGCAACATTCTCGCGCCACATCCTCGCCGGTTTGCCGTAATAATATAATAACAAACAACAATAAACAAAAACAAATAACAATTAAAAACTCTATAATTGTATTCAAAAATATATTTTTGTAAAGGAAAATACAGCAAATACAAAACTTGGTAAGTCTAAGTAATGTACACTTAAGTTGATTAAAAGTATTGGTTAAATACCAAAATCGACAAGACAAAATAGCAATTAATGAACAATTAAGAATGCTCTACATGACTACAAGATATCCTGTACCCAAGTCCGGCCTGATCTACACAAACTTGCATATATTACGAATAATTAAATAGACTTAGCAGGATCGATCGACTTTGTTTCTGATGCGTATCAAAATTAATTTATATTTTATAGCATACAATTGCACAACGGTCCAAAGTCTATTTTATGCCCATTTGATGGCACAGGATATTAAAAATTATATTCAAAGCATCCGAAAAGTAAATAATTATTTAAGTGTACAAAAAAATATTTAAAATTTACAGTTCTTAAATGAAAAATTCAAAAAAATTAAATTTAAAATTTTTTCTGATGTGGTAAATAACAAATTGTTGAGATAAAACAGATGCTCTCGAATTGGTAATTGAGCTATATTCGCTGCTACTGACAGATTGTACACATGTATATATATATAGATATATATATATATATATATATATATAGATATACATATAGATAATGAATATGCAGATTTGACCAGTACAACAGAATTGTATAAATGGCTGCATACACACACAATATGTATGAACTATAGAAAGTTTATTTATTATAGCTTAGCAATGAAAAAGCCTAAAAAGCTGTCAAGCCTACTGCTGCCTGACTTACTTTTTAACTAATAACTAAAAATTACGTTGCTGTTGTTGTTGTTTCTTTAAATGTCCTTCGTTTTTTAGTACACGGCGACGACTCCGACGACGAGGCACTGTCAGCGTCTAGTCAATTGATATCTAAAGGCTTTGCCTGCTCCCAGGAGAAGCCATCGCGACCGAAGTGGCCATATGTGCTGGTGCGCTGGTAAATTGGTTGGCGCAGATTTAGGTCTCTGTATGGTAAAAGAAATAAATATATAATTAATATAAGTACATTTTAGATACATGATATAATGTGAATCTTGCACTTACTTTACGATCATACCGGGTCGTAGATCGAAGTTATGTTTGATAATGTGCAGAAGTTCTTTTTGTGACTTATGGGAGGTGCCGTAGTCAAAGACGGTTATGGAAAGCGGCTCGGCCAAACCAATGGCATACGAGACTTGTACCAGGCAGCGCTTACAGAGACCAGCCTTGACCAGAGACTTGGCCACCCAGCGTGCTGCGTATGCCGCCGATCTGTCGACCTTGGTGAAATCTTTGCCAGAGAATGCGCCACCGCCATGTGCACCCCAACCGCCATATGTATCCACAATAATTTTACGGCCAGTCAAACCCGCATCACCCATTGGGCCACCAATAACGAACAGACCGCAGGGATTTATATGCACAATGGTATTGGCATCAAAGTATTTGGCGGGAATAACAACTTTTACAACTTTCTCCATAATCTCGGAGCGAAGAGTGTCCAGCGTAATTTTGTCCGAATGCTGCATGGACACAACAATTGTATGCACACGCTTAGGCACAGCCGATCCCTGATTGAACAGATATTCGCAGGTGACTTGTGTCTTGGAATCGGGACGAGCCCACCAGAACACATCCGAGCGACGCAGCTCGGCGATCTTTTCGTTTAGCTTATGCGCCAGGACCACCGTCAAAGGCATACATTCCTCAGTCTCATCGGTGGCATAGCCAAACATAATACCCTGTAATTAATCGAAAGATCGAATTAGTAATGAAAATTGTGTTATGCAAAAGCACAATAACATTAAAAAGCAATGCTTTAATTTTAGTACATTTAGTTAACTTAAGTAAAATATTAGATAATTTTGATAAAAGGTTAGCAAGCAACAAATATGGAATAGATAATGTAATCGTGGCTGGAGGGAGAGTTACGATTAAATTACAAATTTAAAAATACACCAAAATGAAACCATGACATAAATACAGTACGATGTGTCGATAATGTCTCATAAGATTTGAATATGAAAAGGTCAACTTGGATATCATATACGAGAATATTGTTCAAGCTATAACAGCGATGTGTGCGATATTACACAATTCCGTTTCAAAATAAAACGCATTGATTTAAAAGGAATTTTAGGCATTCTTTTAACATTAGTTACGCATATAAATAAGAAAGAAAAAATATGCAACACAAGTGGTACATGTGATTATTAATTACACTCTTTCCATACGTGTTATTTAAATATACTGATGATAATTTTCCGTAACCGACAAATAGATATTTCTTGGAAAGGGCATATTACACTCGGCCAGCCGAGAAATGAATGAATTTCTACTTGTTCTTAGTTCACACCTGGTCTCCGGCACCGATTTCTTCCTCAGCACGATTAACATGCACACCGGCAGCAATTTCAGGCGATTGTTGGTCCAATGCCAAGAGCACGTTGCATGTTTTATAATCGAAACCTTTTTGTACGACGTTTATAGAACCGTTTGCGAATTAGGTATTATTAGGTATCAATATAAGGTTAATGTATCGTGTGTGTTTTGGTTTTATATGAAACGAAAGAGATAAAAAGTAGAGAGCGCAGCACAAATTGGAAATACATAAGTAATGTTTTAGTTATGAGATTAACCCCTTTTAATACTACAACATATCGCATCAAATTCAATTGCTGGATTGTATATGAAAACATATTTTTAAACAAGCACGACGACGACACCATTCTTTCTGCTCGACAAAGGTTTGCTGCTGCAATCCTAGCTGGGGATTTGATTTGATTATAATAGCCACAAATATCACACTTTTCTCCTTGAGAGTTTAACGCAAAGGGAATTTTCTTTCGCATGCAACTTTTGTATGTAATTAAATGGCATGTTCTCTGAGATGTTGTTAAAATGAAGATTAATGTGTATATAGTTAGAAGTCCCAAAATTTATTTCATAAATGCAGCCCAATCGAAGATAACTTGTTCAATCAACTTCTTCAAATCATCATGAATATGGATATGCATTAAGATCAAATGTCGTTTGAGCCCCTTTAGATGATTATACAAAACAATGATCAATAAATTTTTGTGATGAATATCATTTTTTTAAATATCAAAACAAACTTTTCAATCCATATACAAAGAAGATCGATTTCAAGATTTCCTTTCAACAATTAATACTTTTAAGCAAAAATCTGAATTTTAAAAAATATTTTAAATTTCCTAAAATTATAATTTATAAGTTCTCTTTGCAGTTAATATTTTAAAATAAAAACAAAAGAACATTTTCGACCTAGAGAACAATAACAAGAATATGGGTTTTGGTTTGGCCTTCAAGCGAAAAAGTAACTATGAGATAAATATATGTATGTATATAATAAACGTTATGATTTAGAGAATAATATTAAACGCAATGTGAACATAATAATAATAACAAACAAACGCACACATTCTTCGGCATCACTTAGTCGATAATTAGGGTACGGATATGCTTTGTTATACCTGGTCACCAGCGCCGACATCCTCTTCTTCGCGATTAACATGAACGCCGTTGGCAATATCGGGAGATTGTTGTTCAATAGCTACGAGCAGATTCAACGTCTTCCAATCGAAACCTTTTTGATTTTGGGTTGATTTGGTATGGTATTTCATTTAATTATCATATTTAACATATGTTATAGTATAACACGTAATTGTTGTTCAATTGTTGTTCGCACACCCACCCAAAAAGGAAGAGATTTTCCTCAACTTGTAGGAGATACTTACCCTTCGAAGAGTCGTCATAGCCAATGTGCTGAACCGTCTCACGGACTACCTTCTGATAGTCGACCACCGCCTTCGATGTGATTTCGCCGCAAAGTAAAATCATACCAGTCTTTGCCACAGTTTCTATTTAGAATAAACACAATTTAAAAAGGATTTTAATTAAAGATCTGGCAAATGTGGATTCATATGTGACACTTCGTTGTTTTAGCATTGTTTGCTTTCTTATTTATATTGTTATTACTGTGACTGTTGTTGTTTATTGTTTGAAATTGTCGCAGCATCAAAAACGCACCTATGCTCGGCTTTGTTCCGCTTATTTATTATTCGTTTGCTAGAAATTTTAGCTCTGAGCAGCCTTGTCATGTTTACAATATTTTGTGTTATACTGTTGCGAAAAAAGTAATAGTACCAATTACGCACTTTATAGAAATCGCTTATTTATTTCTAATTTTCTTAACTATAAGTGCACATTTAAAAAACGTTGCTATAATTTTGCGCTAGTTTTCTTCCATTTTCATAAAATAAAAGTTTTAATTTTAAGTTGAGAAAATTTCTTGTGAGAGTTGTGCTATTATTATATATTATTTATCTCATTTAATTGCTTGACTTTTTAAATAATTTTTTATATTTACCACATGCCACCTTGGCGTTGGGATCCTGTCGGAGATGGGCATCCAGGATAGCATCACTGATTTGATCGCACATTTTGTCTGCAAAAGATAAGAGTCGATTTAGAATTAGAAGGGAGGAATTGTTGAAAGAACTGTGCCCAGGCAATGCCACCAACCCCACTGAAAATATAAACCAGACGCAGGAAATTGCTGATAATTTGGATTTTCATTTTGCGAATGACAGCGAAATTCAATGCCACTTGAAATTTTTAACACGAAAATTATGTTTGGGTTTCTGGCGTCAGACAAGAAAAAACCCTGTTTTTTTTTACAAAATGCCAGAATATATATTAATGGTGGCCAAAGATCAAAAAAAAAAGTGTTTAATCATTTAAATGACAATCGCATTATTTTGATTTCGATGAAATCACACATGTTAATGTATGGCATGTATGTGAATATTGTTAATCTAAATAAAAGTAATTAAGTTGAAAGCAATAGGCGCTCCTAGCCCTCGTGGAGATGCTGATAACCCCACATCAGATCACGATGTTTACGGACACGACGATTGAAAAATGGAAAAAAAAATCTCTAAAGAAAGTGCACCATCATGTCCGGTGGATTTTTACAGATCAATATTTAAAAATTTAAGAGTTTCAGAATGCTTTGTTTAATTTGGCCTTAAAAGCTTAATACTTTAAACATATTGATATAGTAGAGATAAAACTGCCATAAAACCTAATCCATCATAATCAGTGGAACTTATTTTATGAACTGTGACATAATCTCTTGTCACATGTATTTTCACCATTTAAGTCGACTTAATTAACTTTACAAATGGTAAGAGCAATCAACGTGTCGGAAAAAAAAGGTCGCTCATCCTTATCGTTAGTCTATAATAATATACAGCATGTGTACCTATATATCTACATATATACATAACAATATTCAATATTCATATACATAACAATATTCAGATATGTATTTCCAGTTGTGTTTGAGAGTTCGTAAATTGGAAATACAAACTACACGCAACAATGCTAGATTTGTGAGAGACGAGTAGCAAAACACGTGTTTCGCAAACTTGAAGTGCGTGCGAAAACAGTCTATATGTATGTATGTATTTATGTACACACATACATAACACGTTGCTGGGTCAGCCTCTCTAAGCGAGAGAAAGGGAGACCAGCTGGTAGTTTGTGTAAAATATATGGCAGCTGATATGTGTATTTTCATATTAGTGCATTCAGTATATACAAATATATATCTGAAATATGTACATAACTAAGAACGCATTTGCACACATTACAAGAACCCTCGCTATTTGGAATATTACCAAAAACCGATGTTCATTTTGGGCTAAATTTGTTGATGATAGCTGGTCACACTATACCGCTGTCTAGCTGCTGCTGCGTAAACAAGCACGTTTTTTCAATGGAAATATCCATGACAAATAATGAATATCATTCATATCAATACGAGTTGAACAATTAAAGCAACAACATTATCGATATATTTTTCATTACAACTGTTATAAGCTGTCATACTCTGCATTCCAATGTAAAAATACATAAATACACACACGCACATACTTATGTATACATACTTGTATGTAGCATGTATGATGCAATAAGGAGGTCGGTTAAACGATTTGTTGCGAATTGAGCTGAGCGAACTGCAGATTGTAGCTAAATATAATAGTCTACCTGCCTGTCTATATGTATATATACATATATATATATATATATGTGTGTGTGTGTGTATAGGCATAGGCACTTACCTGGATGTCCCTCGCCAACGGATTCGGAAGTAAAGAGGAATGTTTGTCCATCTTCCATGTCGTAGGAGTTGCCATTTCCATTGCTGTTGCTATTGAAGCCGTTGCCGGTGGCAGTTGTGTGTCCGTTGGTCTTTTGCGGCATATTTGAAATGTTTCTCTTGGCTTGTCAAATTTGTTGTGACTGCAGCATGAAACAAGAACATATACATTTATCAATATATATTAAATATGTAATCTATCAAATGTGACAGAGAAATTGATTTTCCTAAGCAACAATATAAAAATGCCAGCTGAATCTGAATTTTCGCCTCGTGGTGTTTTGCCTGTTTGCCACTTTTTTCGCGTCTTTTCTTATGCTTTGCATTGAGCATTATTTTTATTTTATTTTTATATAATCAAAACGCATTTTACGATTTATGCTGTTTGTTGGCAAACACACTAACACACATACACTAGCACACGAATAGTTGCATTGCATTTCATATTTATGTACATACATGTATGTTTGTATGTGTGAATGAGAACACACGAGTCAAGGAAAAGACCAACAATTAATGAAAGAATATTCAGGTTTTTTTGGTTTTGTTTTATATTTTAGATTAAAAAATTGATGGCAGTCAGAAAGCAGCACTGTTTTTTTTCTTTTCTATATTTTTTTTAGCCGACGGGCAATCGAAATAGCGCAACTAATACGCACGTCCTATCTCCGTGACGGTATTGTTGAAAAAGAGCGCACAATTTTTGTTTGCGACAGAATTTATAGCCGTGAAGAAGGAGCGCACAACGCGAGAAAAAAGAGAAAGCATATTCTCTTTCGCTTGTTGTCGCAAATGTACACACATGCGCGCATGTGTGTGTGCCTTGCTTGCTTAGGCGCTCTTATTTGGCAGCGCTGCCAACAACTTCCCTACCGTTGTTAGTCTAAAAGAAGCAACATCTCCACGTTTTTCACGATTGTCCGCAAAAACAGCTGTTTTGCACTGTCGTGGGCGGTTGGCGTTGCCACACAGTTAGAACATTTTTTTTGAAAACGGTAATACCAGAAATAAAAAATTCTACAGATCACAACTTACATTACAATACTGCTTATTCACTGTGCAGTTTTTCCTTTTTTTTTTTAATTCGTTGAAACTTTTGCTCTTGACAATCGCTCGAACAGCGTCTTACTGAGCCTGTTTTTCAAAAAATGTAATTATTTATAAATATTTGTGGCTCAATCCGGAAAGATGATTAGGCAAACATTTAGGGTCTTATCTTTAACAAATCCGGAATAAATTTGCTTGATGAAATTTACAAACACCCTGGGTATTTCCTTTAAATACACATAATTTAAAATTAATATATTTAATATATACATACATATATATATATTTTTTTTAACCATTTTTGAAAAATGTTTACATATATTTTAATATTCCTATATAGTCATACATCCGTCAATATAAATGAATGTAAAATTATATATTAAGCTTGTAAAAAGAGATGCGTCATTAATATGCGCTCGACAACAATTTTGGCGATTTTAAATAACAAAAAAACAGAAGAACATCGTGTGATGCTAATCACAAAACAAGGTCAGCCAAGATCAAGGAATAATAAACGCAAAAATCTATTGATAATAGCTGAAATAAGAAGCAGCATTATCTTTCAAATTTTTTTGACCCCCCGGATAGAATTTTTGGCTGAGCGTAAATAAAAAAAACATATTTTGGATTTCTATCACAGCTCTCAATCTATTGTGCTTTTCAAAATGCGCATTTTAAGCTTAATGTTATCAGTACATGACGCTTTGTTATTTGATATGAAGGTTAAGCGAGACATTCCAAGCACACGATTTACACTCATACCATTCCCAATTAAAAGTAATTTACAGGCATACCCCAGTTGTTGAGCCCCGGAACCAGTGTGCTAAAACGACAACAACAGACGTAGCCCAATGATAAAACAGCTGTTCATGACGTGTTTTGCAGTTAAATAGAATAAAATAAAATCGAACAATAAAAAGAACTGCGATTCGTTTGCGAATGTTTGTCATTTAAGTTCAAAATGAACAGGCAACTGGGACCATTGTGGATTATAATTTTACTTGCATTTCAAACATCCGCTTTGGACAAAACAGATGCCACGGGTCAGATTATTGTACAGCCAGAAGCAGCGGAAATAGTGGAAAATAAGACACAAATTGAAAATGCAACAAATATAAATAATATTAGCAATGTCACAGCTAGAATTGAAAGCAATACAAGCGTCAATGCAACGCCAATTGCTGTCGTTCCACAGGAGAGTGTAAATACGACAAAGAATGCAACCACGACTGTTACGGAGCCATCGTTAATTGATCCACATGCTGTAGAACAGGAGCACAATTCATCGTTGTCACTCTTCTTTGTGATCTGTGTAATTATGCTGGGCATTCTCTTGATCCATTCCATGCTGCAAACTGGCTTCCAGTATTTGCCCGAGTCCATTGTGGTGGTGTTCCTTGGCGCATTCATTGGCCTCTCTCTGAATGTGATGTCCGGCGAGAATGGCAGCTGGAAGCGTGAGGAGGTCTTCTCACCGATGGGCTTTTTTCTTGTTCTGCTGCCGCCTATCATCTTTGAGTCGGGATATAATCTGCACAAGGGTAACTTCTTCCAGAACATTGGCTCCATCCTGGTCTTTGCGATTTTCGGCACAACCATTTCTGCTTTGGTAATCGGAGCAGGCATTTACCTGTTGGGCATGGCTGAGGTGGCATATAGGTGTGAATATATTTATTAACATAATTATCAATTATATATTATATTAATTCTTTTTTGTAGGTTAAACTTTTCGGAATCATTTGCCTTTGGCTCACTCATCTCGGCCGTGGATCCTGTGGCAACTGTGGCCATCTTTCATGCTCTCGATGTCGATCCAATTTTGAACATGTTGGTTTTTGGCGAAAGCATCCTCAACGATGCCGTCTCAATTGTGTTGACGGCATCGATTACCATTAATGCTAATGCGGATGCAGGCACCGGCGAGGCCATGATGAGCGCCTTGAAAACATTCTGCGAGATGTTCTTTGCCTCGGCTGGCATTGGCGTAATATTTGCCTTGATATCAGCATTGCTGCTCAAGCACATCGATCTGCGGAAGCATCCCTCTCTGGAGTTTGGCATAATGCTGATGTTTACCTATGCACCATATGTTCTGGCAGAGGGCATCCACTTGAGTGGTATCATGGCGATACTCTTCTGTGGCATTGTCATGTCGCATTATACTCATTTCAATCTGTCGACTGTGACACAGATCACCATGCAGCAGACGATGCGCACATTGGCCTTTATTGCGGAGACCTGTGTATTTGCCTACCTGGGATTGGCAATTTTCTCGTTCAACCATCAGGTGGAATTGTCTTTCGTCATTTGGTCCATTGTACTCTGCCTGATTGGACGTGCGTGTAACATTTTTCCACTCGCTTATGTGGTAAATAAGTTTCGTGAGCACAAAATCAACAACAAGATGCAGTTCATCATGTGGTTTTCCGGCTTGCGCGGTGCTATTTCATATGCACTCTCCCTCCACTTGCATCTGGATAGCCAGGAGAAACGACATGTCATCATTACGACCACGCTAATCATTGTTCTGTTCACAACCCTCGTTTTGGGTGGCTCAACTATGCCACTTTTGAAATATCTGAAACCAGGAAAAAAGCGTCGAACACGTGGATCTTCAAGAGCCTCCAATGGCAGCTCGCTCGCTCATACGACCCGTAAACGCAGCAAGTCCATATCGCTATCGAAGACTCGCGAATGGGGACAGGCCATCGATTCCGAGCACTTGTCAGAACTGACGGAGGAGGAGGATGTCTCCTTTACCCAGGCACGCGATCGTTTCGGTCGCTTGGATCGCAAGTATTTCATTCCATTCTTCACACGTCGCTTCAACAGCCAGGAGCTGCACGAATGCAAATCCCAAATGGCCGATTTGACCAACAAATGGTATCAGGCCATACGTATTAGTCCTTTGGATTCGGATGAGTCGGATGATGAAATTGGACTCTCAGCCACAACAAGTCAAACGAATCTGGCGCGGTCGTAGGTCGAGCCTAGTCTATTATTTAGTTTATATTTGTAATGCGGCGGCGAAGGGGATACTAATCAAATTTTTTTCCCTCTTTTATCGCTGCAATCTATTTATGATATATATTATAATGTGTACATTATTTCCTTTGTGATTTGGTGGTGGTCGTAATTATGTCATACTTATTTGTAATACAGCTTGTTAGATAATTTTTGAATTCGAAAAGGGATTTTCTAGTTTATGGTTGTTGCTTGTTGACGTTTGCGTTTCAAGCAATATTTAATTTAATACTAATTAGTGTTAAAAGTATTAGATTGTGCCATTTCTAAATAGTATATTGGCCTAAGAAGGTATGAGACAGTGGAGGCTATATAAAAATCAGGTATCTTCGTTTTCTGACTTCTAATATTGTTGTACACTTAAAAATGTTATGTGAATACCTTACGAAAACCAAAAATATTTGTATTTTATGCGAAAAAAATTGTGATATAATAAATTGAATACAAATTCGATGCTATTTTCTGTAATCATTTGCTGTAAGTCTCAATCACGACAAAGTTATTATAATATCTGCAGGGGTATACAAATATGAGCTCCTAAAATATAGTTACATAAGATTCAAAATCAACAAAGTCAAAGACATTCAGGGCAGTTTCCTCTTCGAGATTAAATAATAAAAAATAAAATTTTTTCACTTATTAATATATTTTATTTTAAGCATAGATATTATTTTTTATTTTTATTAGCACAAAATACATAATTCACTCGTTGTTTCATTACAATTCTTTTGCTGCGTAAAGTTAAGCAAACATTTTTTTGTATACATATATATACATAAGTTATATAGTCACGCAAGTTAATAATTTCGCATCTTGAGATTGCAAAAAAACAAATCCATCTAATACTTTCGTATGATACTAATAGCTTAGTTATTAAAAATTCGGTGTTTTAGTATTTGCATTTTTTGTTGCTCTTCTCGTTGCAAATGTCCGATCATTAGATTTATGTAAGTATGTAATTTCATGGTCATAACTGAATAGTCAATGACGTAAATTCATATTGCTTAAATATTTTATCTAGTACCGCTAAGCTAAAATGCCATAAATCATGATATAGAATACAATGGTAAGCAGTGGAATGAATTGTGAAACTGGTTTATGAATATATTTTTTATTTGATATTTTATTATTGTATCATGTACAGGAGAGTGGTAGCTTATTACGATTAAGAATGTCATCAAAATTAAATCATATTTAGGAAATATAGAGTGATAAATATACCCAAGAGTACTAAGCTAAAAACCCCTTCACCGGATTCCAATTAATTTGAACTTACATACAAGGTTGGAAATAAAAGAGTATTATGCTACGATGATTGCAAGTGTTAAAAAAATGTTGAAACCTGTTTTGTGCCTGGAGCTCGTTAATTGGTGGAATCTGAAGACACGCACATTTTTTTTTTAGTATTTATCACGTAAAAAAATGCTAGACGGCAATTTTAAAGTATTGTCTGTCAGTTTTTAAATGTACTGAAGCACGCACTTTTCTCTTTTTTGTTGTTGTTAATTTTAAGGTGAATCTACAATTATTAACTTTACATATACAAAAGCTTATGCTAATATTGCATTTGAAGAGTACTTATAAGAATTTCCATATAAGTAGCAAACTATAGGAATATACAGTACACATACATAAGTCTATCATAAGGGAATAAATAATTTTGAGAAACATGCTCGAAGAAGTTAAATAAATTTAGCGATGCCCTTCAACAAATTAGCTAAAATATATAAATATAAAGGTAGATGAAGAACATTTTAACGAGTGAATACCGTATTTTGGGCTATGGTTTATGACAATATCTATCAATGCATCCCAAAACAGTGAAATTTCTTATAACTTAAGCATGGAATTTACTATCATGTTGTTTGGACTGTACAAATTTAGTTTTACGCCGAAGGTTCCTCAACTTCGTTGTCGATGCGTGACGAGCGTATGCCAGATTTCCCAGTCCATGGATAAATGTCCGGACAGGGTTGACACGTCTTCATGTAACGAACGCCAGATTTGTGCCAGAGATTGCAGACTTTTGGATTATTGCAACGCTTTGGTCGATCCTAAGTTGGGGTCAACAACAATTGGGAAGTGTTATTTCCATAAAGATTTATATTTACTTGTATATTTATAATTAATTATTATTTTATTATTATTATTTTGTTTTGAGAGCGATTATCACATACCGAATAATCACACTGGAATGGTTGGAACGAATTGATTCTCGAGGTTGGTGTCGGATCGCGCACCCATTGGAGAGCCTGCCAATTGGTTATGATCCAAACATCTGGCATGCTGTTTATGGCATCAAGGAACTTAATGAAGCCTTCCTTGTGATGCGGCTGTGTAAACCATGCGGCATGATAAAACAGTCCAAAGGGTGCCCTAAAACAATGACCGTTATACCGTTAGACACAATAAGTTGTAAGAGAATTACTGCAATATTGACCTGTTTGTGGTGTAATGTCGCTCAAAATTCTTCATTATCATTTTGGTTACACCTTCAGAGTCACTTGGATTCGAGCAGGCATCACCCATAGAGCAACGTCCGCCATTCAAATCCTGCCACATAACCATCGGCACTTGCCAAACACCCGGATAGCTACGGGTCGGACATGGCGGAATCATACAGTCGTGGAATATCTTATAGTCCAAGGTGTATGGCCATGAGGGCGGCCGGTTCTCATAGACGGGCATCGATGAGTCGTAGGTGAAATTCGAGTCATACAGCATCTTATACATTTTGTTGCCACCAACCGAGAGAAATGGGGCACGCATGCCGCGCACATCGGACAACTTAACACCACCGTAGGCAGCGAGTATTTCCCGCTGTCCCGCTATTTCTCGGGTCCATTTTTTTTGGGAAAACTGCTCGCCAAAGCTGTGACTGTGAAAACAATAGGTAGCACAAATGATAATCATAACTCTTTGATTTTTTTTATAGGTTAGCTTGATTGCAAACATAAGCGTGAATATTTCTTGGTGTGTGTGAGTGATTTAGTGGCAGTGATTCCAAGTTGTGTTTTCTTGTCTTTTGCTGTTGTCTTTAGCAATGTATCGCCATGTGTGATTGTTGTCTCAGTCGAAAGTTACTTACGAAACTGTGTGCGATGCCATTTCATGTCCATCGGCGTAAAGATTCTGTACTTGACTGTAATCGGTCCATTCGTGGGAGACGTAGAATGTTGCCGTGATTGGGCAGCCGTTGGGATTGACGCGCCCCTTCTCAAAGAGGTCCATGTACAATTGCTTATTCAAATCATTCACAGAATCATCGAAGGTCAAGAGTACGATTTGTGGTATGCTTTCAACAGGTAATTCGCCTAGCAACCATGACGATGAATTTGTTGATGAATAGGATTGGTGGGGATGATGGAATGTAGAAAATTAAAAATATAACGTATATGATGTGAATAAACAAACCAAGCAGAAATATGAGGCAAAGAGGAATAAAGAGATAGCAATCGCTACATGTAGTTGATGTTGCCATGGCCCTATATAATAACTGACTGAAGCGAGAAGAACCAATCCCAACTTACGAAACTGTATGCGATGCCATTTCATGGCCATCCGCGTACAAGTCCTGGACCATGCCGTAGTCCGTCCATTCATGGGATAGATAGAAAGTGGCACGCCAAGGACAGCCGTTGGGATTCTTGCGCGACTTGTTATCGAATAGCTCCCGGTAGATGTCAATATTAATCGTATTGATGGCGTCATCGAAAGTAATTAAAATAATTTGCGGTGTATCCGATACATTCAAACCTCCTATATTTTTGTGGGGCAGTGAGTTTTTTTTTTATACATTTTTATAGCGACAAATGGTTCACCAAGCTCGGCGGAACTTGCCCATCCATGTAGTCAATCTTATAATCTAGCGAATTTGATGTTTAGTACTCACCGGGTATATCCTTTCCACCACAATAGCAATCGGGTAGTAAGCACACATCTTTGCGGCACTTGGCAGCCGTCTTATCCGGAGTAGGCTGTGGGTATAGCGGATCAGGTCGAGATGGTGGATTTCTGTAAACGTCCACAAACTCTTGGGCCTTCGATACAATTGTGCCAGATGGTTTGAGCGTTGGACGTGTCCGCCTGAGAAGGGAACATCGTACTTAAATTATGTACTAATATGACTCATCAAAAGTTACTTACGGCGGATGTGTGCCTCTGTTGGGCGTAGTCACCGTATCGCGATCTTGATTGGTGTAGATGGTACTGCCACGGTTTCTATTGTTGCTTCTAAATGTAATTATTGTATACAAATGAGTTTATTTTATTCATTGTGGGGCAGTTACAGCTTTGCTCTTTGCGAAACGCCAACCAATTATTTTTATGGACTATTGCTACACAAATAGGTAATATCATACATATTAAGTTAAACTAAGTGCTCGAAGTGGTTAGTGTTATTTAGTTAGTTAGTATCTTACACAACCCTACACAAAAAGATACAAATATATATGTATTTATGTACACGTGAATAAAGTATCGTTTAATATAAGCAGCCAATTCGTTATAAATTAAGTGAGAACCAAAAATGTATAGTATACTTATGTGTTTGTGTATCGGGATTGGGCTGTAAACCTATGCTGAGAATAATAGATAATAAAACAGTTCCAGTTGATATAGCTTCGATTTGTAGCCCGCTGAGAAATATTCATATTCATTTGCATGTCTTCCTAATAAGACGATTAAGGTTTCTGTAGCATATGTAGGAGTGGATTTGATTGTTTTTAGCTCGAACAAATGCTGAGCTTAATGCGAAACACATACAAATTTTTAGTGCAGATTTACATAAAATGTGTTGACATTTCTACACTCAGAGCTTAGAAATGTTTGCTGTTGAGAAAAATACTTTATTATAGCTCAGTAAAATGTGCAAATGTATATATGCAAATCAAATTAAATTAAATATCATTTTAATTATAAGAAATAATGATTTACCATCAATATATGCACTTAGGAGCCGCAAAACACAAAAGTTGTCAAAAGTGAATTTTTAACTATTCAGCTGTACATACATACATATTGTCAGTATGTATTAATTACGTTTATGTAAAAATAAAAACACAAATAATAATGTCGCTAAAATCAAAATACAGTAAAAAAAAACTAAAAAATGATCAAAATAATAATAATAGACAACAAAAGAATATGAAAAGTTAAACGGGCCACCACCCAACGGTTACTATATATTTACGTACTTATGCTCACCGTTTTGTACATTTTGCAACATTTTACAGAGCAGGTACTAATGTTTAGTATTTATGTATCTTTGCACTAAAAATCAACTAAAAACGTAATAGCGACAATCGTTGTAGTCTTAAGTGAACTGGGTGTTACGGTGGTCAGAAACATAATTTTTTAGACATTGGTCGCCTATTGTTGGTTGTTTTTATTCAATATATACTAAAGGCATACTAGAAAGCCAACAAACAACCAGAGTTATACAGAAGTAGGTGAATGTGGGTAATGAGAAACGAAAACTACATAAGAGTACATAAGATTTGTTGGGTTCGTTTTTTTTTAGGAGACTATATCTGTGTTGAAACAAAATACGGTGAATTTGTATAAAAAGAGAGGAGAGTGATAAATGCAGAGGTAACGGTAACAGCTACTAAGGAGCGTTAAATAGAAATCGCTATTTATTATTATACCTTGAAGGAATTTCGTTGCACTTGGGGCTCAGTGTGCTATCGGAGCATTTCACCGAGACGGCAGCAACAGCGGCATTGTTGTTGTGGTATTGGTGTTGTTGTTGGTTGTTGTTGTTGTTACTGTTGGGTGCAAGGCCATATTGGAATTTGTTGGCTCTACCCCCTGTCATGTGATAGGTGGATGAGGCGGAGCCCGGGCTAGATGATTGAGCGGCAGCAGCGGCAATTGATGACTTTAAGGCATTGTTTACCCTCGAAACTCGTGTTGTTGGTGGGGAAAATATAAATACAGATGACGAGGAGGGGGTGGTTGTTGTTGTCGTTGTTGAAATGGCAGGTGTGCTACCCACATCGGGGGAACTAGTATTTTCTACTGTTGCATCTATGCCTAATATGCTAAACGATGAGGATGGGATGTGGGATTTGGAAGGGCTTCCTATTGTTTTCAGTGCAGAAAGTGGGAAACGTGTGGTTGGTAGTGATGCAGATGCAGAAATAGCAACAGAAGCAGTTGTTGATCTCATTGTCGTTGACGTTGTCGACGTCGTTGTCGTCGATCGGCTTATTGGAACATCTGGTTTAATCTCATTGACGGCGGCTTTTATTTCAAAACCGGCAGTTTCATCGACAAACTGTGGTGATCCACTCTCATCACTGTCGCTAGCGGCGAGAAAATGCTGCAGTTGCTCCAATACATTGTTGGTAGTGCGGAACTTACTTCGACCATTGCCAGTTGCAATATAGCCGGCATTCTGCAGACTCTCCGCCAGAGTACGCTCTGCCGTCTGCTGACGATATTTGTTCGAGTACAGGAACTTGACCGGGGGACGGTCAGTGACAGCAACAACATGTTCTGTAGACGTTGGCAATGTCTCCGTGCTGATGCTCTGCTCAATACTATTATCCTGTTTACCCTCGAGTGGCTGATGTGCAATTAAAGCTTCCGCCCGTGGTGAGTCTGCGATTGTGGCTTCGTTCTCAATGGGATTATTTTTGAGTGTATTTGTTGCCTCAGCAGATATCGATCTCGAAGTGAGCAACGGCAGTTGATACCTATAAACCGTGTCTTTTGCCTGTTGAGCTGCCTTATAAGTTTCATATTTTTCTCGTGACTTAGATGCGGGCTCGGACATCGTTTGCCGATGGCCGCTGACAACTCGAACACGATGGGTCTTCCGTCTGGAATACGGTATAGATGCGGAGTTCCTCAACTCATTGCTGTGGAACAGCTTGGGTGCATAGGTGGTTGGCTCGTCGACACCTTCTAAATTATAGTTAACGGTAGCCGCAGTGTACCGTGATCGACCACGAGGATGGATTGGCATTTCAGACACCAAGATTGCCGACGAAGTTACTACAGCGGATATGATTGGCGCTACAATTGTTGGTGCAAGAGTTGCCTCTGTTGGTATTTTATTTGTGGTTGTAGTTCTGGTTGTCGTTGTAGTTGTTGCTCGCGAAATACTTGGCATTGGTCTCTGTGGACTGAATGTGCTCAAAATTGCGTCGCTTATGCTGAAATTACGACCATTGCTCGTAACCATTGCTTCAATTAGCAGCTCGGACGCATTCTTTTGAGGCGTACTTATAAGAAAGTAATTTCTTAAGGACTTGGGCGTGGTTTGTAGCAACGATGTCTGAGCCGGTGCATTCGCATATCGCGATCTTGCAGTGGTTCTCAGATTGTTATGGGGCAGGCGTTCATCTTGCAGCAGACTTTCAAGACTCTTATAGGGTGACACAAACTGTGTGCCGGAATTGCTGGTAGCACGATTAAGGTTGTCTTTGAAGAGATTGGCACGTGCTGTGAAGCTTTGACCAGAGCTCGTTCGTTCGGTACTAGTGGCTGCCTTTGTTGTGACAGTGGTTTTAATATTCAAACTGTTGGCCACGTCTGTGATGCTCAGGCTCGTTGGCCTGCTAGGTGCTTGTTTAATGGTCGGGCGACCGTTGCGCCAGATACGCAACGGGGCATATGTTGTTGGTACAATATCTTCGTAGTCTGCGCTATTATGATAAGCTTGTGTGGGTGCTGAACGGGATGTCGTTGTCGTTGTCGATGTGGTTGTTGTTGTTGTTGTGTTGGGATTAACATGATGCCCACTGTCAGGTCGCTCAAAGAGTGGTTCAGACACGTTTTCCTCGTTCAATGACTCCTTTGCCCTTAACGTAAATCCATGTGATCCACTTTCTAGACTATATTCGTATGCTTGGTTAGGTCGCGTTGTAGTTGGGCTTGAGCTAATTAACACTGGTCTGAAACTCTGGGGTTTCACATCGGAGAGCAAATAGCTTTGAATACGTTTGCTTTGATTTTGTTCAGTGACAATTGTTGTGTTTTTCTCATATCCATTGTATTTATTACCGTCCCTTATGTATGCGGTCTGAAGTGCCTTCTCGGCGGGTGTACGCACCAGGTTAGCTCCGTAGGCGGCGGCATTGATGAAATCTAGGAACTTGGGCGAAGTGCTTATCTCATAGGAATGACTACTGGGTATCTCTGCTGATTGGACTTGCACGTTCCGACTTTCATTGTAAATCGTTTCAACAATCTTTTGAGTACTACCATTTGCACTGTCATTTACCAACGCCCACGATTCGCTGATTGGAGAAGGTGTGACTGTAGTTGGGACTTGGGTCTGAGTTTTTGTGTTATTTCGATTGCCAGCCACAGCACTAATTAGGGTCTTTGCCAGAAATTGTAACTTGGTTTTGAGAAAGGGATTGGAATTGTATGTAGGGTTTGATGGTTGCATCACTGTGCTTGTCATAGGGGTTGTTATACTGGGTGCTAGTGTGGTACGTGGTGGTGTTGTGGTTGTCTTTAATTTAATTATAACATTTTGCTTAAAGTTTTTATTGGCATGCGCTTTTGAGCTGTTGAAGAAATGTGTATTTATAATAAACAATCACATTAGTGTTAGTAACAAATCCAGTTTCATTATGTGAGTACGTTTTTTTTTTTTTAATAAAAGGTCGCTTCATAATCTTTTGGCTCTCAACACTTGACAACACACAATTAAATATATATACCATAGATTCGGTGAATCAATTTTTGCAATACATCTTATTTAAAAGTACATGCCATGCGAACTTCGCGAAGCCATGCATGAAAAACCTAATAGCTACATTACACACTTGCAGGCATATATAGATGTATCTGTAAGTATGATTGATGATCATGCAATGAGTTTGAGAGCAAGAATCGCATTTTTGAATATTGGTCGTAATCACTAACAGAGAGCAAAATTATGAAAATTGTCTAAATATCGCATATATATAGTTCAGCTAACTTTGGTTGCTTTTCAGTCAGAACAATTAGCTTTAGCGCAGTATAAATGTGTAATCTGTGTAATGTCGAAAATCTTATGGTGTTTTGCAGTTTAAAGTTGACAACTAATGACACACTCATAAATATTTCGTTTGCGAAAGTAAGGCAGACATCATTGCGAAAGTAAGGCAGTCTGGGCCCCGCAGAGAATATAGTAAAAATGCAACTAGATGACGCGTACTAAATATGTGGTACAGAATTTACCAATTTTTGGCTTAGAAAGTACCTTGTTGGTTGAAGTGTGGTTGGTGTTGTTGTTGTCTTTTTTGCAGGAGGTCTTGTGAAGGTTTTTGTGGTAGTTGAAGTGGTTGTTCTGCTTGTACTCCTGCCTGTCACTGGAGATACGTTTGAGATCGGAATGCGTGTGGGTGTCGCCGTCGTGGACTTCCTAGTTGAAAGAATTTTAAAGGCTGATGTTGTCTGCGTCACATCATTGGCGATCAAATAATAATCGCCCGTATCTACTGATTTGGGTGTTTGAGGCTTGGGATAGATATTCTTCACCGTAGTTGTCTCGCTTTGATAGTAATCCGCTGGTGAATTCGGGGCAAACTCTGCTGAACTGGAATAGCTATAATCGGCCTCTTCATAGTTCATATTTGGAGTGGTATAAGTACTGTAGAAGTTGCGCCCATCAGGTCTTGAAGCTGGCCTTGAAGTGGTCGACGCAGTGGCTTGCGCATCCAGCGTTCTGATGGTCACCTCATCCGGTCTGACATACAGATTCATTGTGGGTAGGATTGGTTGTTGGCGTTGGCGTGTTGTAGTTAAGAGATGAAATTGTATGTAAATTTTGGTGTATGTACTCTTGTATGTGTATGCATGTATGTTTTTGTCTTTGGTCTGTGTGTGTATGTGTGTGTTTGACAGGACACGCTAGCTAACTGAACTTAAGTTTAACCACTGACTAGTTTGGGCCACGCACTTAGACTCTTTTGTAAGTAAGATTTAGCTGCGAGCTAGCTAGCTTGTGATGCATGATTTTTAAATGTTTTAACTAGATGCTACCAAACATTGATTAAAAAATTGAGAGAGTACATACCGTTGCGGTGTGGCCGTAGGTTGACTGTACACATTATCCTGCGCGATCTGTTGAAATTTTGTAAATTGTTGCATATTCATGTATGTAAGTGTTGCAGTCATTATTATTAACAGACTTACCTGTCCACTGAGATCATCATCATATTCCGTATTGTAGCTCAATGTGGGTTGGCTGTTAAAGTTTGGCCTTTGTGCTGGTGTCGGTGTAGTCAATATTTCCAACGGTCGATAAGTTGATTGCTGATTTTGATGTTGTTGCTGTTGTTGTTGTTGTTGTTGGCGCACGTTAGGCTGGTAGGACTGAGGTTTCTGCTGATGCCGTTCTTGATGCTGCTGTTGATACTCAATATCCCTGTACAAATCAATATCGTCGTCGTAAACAGAATAGTATGATGAATCATAGGGGTTTGATAAGGCAGGAGCCTGTTGCTGTTGTTGTTGTTGTTGCGGTTGTTGGAATGGTGACGGTTGTTGTTGTTGCGCCTGATGTGGTTTTTGGTAGCCAACCCCATGATTGAATATGGATGTGTTGTAGTAGTTACGATTAGATGCAAACTGTGGCTGTGAAGCTTCTGAGCTTGGTTGTACAAATATGTTATCGGAAGTTTGCGCCGTCAGCGATGACGGTGAAGATGACTCAACTCTTTACACACAATTTTTTGTATGTGGTGAGTATACGGCGCAAAATTATTTACATTAAGAAGTATATAAATTAATTTTAATTATTGATGCCAATTTATAATACATATGTACGTAAGTGTGTAGAGGTAGTGACAGTTTTTACATATATTACAAGGGGAGAGAAATGCAAAACGAAATCAAATTGTAATTAAAACTCAGAATGAGAACACACATATATATATATATGATGAATGTATATTATGAACCAGTTTTAGTTTAGTTTAGTTTCGTTTAGTTTAGTTTAGGTGATGAGCTATAAGATATGAGTTAAGTAGCGATTGAAATTTTGATTACAGCACCCCCGTCCATAAATAATTTATTTTAGTCAACTGTACAACTTTGAGTTCCAAAGCTTTTGGGATCTCTTAATAATGGGTAAGGTCGGAACGTAATCGTATAAACCGTAGCAGCTTTTGGGCAGTGACATTTTATTATTATGTACATGTACTGCTCTCTATTTATGTGTATTTGTGTAGCGGGACCAAATAATTGAACAGCACACTCTTATCGGCGACATTGTATAACTACCTTTGCCTCTCCGTATTTGAAGCGATGTGTATCGAATTCAAGTGCAGGCCGCCCAAATCCACAGCGCCTGCACCGGGCGGTTTGACATGGGCGGCCCCACGTTCGGTTTCATTTGTTGCATGTTGCACGTTCACTAATCCGTCTGGGTGTTTCGCAGCCTGCACAGACTGCCACTTCTGCTGTCCGCGCATTCGATGTGGTCGCACCGTGTAACGGATCCGATTTGTTGGGGCTGTAGGAGTAGTAGGCGTTGTTGTACTTATTGTCGACGTAACCCGAACGCGAGAAGTAGTTTGGCCATCGGCTGTGTTCGTTCCTTGCAACTGGGGTAGCCGTTGCTTCAGCTCCTGAAATATGTCGCTGGGAAAGCTAATAAAGGCTGGAACTCCATTGCCTGCGTTGGGCTGATTAAGTTGTGAGAAATGTGGAAATGGTCGCCTCGTTGTCGTTGCCTGCATGAATCCAGTCTGAAAGTTTGGGCGAACAGTGGGCGGTGCTTCGGTTGTGACCTGTGGCCGTGGTGGTGCCATCGTCTCTGACATGGGCATATAGGGCGGCATGAGAGATGGTGGAAGTCGGACTTCGTCACCTCCATCATCGTAATCCTCATCGTAGTAATCGACAGCACTCTCGGTTGTCGTTGTCCTAACTTGATTGCTTCTCGGCCGTGTAGTTGTCGTCGTTGACTGATTTGCGTTGGAACTTTCCTTACCAATCTGACTTTGTATACTCTTTACGAAAGTTTCATAACCCTTAAGGATGCGTGTAGTTGGCACTGGCGTTGTTGTGGTAATTGGTACTCTTTTCGTTGTCGAATTATATTGCCAAAGAGGTCGGAATGTTATTGGACTTGTCTCCGTCGTTGTAGTCACAGGTCGACGGAGTACTAATGCATTACGAACATTACCACTGCCATCATTGCTTACCTGCTTAAAATACTTGATTAAAGGGTTAACTGCCGGATTAAAGCTCGCTAAGTCACTTGCTTTTAAGTTGGCCATAAATTCATTTATGTTAAATTGAAAATTGGTCAACGGCGGCTTGGCTGTTATCGGAGATTTGGTTGATTCCAGTTTGGGTGCTACAGTGGAGCTGATTGTTGTGGTAAAACTCTGATATGATTCTGGTATAGTTGTATTCGAGGCGTAGCTGATTCCCACTGGCAGGTGCGGCAAATTCTGGAAAGGTATCTGCTGCAGGTTACCTGGCTTACTAAAAGCCAAATTGGGTGCGGAAACGATACTGAAGTTGGGAGTGACATGCAGTGGCGTCACGGGGGGACGCACCTTGCCTGCGGCATGTTCAATTTGATTCAGCTTGGCAGTATTGCTATATACACCCTTCATCTTTTGATTTGCAATCATATTATAATGGAAGTAATTGTTCTCAGTGGTGCTCTGTGGTCCTTGACTTTGAGAAATGCTGTACTGGGATATGAGTTTGCCTGGTGTGTTTGGGGTATACTCCGGTTTGTTATTATTGTAAAATCCACCCATGGTGCTGTATTGGGCGTAGTGACTGTTTGGTGTCACTTGCTGTGTCGGCTTAATTGTGGAATAGTAGTCAAACGAGGGCCGCGGTGTTGTGGTCGGATGCACAGTGGATACAATGGGTTGATTATCTAAATGAAAATAGGCAAAGTTTTCAGTTTGTATTTGTTTCCTTCGTTCCTTCAGCTCCTTTAGCTGTTGTATAAGGTATGGCAATAAATCGAGCTGACTCGTCTGTTGCCGATAGCCACCCGGTGGAGGCCTTGAGCTTGTCGAGCTGGCTGCCCCATAGTAATTGCCTGCAATCGGTCGAAAGTCATCCTCCAAGGAAGGCGGCGGAAGCGCCAAATTATAACCTGTGTAGACCAAGGTGGGCTTTTGTCCGCTTGTCAAAGACGTTTCATGTTGCTGATGCTGCTGCTGATAGGATTTATAGGCAGTGCCTGGGCCCAGTTGATTGTAGTTGTGATTGGTGTGAGTTTGCTGACTGGGTGGCGTAAGATAGGGATTAAAGCTACCAAAACTGTAGCCATTTTTCTGTATGTAGGGCTGGTGAACGGGTGTGTCAATGGAACGATAGTTATGTTGCGGCCATTTCGGTGGCGCATTCGGAAAAGGCCGTAATTGCCGTGAAAGTCGCTTTGATTCTCCCACAGTAGTATCATTGGCGTCTTCAATCAATTCTCTGCAGACAGGCTCTACGTTAGGGGAGCCCATCTCAGCGTGACTGATTTTCGAAGAGTATTTCTCCAGCTGGGCGACAGCTGGCGCTACCTCGTCATACTGCTCTTGTGAGTTATTCGAGATATTTGCCGCTTCACTACTTCCCAATTGGGCACTGCTTTCACTATCTGGCTCCGTGACCTCGCTAGATATATTAGAATCATTATTCGTTAATGTCGTCGCTGCTGTTGCCGCAGGCGTCGTCAACTTTAGTCCACTAACATCCCGTCGTTTGCGTACCCTGTCTAAATCAAGTCGATTATGTGACAGTTCGTGTTTAATTGTTATGTCGTCGTCCAAGCTTTCGCTGTTTGTGTACAGAGTTAAGCCAAAAAGCATTTTCAGTCGGTTGGTTTGTCGTTTGGAGTAAATAATAGAGAGATAGTGCAGTATGCATTGTATGAAATAAGAGTAGTACAATGAGTTGAAGAGAATTTTTAATTAGGTTTGCAATTTTTTCAACAAAAAAACTGACAAAAATAAATTACCATCAATAGAAAACGAATTTGAGTTTTGAAGAGACGGCAGATGAAACACTGGATTTGAATGTTAACCAAACGGCTTATAACTTACCTGTAAGCTGTCCCAAATGTGTAGGACCCGATTTTTCCGTGATTGGGTATGGCATTAATGCTAGCCTGGTGGAGAATACCATCGCGGTCCCGTTGTACTTGGCTAACAGTACTTGGCTGTCCACGATAAACACGTTGCTGGCGATCATTTTCCTCCTCTTCAACTGTTGGCAGTGTTTCCTGCGCCTCGGCATAGAGCTTTAAATAAATAAACGTACAATATTTGTAATCACGCTATTGCCTCCTACCCGTGACTCACCTTGGCGATGTCTTCTTGCGAGTCCAGAAGCGATTTTGGTTGTCCACGTGACGTGACCAACGGATTTGGTGGCGCCGGCAGCTCTGGTGGGGGTGGTATATGCTGCACCTGCGCCTGTATTATCTGTGGCGGAGAACGATGATACTGTGGTGGCACTGTTATTGTCTTTTGTGTAGCTGCTGGGCTGGTAAAGGCGGATCCAAAGCGAACTCGACTGGGAACATGCTGCTGTGGCTTGTTACGTGAAGCGGCACCACCTCCCTCGGTAGAAGTGGCGGACGTGCCACTGTCCACCAGTTCGCAGCCCACGTTTCTGGGCCAGTCACAAGTCTGCAGCTCATGGGAGTACATAAGACCTCCAGTGCAGCTCTCAAGTAGTGCTCCTCCAAACACGCATACATAATACTGTGTACAGTCCGTGGGATGAGGATAATATCCAAACTCTTCGGGGCAATCAAAACTGACACCATTCGAGCTGGTTGACTTAACATTGGTGCCAAAACTGCGTGAGTTGGTGATGCGTGGTGCACGTTTGCCTTGTGCATTTATCGATTCTGCGAATTATAAATTGGAGGTTCATACGAGGATCAGATAAATATATGACGTTTCTTTTGTTGGTTTTGTGCATAACATTGTTAAGTACGACAGTAACCTGAAAACCCCTCCCAAAAAAGTGATCCTGATACCATTAGATCTACTGCATTATCATTGCTTTTGAAAATGGGTTAAATTTTGATAACGGTTTCGAAATGGAAAATTCTATTTGGAAGATATTGCTTACATTTCTCTTTCATTCTATTGTTCTTTTTTATAAATTATATATGTATATTTTGCATCTAGTTATTTTCAGTTTGGAAACGCAGTATAAAAACTCAATCATTAACAGCGCCTGTGCGCTGAAGAGGGTAAACCATTGTGCCTGGTTTTGCCCACAAAATGCAATGCAAAATCAAGAAAAATCTCAACCAATCATTGAAACTGATTAGCAATTCAAACTATTGAAGGTGAATTTGAATTGAAACCAATTTAATGCAATCAAAGTTATTGCAATTCAAAAACAAAGCGAACATAATGCAGACAGCCTCAAGCAATTGGCGCGCCCAATCTATGGGCGCAATATATAATAATTGGGGCGGAAGTTGTTTTGCTCTTATTGCTTGGCATAGCTTTTGGGCATACATCTACTTCGTACTGACAGCTAAAACCACAAACTAATAAATTAAAAAACTTGCAACACATTAAAATTATGCAAGGAGTTAGCTCGAGCACGATATTCGTCAACCTTCGACTTGTATTCTGATTGTGGCTTTAAAAACTTCAGCTTAGAATATGAGCAATAGTAGCAAGCCCGAGTAACAAAGCAGTTTTTCGGCTGTGTGTACCTAATCACTTTTTGACCCACCTACACGCACACACACACACACAGCGAGACAAACATACACATATATTTACAAGGCACGGATTGAAACTGAATATTATTATGCTTCACTTTAATTGTAACGTGAGCATTTTACAAACAATAAGAAGTTAAAAAAAAGAAACGATTCGTTAGTTGCACTTTTGACCAGCCATGAAATGGCACGAGAGGTTCCTTATGTTTTTTAAGTAACATAATGTTAGCTTGTAGAGACACCTTTTCTTAAACAAAATTTACATTTACTTTTTATTGCACCTAAATTAGTTTCTAAGCTAGGTGGGGGTCTGTCAGTCTTAGCTTTTCATCTCTATTATTATTGAGCGTAGATGAATTGTTAATTCATTGTGCACCAGTGGCAACCTGCACTCTAGTAAATACATATAAAGCTAAACTTATCTGACCGGGCCCATAACCGAATATAAAATTTTATGACTTGTGGAACGTTGTGTAACTTAAAATTGTGTAAATGTAGGAAGCAGACAAAAGAAGCGGTCCCAGACCGGTTTAATTTAATGGGTTCCTTATCAGCACCGATAATCAATCTCGAATTATCCTTTATGAACGCTAAGATAAAAAACTGCATTATTAATTATTAATTTTAGTATGCTGAAATGATATACCCTTGTATCTCCATATGTTGAGTTATTGCAATGATTTTTGATACATGCCTGTTTTAGAATGGCTATCCGATAATGATGATGTTAGTGCACTTAAAACCTTAATACTGTCGGCTTCTCAAGAGAGACAAGCGCATTCTTTGTTTTTATAAAAAAGTTTTTTAATCGTGTCAAGGCTGCTGGATAAAATCTATTTAGCATGCCGCACGCACCGCAAATGGTGTAATTATCACACAAAAGCGTCGCAAGTTTCAGTCTCGCCTGACAAATGCAGCACTGACCGACTATCTGAATGAGTGATTTACGCTGGTAGCTGGCAGTAGAGCAAAAAGTAAGCTAATCACGTGCCAATGGCAATTGGCCATGCAAAAGCCTAGAGCCGCCATCGCCTAGGATGACATTTGTCTTAGCCAGTGCCAGTGCCAGCACACTCTTGGCAACACAAATATCAATTCAGTGTGCTGTTTTGTGTACTTTCTGCTCGACTTAACAAAATGTGTACGTGGATTTGGTTAGCCAGAGTTAGAGCGTGGCTGGGTCGTTATGCAATGCTCAGTAATTCGGCCATAAGCCTGATTGGCTTTATTTTTTTTTGTGGATTTCTTCGCCGCTTGTCGATTGTATTGCTTTTTGCTGCTCTACTTGTTCGAAAATAAGTGCAACACATTACGCGACTTTTATTGAAAGTGAAGTACTATACAGTACATAAAAAGGCAGCCCGACAAATACCCAGACAATTTGAATTGTACATAATATCCATTGATACGGTTTTCTGTCACTTGGCGGGAATTTATGTGGCTTTAGTATACTTACGACTTCCGGGCTTTGGTTATTTATTTTTTTTATTTGGGGCAAATGCCTTATTAAAGTATTTTAACTTGCTCAGAGTAAGTACTTATAATTATCAACACAAAAAGGGAAAGTTATTTTGAAGTTTGAACTCTTCGAATTATTTGATTGATAGTATAATATGATAGTAAAATAATACATCAAGGTTTTAATAGCAAATTGCTTTTGGTTGCTGTGGATATTTTAAGAATGTCTACTGAGACTGTTTGTAATTATAAATGGACTATTAAGTCTTTTGAGTCTCACTGTTGTTTCGCTAAAAAACTGTTTCATTAATTTCTCATTGAATGGTATTGTTTTATGTTTTAATTAATTCTTTCAATCTGCACTTGGTCGATCTACAATATTATTATGTTATGGCCTACTATAAAATGTTTGCTGAGTCTCCTGGTTGGCTAGGTGCGGTGTACAATTATTTGCACGAATCATTAATAAACTAATAGCCATTGGTCAGTGTTTAATCTATTGCAAAGCTCAGCGAAAAGGTAAGATTTCAGCTAGTAACCAGATTTTTGCTACATTTTTAGCTCTCGCCGTATCTTTTGTTACAAACAGTGGAGCTGAACAACAATCGCTTTTGCATGGGCACAGGAAGTTTATGATCGTCATTTGGGATTTTCCTTTCTAATAGAGCGCCGTTACAGTCACTTCCTGGGTGTAAAGCCATTGAAAACGCCTTTACACATAATATGATTATCCTAAGAAGCACCCGATTAACTAGTTAGCCAGACATCGTAAATATAAGTTGTAAATAAGTAATAATAAGTAAGCACTTTGATTTAAAATATAATTCAGCGATGCAGAGAGATATATTGTTTATGAAAATGCAATAAATTTCTGAGCTATCGACCGATGGACAATAAATTAAATAATTGATTTGCATCTCGTGGTGGGTTTCGATATAATTAAAGATTTATGGCCTAGTAAATTGTGGTAAACTTGCACAACTTGCAGATGACACCCTTACTGAATATAATTAAGTGTAAATAAATTACTTTAAGCTGTCAAGCCATTATTTTAAGGCAATTGTCACAACAATAATCAAATATACTCTGGATACCTTCGGGCAACAGTATAGTTTGCTTTTGTTTCGATACCTGATATTTAAGCTAATATGCAATGGTATGTAGCAAGCGCAAAAGTGAGAGCTATATATTTTGGAACCCACTATATTATGCACCACAAACAGGAAATATACAGCAATGCAGCAGTCGCCTGGTTTTCGACTCCAGCTGTTGCTCCGGTCAGCTGTGAGCCTCTCTCAAAACATTTGTTACACTAGAGCTGCACAACTTTCGGGAATTACGTAACAAGGCTCTTGGCTAGCATTGAATTACCACATGTAAACAATTTCTTTTTGGCTCTGTTATGCTTTTTACCAACTAATTGAGTATAATATGATTGTGAGCTTGAGAACTGTGTACAGGATGAATTCTGTTTAATCACTTTTACAATTCCACCAGCCATTTTTCATATCTACTTATTATCCCTTATTAAATGTGATACAATAAAATGAACCCATTGGTTTTTCATTGTGCTCCTGATTTTTACTCCATTTTTTAAATATATTTGGCTCAAAAATTCATACTTTTCCATGCCTAAATCGGAAAAATATTTATCACATCGGTATTTACAGTCAAATTTTATTATGGTTTGTCGTTGTTGTTTTGGCTGTGACGGCAATATGACACTTGTGGTACTTGATTTTTTATTACATTTGCAGTTTTAAACAAGAGAGAACGTTGCAGTCGAGCGTAACCGACTGGGAAATACTTTGATACCATAAGTAATACCAGCTGATGACAGGTAGCAAATAACAGAAATACCTTCCAAGTTTGCTTTTCAATATATAAATATATATATCTGTGAATTTTGGGCGCTGGAGTGGGTGTGGCCAAACAAATTGTTGGAAGAGTTTCCTAGTGACCTTTCTTCCAAGTTTGGCAACTATAGCTCTTAAACTACGGGAGATATGGGCTTTTGTAGATTTTGGGGGCTGAAAAAATTCGTAGATAATGTTCTTGGTAATCTTCCTTCGAAGTTTGGTAACTGTAGCTCTTAAGTTACAGGAGATATAGGCTCTTGAAATTTTGAGGCGGGAGTGGGCATGTCTGAAAAACAAAATTATAGGGAAGGTTCCTAGTAATCTGCCTTCTAAGTTTGGTAATTTCAGCTGTTAAATTGCGGGAGAAATAAGCTAAGAAAATATAAAAAGGTAATTGGCAGCCAACTGGAGAATAGCTTAGCTTATTTCTATAGACAAGATTTTGTATATCTAATATTTGATCCTAGTATATATATTGTACTTACAAATACACTCTAAAGTGCTTCGATTAAATTATTTTTGGTCACAGTGAATGTTGCCGAGCAACGCCAACTTCGACCGCAACAAAAAATAAAACACGGCTAGTACGAAAAGTGGGTCAAACTGAGAATATTGCATAAGATGTAGACACAACACTCACCAACATAAATACACACATACAAGAGACAAGCTATTTCAAATCTTGCTGCTAGTTTCAGCAACTAGACCACGCGACGTCGACATTTCTACCAACGACAGCAACCAATGCAAAAAGCGACAACGGCAACAGCAACTGCAATGGCCTAGTGTGGCGCAAGGCTTGCAGAGCGCATTTTAAATGCGGCGAGCCACGCCTGCTTCAAATCG